GTGACGGAGCTCCAGCACTCCGACCGAGTACATCCATCAAGTCTGCTTCCTTGCTGCTATCGGGAACTGTGGTGCACTTTTGACCCAGTCGCCGAGGCTTGACTGGGATCACTGAGGGCCTTTTCCACCGTGGACCAAACACCAGACGAGACCTGGTGAAGGTTAAACAGCAACTCACCTTACTAGACATAGCACATACATTTAAGCCCCCAACAGCCTCATTTACATACAATAGGGTACATAGAGCACTATAGTACAAGGAAGGGTGGAGTCAGACAATAGCAAGGGCGGATGGGAGATGAAGGAGGGACAGAGCAGCTCGTTTAGACTGGTCTGGCAGTGCCCCTGGGATAACGCCCTGCTGGGGAAACAATAGGACAGGAAAAAGGGGGAGGGGAGAGGCACATACAAGCATCACATTCAACATACACTGCACCAACAATGGCAATGAGATGAAGGAGGCACAAAGCAGCTAGTTTAGACTGGTCTGGCAGTGCCCCTGGGATAACGCTCTGCTGGGGAAACAATAGGACAGGAAAAAGGGGGAGGGGAGAGGCACATACAAGCATTACATTCAACATACACTGCACCAATAATGGGCACAGGGTGACCAAAACACAAAAGGAATCTGGGGACCCACACAGAGTCTGTCTTCCATCCCCAGTGACAGTGACGGTCATCACATATCTTCCCCCTCTCCCCCCAAGGTAGACTAACCCGGTACCAGACCTCCAATCGGTCTGTGCCTGAGTTAGTTGGGTAACAAGTCCCAAAAGGTAAATCCATCCTGGCAGCCTCCTCGACAAAGTTCCATATAGTTTGTAAGTTTGTCCCGGTCAGGCGCATGGAGCCCTCATAACTGATCAGTCCATTGAAGTCTGGTTTGGGCAGGCCAGACTGGGCTTCCTGGTCACCCTGTGCCCCTAATAAGCACAGGGTGACTTAGACATAAGAGGGGGCCTGGAAGTGGAGAAAGGGACTTCCCAGTAAATGTGCCACGGCCCCCTTCCCAAACTCAAACCTATCCCCTTATAACTCCAGTCTCAGGGGGCCACCGTGACACCCACACACCCCAAAAGCAAATCTGAAACCCTGTGTCTCCAGCCCTGGATAGTTTACAGCATATTTCTCCCACTTTGGAAGGAGACCAATAGAGGAGACCCCAGATTAATTTAGTCAATACCTCCGGCCCACCAAGGCGCTCACCAAATCGGTACCCCAAACAAATTGCCCATGCATGAGCGGCACTCACTCAGCTGACCTCTGCATCTACCAAAGCATATACCTGTTGCTGGCAATGCGTCTCCACTGTCCCATCTCCCTGTAATAAATACTGGTGCTGGGGAGTGAGACTGACTATCTCCCCTCCATTTAACACATTCTGCTGCTGTGGAGTAAGACCGGCTGTCTCCACTCCCAGTACCTCACGCTGCCACTGGGGTAGAAGGACGATATGCTTCTCTCCATGGTACTCACACTGCCACTGGTGTGTAAGACCATTTCTCTCCCCTCCTGGACCACACTCTGCTGCTGGGGACTGAGACTGACTGTCTCAAATCCCAATAACTCACACTGCCGCTGGGGATGGAGGATGATTCTCTCCTCTCCTTGGAATGCACACTACTGCTGGGGAGAGAGACCGACTGCCTCTATTCCCAGTAACTCAATCTGCTGCTCCGACAACCTCTACCTCTGCTTCCTGGGTTTCCATGCCAGGAAGCCGGGGATCTGTAATGGCTGCCCAGTATCTCTGTGATTCAGGTATGGGAAACACAGGTTTATCCACACCTAGCTGGCCAACATACTCGGGTGTGAAGTCTATTAGGTCCTCGGTCTCTGGAACCTGCCGCTGTACCACGGTGAACAGTTGCCTGTACTCCTGTTCAAGCTCCCACTCCAGGGTGGCCAGGTAGGTCAGATTGGGTTCCAGGTCTTTCACTTCAATCACATCCAGGAGGTATCTCCTAAGTTCTTGGATGTCCTTGAGTCGGGCAACAGCAGAGCTCCCAAAATCTGTCCCCTCCTCAAAGGCCTCCCACAATAAGCCAGGGCCAGCATAGTCCTCACCCTCTGGTGGGTCGTCATCAGATAACCACGGGTCCTCCTGGACTGCATACCATTATAAGGCCCGGTAACCGTTGTCTAACCACAATTCCATCCAGACCAGTCACTCAAATTCAACACCCATTCCTCCAGGGGCTGCTCTTCCAGGAAATGTATCAGAAGATCCAGCTGATCCTGAAGATACACCTGAAGTTGTTCTTGGGTTGGGAAGTATTCCCTTTGACAAATCTGAACTTCCTTGAGTACCTCGTTCCAGAGTCCCTTTCGGATCTGGTCCCTTAAATCCAGTTCACCCTCTCCCAAGACTGTGTACTTATACTGGGACAGAGCTTCCTCCTCGGATGGGGACACTGCATGGGTGCTAGTTCTATCTTTCTCCCTGAGTTCCAGACAATGCGCAGGGATCCCAGTTGTGTCTTGGATAGCTAGGAAACCATCCCACCACTTACCACCAATTTTGATGGAGCTCCAGTACTCCAACCAAGTACCTCCGCCAAGTCTGCTTCCTCGTAGCTATCAGGGACCCTGGAGCACTTCCAACCCAGTCGCCGAGGCTTGACTGGGATCACTGAGGGCCTTTTCCACCATGGACCAAACACCAGACAACACTTCGTGAAGGTTTAACAGCAACTCACTTTACTAAACATATCACACACATTTAAGACCCCAACAGTCTCCTTTACATACAATAGGGTATATAGAGCACTATAGTACAAGTAGGGTGGGGTAAGACAATAGCAAGGGCTACCATCACAACTACTAATTATTAGCACTATTTTATTTATATTTATTGGGAAATTACGAACACAGTAGGTTTAACATTAGATCTTGTTTCCATAAGGCGGTTGTAACACCTTTGTTAATTAGCCCCTGGAATTCCATTTCCATGCCCCTTCACATTGTTACAAAGGCTGAAAAAAATGGCTTGTGTCCACCAAGTTCAGCCTTTCTCATATTAGTTTTTGCAGTTGATCCAAAATAAAACAAAAAAACAAGTGTGAAGCGCTTCCAATTTTGCAGCAACTAAAAAGAGATTGTGTTCCTTGACCAGCCTCTTTTGTAGGGACTATGAGCCCTTTCTTGTTGGCTTCTATTCTGTGCCTCTAGTTCCAGATCCTACCGTTTGCATGAAGGATGTAATAATTTGCTATGTTTAGGAAATATTGTTTGAGTTATTCTGACTTCAGATAAACACATTTAATGTAATATATGCATGTATTTATGTATAACTAACACACTGTTTGCTGGGCTATCCTGTGTCTAGTGTTCATTATGTGTATTTTTTCTATAAACATAATTTTTCTATACACATAATTGAGTGAGGGTTCCCCTCACTCAAACTAAAACAAAATGCATCTGTGGATTCTTGTGGGATAAGCAATATAGCTTTATCAAATATATGCAAAAAAACACCCGCCATAGGGTAAAAAATGATGTTACATACGAGATCTAACACACACACTCAGTCACTAAACAGCAATCTAAAAGCTTGCAAAATGACAATTTTTTGTTTGTTTGTTTGTTTTTTTAAACTCCTAACCTATGCAAAAAGTAATGAATGTTTAGTTACAGTATATGATCATACATTGCATAAACCTGCCACATCGTCAATGTACCCTATTTTTGGCATTCTATAATATTCTAGCAACCTAATTCTTGTTCTTATAAGATTAATCCACTTATTTGGGAAATACATCTTGTCCTGACACAGGTGACTCATTTCAGGGCCCTCTTTAACCTTGCACTGCAGAGAGTCTCAGGAGGAAAGATTTCCCAATTTAATGGATTTGGAAAAATTATCCAAACCAATTTCTCGGCTTCACTTTTTTCGATCTAAGATTTTAATTTTACTTGGCATTCTCAACAATGTACATATTAGTGGCTTGTTCACAAAACTAGGTATTGAACAAAATTGATAAGAGAATTTTCAGACCAATTGGTGAATAAACTTAATAACCTGATGTTCTGCCTGTTCACTCACATTCTCTGCAAATCTTCTGACAATAATGAAAGATAATAAAAACATCCTGCAAATGGACCTAAACAGCTGGATATTATTTACTGCGAGGTATAAATAATTAGAAAACATAAAATGTATGTTTATACTTAAAATAGGAACGCAGTTATAGTCTTCCATTAGTAAGTATTCAGGAAGAATTCTGTAATATACTAAAGCATGTGGTTTTTAAAAAAAATAAAAAAATTCTATTCACATATATTGGCTATGTAAGAATATCAATAAGGACAGGCCATAGAAGGAAAATTGTAAGTGGCTTGAAACATTTTAAAAACACTTTTAGTGTACTGTACATATCGGTTTCCGGCTGTTATCGTTGAAGCGAGATCCCAGTAATACATTAAATAATATTATTACAGGATAAATACTTATAGTTAGAATATACATTTCAGTGAAATGTAATAAAATAAAATAAAAATCGCAAAATGCTTATTGTTAAACTGCTTACAGAGAAAAAAGGAGGAGTAAGACATATAGGAAGTAGAGTCAGTAATCTGTCCTTATTTAAGATGATACAGAGCATTAAAAGGGCATTCTACCATAAACACTGCAGATCATCTTGCACGTTATGCAAGCAATTGCAGAGGGGATAGGCTTTGATTGCTTGGGTGAGCCCTGCTTTTTGTTAAATGGTTTGAAAGAAAAAGGGCTGACAGCATAGAAACACTACTATAAGTACTATAACCATTACAAAGCACTGAAGTAGTTATCATGTTCATATATAAACATGATAAATATATATATATATATATATATCATATGTCATAGATACACCCACTAGCCTATGAGGATTATAAGTACGGTATACAAGCATGTCTTTATACTAGGTTTATTAATGACTCTGTAAACCATGCTTGAGGGCATGTAAGCAGATATTCACTCTGAAAAGGTAAAGGACAGAAGGTACATGCAGGATAAGGCCTGGAGCTCAGAGACGCGCAAGTAAAACAAAATAAAATAAAAAAGATTGGAAGAGAAAAAGCATGAACTAACCATGGTCTAACCAAGATGACCAGACTATGGAACTGTGGATGGAGTGCTCAAGTCAATTCAAGTTTTTTACGTCTGGTCAATTTCTCTTCCTGATGGTTGCAGTTAAGGGTTCATAAAACTCCAGACTAACTTGTCTTACTACACCAAAGGACACGGCACAGTTTGAATTTATAAATATATTTATTTTTTTTATTGACGGTATGGTTTAGAATTCAGAATTACTCCTCTTTCTGGTTATTCCTTGTAACATCAAATGTTTACAAAAGCAAGAACAGATTGCACATTTACAGCACATTATGTATTATATTATTATTATTTATAAGGCGGCAACAAATTCTGCTTTTTTGTACAACAGGCAGACTAACAGACGTGATTGCAACCAGACAAGGACACACAGGAACAGAGGGTATTGAGGGCCCTGCTCAAACAAGCTTGCATTCTAGGTTATATTATAGTATTATACATTATATATATATATATATCAAGCTGGTATGAAGCAGTAAAAAACACGCATACTGTATGGTCAATACAGTTCTGATGGCAGCAGTAATAAAACAAAGGTGAAAAATGGTAACTAACATAACATTTTCAGCTTTGAAATGGATATTCAAATTGTTAGTTGGTAAACTTGTAACAAAACGAATAAGTACACTTGATATATACCAACTAGGAAATACAAAGGATTTCCCAGATTACATCCATCGGCTCATTCAGAACCCCCTCATTTTAAATTTCTTCACTTTTGTGTATTTCCCCTTTTCACAATTACGTTGTGTACTATAATAATTATTATTTTTTTCTCATCTACATGAGTTTTGTGTGGTGTATTTAAAACCAATAAAGACTACATTGATTTTTAACACTTATCAATATTACCAGGACAAATAAACTTACTAGTGGTGGTATTAGTTTAAGATCTAGTCCCTTTCCTGTTTTTTTGCAATTGAACACCGTCTCTTACAATTTGTGTTTCTGTTCTAGTAAATTTTGGGTTAAGCCCTATCCGGTCCACAATCTCTACAGGTCTGAAAATTGGTCCAATAAATGTGGCTCTTTTACTCTCTTACAGGACTTCAGAAGAGTGGACAGAGAAGAAAGGAAAGGATTAAAGACTATGTTCCCCCCTAGTCTGAAGTGTCAAGGTAATGTCACCTGGAGGTCTACCTAATGTAGATGCTCATTAAAAATGTGAGTCCACAAGATAGAAGGAATGAAGGCTTTATTATTAAAGCACACTAAAGTTATCTTTTTGTTCTGGAGGTCATCCCACAGTACACAACAATAGCAAACGACTAAAAAGTATACGGAGAGTCTTTTAGTTCAAGTATACACTTATCTATACATTGCCTTCTAGACATTATTTAAATTTTGTTTGCTGTTTAAATCAATGGCTCCCAAATGTTTTTGTTCCAAGGCACTCTTCAATGGGAGAAAGGCACGATTGCTTTATTTCTTGTTCACCTTGGCCAGCAGCTTATAAATATCACATTTACTGAAAGCCTTAGTGAGAGATACACTTCTAGCCAAACTGACTTATTAGCTTTAATTCATTACCAGATGGGTATCCTAATGTTAATGCTGACACTGATTAAAAAAAATAATAATAAATAAATAACATTTAATGGCTGTATTTAACCTATTATAGTCCTGATGTGGTTTGAGATACACCAGTTTGCCATAACACATTGGTTAAAAAACACTGGTTTAGAGTGCACCCATTTTGCGCTTACATGATAGTTAAATTATTACATTATCCTGAATTATTACCGCTACAAATACAATGATAAAAGCCATTCATATAAAAAAGCCACAATGAGCACCATAACCACTATGGTGTATAGTAGTAGATGTGTTGCCAATATGCCCCCAGTGCCAACCCACATGCTGTCCAAATCTCTATTACAGAAGTTACATTTTGACTGCAGTTACAAGTTGACTGTCATCCACACATCGAGAGAGTAATGATGTTGCAAAGTGAAAGATTTGTGAAAAAAAATCCCTCTCTAAACAAAACCGGGGGATGGCACATGAGGAATCCTGGGCACCATAACTACCATAACGGGCAGTGACTTTTTAATCATATGTTAAACCCATCAATTTACTATTTTGCACAGTGCACAATCTTTTTTTTTTTATATACATATACAAGTTGCATCCATTTAGATGTGCACTATTATTATTCTTACTCTTGATCCAGTATGTACCCAATTATTTCACTACTTAAGTAATGTTTAAGAGGTTTATGTAAATAATACAAATACAGTCAGAACAGCTTGTTTATAACGAAACCCAGTACATTGTCGGTGAGCTTGAATTGTTGCTACTCAAGTAAATACTGAAATGACAATAGAACAGCAACAATTGCCACGGCTGCTGCCATTACAATTCCTGAAATAAAAAATAATCAAGATAACATTAGTAAAAAAATAAAAAATAATGCAAGTCAATTGTTATGTAAGCATCAGGCTAACTAGGCTAGCGCATTAGAACAAAATTTTGTTAATTTAATTTTTCCCCCATTTCTTTGTCAAAACCTTAAAAGTCAACAATTTTAAACATAGCTTACAAGTCTTTGCACATCTTTGCACACTGTGAATTTCATATGAAATATAGTATCCTCTGCAGGTATACAAGTTTTTTTTTGGCTTAGAAACATAGAATGTGACGGCAGATAAGAACCATTCGGCCCATCTAGTCTGCCCAATTTTCTAAATACTTTCATTAGTCCCTAGCCTTATCTTATAGTTAGGATAGCCTTATGCCTATCCCACGCATGCTTAAACTCCTTTACTGTGTTAACCTCTACCACTTCAGCTGGAAGGCTATTCTATGCATCCACTACCCTCTCAGTAAAGTAATACTTCCTGATATTATTTTTAAACCTTTGTCCCTCTAATTTAAGACTATGTCCTCTTGTTGTGGTAGTTTTTCTTCTTTTAAATATAGTCTCCTCCTTTACTGTGTTGATTCCCTTTATGTATTTAAATGTTTCTATCCCCCCTGTCTCGTCTTTCCTCCAAGCTATACATGTTAAGATCCTTTAACCTTTCCTGGTAAGTTTTATCCCGCAATCCATGAACCAGTTTAGTAGCCCTTCTCTGAACCCTCTCTAAGGTATCAATATCCTTCTGAAGATACGGTCTCCAGTACTGTGTACAATACTCCAAGTGAGGTCTCACCAGTGTTCTGTACAATGGCATGAGCACTTCCCTCTTTCTACTGCTAATACCTCTCCCTATACAACCAAGCATTCTGCTAGCATTTCCTGCTGCTCTATTACATTGTCTGCCTACCTTTAAGTCATCAGAAATAATCACCCCTAAATCCCTTTCCTCATATGTTGAGGTTAGAACTCTATCAAATATTCTGTACTCTGCCCTTGGGTTTTTACGTCCAAGATGCATTATCTTGCACTTATCCACATTAAATGTCAGTTGCCACAATTCTGACCATTTTTCTAGTTTACCTAAATCATTTGCCATTTGAAGTCCACTACAGACATTACATGCAGGCTACAATAGGAGCCTGTAGAGTACCTATACTTGGCAGAATTGTAGTTACAGTATCAGTGCATTATCTTGATATGCAGACATAATTTATGCATGCTATCGGGAGTCTTATGGTAAAGCATGGTATTTGAAGGGGTACCATAAATTCTCACGGTTTTACTCATCTAATATTTCTGTGAAGGATGAATAAATACATAAACATTTAAAATTATACAGATTTACATTATTCTATTGTGTGTAGATATTCCTAAGAAATCTCACGTTTTAATTAAGTACCATATGTCTTTCAAAAGAACAAGGTAGTTAAGAAGATAATTAACAAGTGCTTTGCAATTCCTGCCAAGAGGCTGTTTTTTCAATGTTGCAGAACTGATGGTGGAAATGGGTTTCCACAAGCTGTTGTAAACACAAACATCTACTGGTGGCCAGCTATTGGAACAGATATGAAACATTAAAAAACAGACGTGCATTTGTTGAACTCTTTCTTAACAGGACACTAGAGCATTATCTCAGAACTATGCCACTGTCCCCAGTTATATTAAAGGTATACTATAGTCACCAGACCAACTACAGCTTATTGTAGTTGTGCTAGTGAGTATAGTCTGTTCATGGAGGTTTTTAATGTAAACAATGCCTTTTCAAAGAAAACGCAGTGTTTACACTACAGCCTAGGAACACCTCTTGTGGCCACTCCTCAGACGGCCAGTAGAGGTGCTTACTGTGCAGCACTGATGTTCAGCGTCTCCACTCTCTACATGGCGACGCTGAACTTTCCCCACAGAGATGCCTTGTTTAATGCATCTCTATGAGGAGTTGCTGATTAGCTTGGGCGGCGTTTGGCTCTACCCGCGCCCTGAATCCTTGGCTGAGATCATCAGAATTGACAATCTCAGCCAATCCAAAGCTTTCCTATGGGAGAGCACCGCGTAGTGCTGGAAAAAGGTAAGTAAATCACCTTTCTAGCCCCAGGAAAGGGGGGGCAATCACCAAAATGGTGGTTTTAGCACTATAGTGTCAGGAATACAGGCTTTTCCTCCCAAGTTTGCCAAAAAATTATTAAAATAAATTACTGACTTTTACTGATTTTTCCAAAGTCAAGGCTGCCTCTGTGCTGCTTACCTCTCCACTTCCTGTAAAGTAATTTATGGGGTATGGTTTCCTCTGCAATGATCCAATCAAATGCACCTCGTAGAGAAGAATTGTGGACCTGATTCACCATAGGAAAGTATTGTAGTCAATGCATTCCTAAGAGCTTCCCCTGCACATGACCGAGTTTTACATTTCTAAAAAACTGTAATGTTAAAGGACCACTATAGGCACCCAGACCACTTCAGCTCAATGAAGTGGTCTGGGTGCCAGGTCCCTCTAGTTTTAACCCTGCAGCTGAAAACATAGTAGTTTCAGAGAAACTGCTAAGTTTACACTGAGGGTTAATCCAGCCTCTAGTGGCTGTCTCACTGACAGCCGCTAGAGGCGCTTCCGCAATTCTCACTGTGAAAATCACAGTGAGAAGATGCTGACGTCCATAGGAAAGCATTGAGTAATGCTTTCCTATGGGCGGTTTGAATGCGTGCGTGGCTCTTGCCGCGCATGCGCATTCAGAGCTGACGTCGGCAGAGGGAGGAAAGTTGCTGGAACTGCAGAAAGGTAAGTGGCTGCAGGGGCTTTTACCCCTTCAGCCCAGCGGGATGGGGGCCACGAGGGTGGGAGGGACCTAATGACCCTATAGTGCCAGGAAAACAAGTTTGTTTTCCTGGCACTATAGTGCTCCTTTAAGATGAAGTGGTCTGGCTGACGATAGTGCCGCTATAAACTAATCAACTTGCCCCTTTCAATTTGGTTTTATCCTAATCAATCACTTTAAAAAGGGGTTCTATGCATGACAAATCAATTCATTGTTGAATGGCAGAGTGCAACAAATACGCATGTCTATTACAAGACTTTAATCTGAAAACATTCCAGCTTTGAGCACTTGTTTCAAAATCAGTCGGGCAACAATAAGTACATGAAAATTCTACCTAGATTCTGTTGAAGTTTCGAAGATGTTACGTTCTTATTCAAAGCCTTTGGTTGACTTTCTTTTAGAGGATCTAGATGACATGAAACATCTGGGTCTTGGTTCTCATCTGCAATTGAAACAAATTAACAATCTGTAAACTAACACCATTTTAAGAAATATATCGTTTTTGTAAAACATGTCTATTGTTTAATGTATGAACATCATGTAATAGGAGTTTACAACTTCTCTAGTTTTATATTATTTGAAATCTACATGCACTGTTAGGGAAAGCATGTCAATTAGTTAACTCATTCAATGCTGTAGGGCCAGGACATGCACATGTACAGCACTCCTGAAGAACATTCCAATTGTGCATGTTGTTTATGGTATCTCTACATTAGATGACTGAGAGCAAAAGTGTGTCATCAAGCAATCTCAGATCAGCAAAGTCACTGCATCATGGAAGAACAGTGGAGGCAAATAAGTTCTTTACTGACCTCTGCTGATTTATTCACCTTGGCAAATACTACAAAAGCTTTCACAGGGGTGATAGAACAAGGAATTGGCCCTGCTCTGAAAGTGACAATTACTCTTTAATATCATAAGAGGAATTCTGTAGTTCAGTCTATCCTTCGGCCATGCCCATAAACAAAAAAATAAGATTACAATTTAGGTCAGAAAAATACAAACTTCTTATATTGAAATCTGGGGTGTGGGGAATTGAATTAATGAAAACTAACATTATTTTATAAAGAATTAATGTTATACTAACTTAAAGGGAAACTTTAACTTCTCTGGAATTTACACCATTCGTGTTAATAATTTTTCACGAGATGCTTTGTTTTCTTTTAAAATTCTACCAAACATTTAGCAAATGACATCATAAAACCAGTCCAGACTAGGCAAAACCAAGGAAAAAATGCAAATGAAGATTAACAATGTTTAATTTCTTATCATCTCTGTATGCTTTCCCCTTACTTGTGTTTCATTTCTCATCTCCCCTGTATGCTTTCCCCGTTACTAGTGTTTCATTTCTCATCTCCCCTGTATGCTTTCCCTGTTACTAGTGTTTCATTTCTCATCTCCCCTGTATGCTTTCCCTGTTACTTGTGTTTCATTTCTCATCTCCCCCGTATGCTTTCCCCGTTACTAGTGTTTCATTTCTCATCTCCCCGTATGCTTTCCCCTTACTTGTGTTCCATTTCTCATCTCCCCTGTATGTTTTCCCTGTTACTAGTGTTTCATTTCTCATCTCCCCTGTATGCTTTCCCTGTTACTAGTGTTTCATTTCTCATCTCCCCTGTATGCTTTCCCTGTTACTAGTGTTTCATTTCTCATCTCCCCTGTATGCTTTCCCCGTTACTTGTGTTCCATTTATCATCTCCCCTGTATGCTTTCCCCGTTACTTGTGTTTCATTTCTCATCTCCCCTGTATGCTTTCCCTGTTACTAGTGTTTCATTTCTCATCTCCCCTGTATGCTTTCCCCGTTACTATTGTTTCATTTCTCATCTCCCCTGTACGCTTTCCCTGTTACTAGTGTTTCATTTCTCATCTCCCCTGTATGCTTTCCCCGTTACTAGTGTTTCATTTCTCATCCCCGTTACTAGTGTTTCATTTCTCATCTCCCCCCCGTTACTAGTGTTTCATTTCTCATCTCCCCTGTATGTTAGTTACTTGTGTTTCATTTCTCATCTCCCCTGTATGCTTTCCCCGTGTACTAGTGTTTCATTTCTCATCTCCCCTGTATGCTTTCCCTGTTACTAGTGTTTCATTTCTCATCTCCCCTGTATGCTTTCCCTGTTACTAGTGTTTCATTTCTCATCTCCCCTGTATGCTTTCCCCGTTACTAGTGTTTCATTTCTCATCTCCCCTGTATGCTTTCCCTGTTACTAGTGTTTCATTTCTCATCTCCCCTGTATGCTTTCCCCGTTACTAGTGTTTCATTTCTCATCTCCCCTGTATGCTTTCCCCGTTACTAGTGTTTCATTTCTCATCTCCCCTGTATGCTTTCCCCGTTACTAGTGTTTCATTTCTCATCTCCCCTGTATGCTTTCCCTGTTACTAGTGTTTCATTTCTCATCTCCCCTGTATGCTTTCCCTGTTACTAGTGTTTCATTTCTCATCTCCCCTGTATGCTTTCCCTGTTACTAGTGTTTCATTTCTCATCTCCCCTGTATGCTTTCCCTGTTACTAGTGTTTCATTTCTCATCTCCCTGTATGCTTTCCCTGTTACTAGTGTTTCATTTCTCATCTCCCCCTTGTTACTAGTGCCCCTGTAGTGTGTTACTACATTTCTCATATTGTTAGAGAGAACTAAATTTAAGGGAGAACAAAATAAAATCAGCCCAGTACTACAATTGAGGGGACATAGGTTGGGCTTATTAAAAAATAATTTGAGGCAACAGAAAAATAAATAAAAAATAAACAGGCTTTGTGTAACTTTGGCACTATTATTAAATGAAAAGAAAACCCAATAAAGCGTATTCACTAAACACAGGTTTGTGGTGAATAGAAAACAAAATTCATGCTAAATTACATGATCTGAAAAATCCTCCAACTTCAATCTATAGTCATAGCATGGCTACTTTAGTGTGAATTTAGCAGTGCAAGTTCTAATCACTACAATGAGGTGTTGATTGCATAATTCCCAATGTGTCATTGAAAAACAATTAGAAAAAATAGCTACAAACAGAATACCGTACCAGGAAATATAAGAGAGCCTGTGATATTCTTTACACGGCTTGTTTTAAAGTGCCGCATTCTTTATAAAATTATTTGGGGGAAAACACATTTATTCAAAACAGAACATGAAACAGAGCAGTAAACTTTTCCACATTAAAAACAAAGATTACTTTATAGAGTAAATATGACAAAGGAAGAAAATCTACATTTCCACCAGCTGGTTTTCATGATTGCATAAAAGCACAGTGATTTTATACACATGACAAAAATAGTTATTCTTGCAACAACCATATTGATCTACTGAATTGACTCGCACGGGGAATTCTGGCCTCTAGACTAATCCTAGCAATATATCGGTAATGCAAACAGGATGCGGCTTTATAAAAAATATTAAAACAAGCAGTGGGCAGGAGGGATTCTTGCAGACATATAGTCACGAAATATCCAGAGTCTTTTAAATATAGTGTTGACGTATAATGAAAAAGATTAATGTGCCACTAGAAAGGTCATTAGTGCACCAGCTAATACGTTATTAACACTTTGAAATAAAAGATACATCAGCCACAGTTAAAGGAACACTATAGTCACCTAAACAACTTTTAGGTTTTACTGCTCAATTCACTGCCATTTAGGAGTTGAATCACTTTGTTTCTGTTTATACAGCCTTTGCCACACCTCCCCTGGCTATGATTGACACAGCCTGCATAAAAAAAACTGGTTTCACTTTCAACCAGATGTAATTTACCTTAAACAATTTTATATCTTGCTTTGTAAATTGAACTTTAATCACATACAGGAAGCTCTTGCAGGGTCTAGCAAGCTATTAACATTGCAGGGGATATGGAAATCTAAATTAAACAGAACTTGCAATAAAGAAAGGATAAACTTTAGATGACTCTTTACAGGAAGTGTTTAGGAAGGTTGTGCAAGTCACACGCAGGGAGGTGTCACTAGGGTTCATAAACAAAGTAATTTAACTCCTAAATGGCAGAGAATTGAGCAGAGAGGCTGCAGGGGCATGTACTATACACCAAAATTGCTTGATTAAGCTAAAGTTGTTTTGGTGACTATAGTGTCTCTTTAATGTAATATAGAGTTATATTGCCTATCTAATTACAGTAGTCAAATTTTGATTTGACTTCTAACCTGAGGGCAGCCTCTTTTCAGCAGCCAGAAATTTCAGCTTAGGAACTTCTGTTAAGTCTCCTGAGCTATACCCTGTACCACTAGCCTTGGCTCAGAAATGAAAATTCCGGCTAAAGTGGAGTCAGGGAGCAGTTTCCCGGAGGACCCCAAGTAAGAAGTCAAACCATTCCAAAAAATGGTTTGACTTCTTACAATGGGAAGCACGGTAGTGGTTGTGGTGCTTGTTTTAAGATTAGGAGGCTTAGAATGTTATGAACAGTTCCCTTGGTTTGGGAATTCAGGGAAATTGAAATAACTGAATGATGTCAATTCCATTGCAATTCAGCAGTTTGTGAGTTATAAAGTATTAAAGAGATTCACCTGATTTCAACATACATCTGAACTGCAGAGGAACAGAAGTGCAAATTTTGTTGAAATGATCGACTGCTGTTTGGTTTTTACCTATTGTTGGGAAGTACAACAGCATGTTCTGTGCCATATGTATGAATAGCACTTCTGAGCTGTAGATGGCGCTGTTTAGTTCGGGTTACTGATTTATATACCTGTGAACTTGTTAGTTTACTCACAGGAAGTCCTGTTTTGCTCTCTCCATCTCCTCCCTTTTTTATTCTCCGTATTAGCTGCTGTTTTCAAGCAACATTTGTGTTCTAATTGCGAATGGTGCATTCTCACAAGCTTCCAGTGTCCTTTCCTGATATATAACTAGCTCCACTACATATGTTCAATAGCAGAAAATGACAAAATTTTTAACAATGATTGACATAAAATCATGATGGAGGCGCCTAGTTCCAGGATATATGTGTTGTTTGCTACATTTAGAGAGACACTCTAGGCACTGTAACTGCTTCATCTCATTAAAGTTGTTATATGTATGGAGTCCCCTAGCGCTGTCCTTCCATTCAGCATTAAACCGTTTTTAATGATTTCATGAGATGAAGTGGTTATAGCAGTCTTGACAGTCTTCAAATGTAATCACTATATAATATAGAATGCACACTATAACACTCACTGATATTAAATATAAACCTTTAATAAGTATGCAAAAAGAGAATACTTTTACATATTATACAAAATAGGAACAGAGTAACAGTACAAGGCAAATTAGCTTACGACAACGCCTGATATGCATCGTTGTGGACATTGCATTAATTGTAATGGATTAATTACAGGGGATTACTTCACGCATCCAAGAACTGGTAGGAAAGATTTGATTCATGATTATTGCAATTGTCAGTCCAAATTTGTGATCTTTATACTTAAATGCCCGTGTGGGTTGGCATATGTGGGTAAGACCACACGTACCTTTACCACCAGGATTAGGGAACATAAAAGCAATATTAGGACTAACTAATTGCAATATCCAGTGGCCCGACATTTTGCGCAACAAAAACATGTAATATCCCAACTGCAGTACACATGGTATTGCAAGTAGTCAAACCCCCTAAAAGGGTAGGTTCCAGAATTACCTTATTGAAACAACGAGAACTACATTTGATTTAGGAGTTACAGACATTGTAACCCAGAGGTCTTAACGAAGAGAAGGATTTATCCCCTTTTTTGTGAAGTTTTTAGAAATGGCAAGGATTCTGCCCGCGTATGGACTGTATCTTTATTTTAATATTTATTTTTCCTTTTACTTTTTTAGATCTTGATGCTAGGGAAATTGTTTGGACGGAGGGTTAGAATTGATGATGTTCTATATGAGTGATGATGGATTACATTTGGTGTGACATTATTGAAGATTTGACTTCTATCTATACATGTCTTTATAGTATATGATATATATTGCTCATACTATATGTATGGAGATCCAGGTTAATGCTGGAGCATATTAGTTTTTTGGGGAAGTATACTTCAAATAGTGGACCAGGATTAGAGGGGCTTTTTTGCCATAAATAGTCCATTTTTGTTTGGTCAATATTTGAGTATTTCACAGATGTGATAATAGTACAGCTTTCATGCATTATGCATTTATGCTACATATAAGTGAATAAGATTTTTTTTTGGTTATATCTATGTAAACTTTGTATAAATAAGAATGCATGTTATGTATTATAGTGTGAATGTCATACTATTGTAACCATTGTCACTATACTTAATTGTATAATAAAATGAATTGTTCTATGATATAATGTTATAAATGTCCTAACTGCAATAACTATAGCACTGGGTGTTATCTAATAAATTATATCTTACACTTGATTATGGTGATTGTTTTCTTATTGTGATTTTTGCTTATATTATGTGGTGGTAGTGGTGGTGGTGGTGGTGGTGGTATCTAGGTGTGTTGTTGTTTACACTGTTTACTATTAGGTGCATCCAACATCACACATTTTTTGGTTTGTAGCCCTTAACAGATTGCTACCCTCTTCTCCGTTTATTCATTCTATTGGAGTTGTTTTCGAGCAGTATTTTCATTCATTTTGGCTATATCTAAGTGCCAGTTCTGGAGTGTGGGCAGAGCCATCTAGCAAGATAGCGCGGTATACACACTCGTGTATATGACACATTAGCAGCGGTTATTTTTATGCAATGCGCACGCGCGATTAGAAGGCGTACGCAAGTGCAAGTTGACGGCCTGCGCATGCGCACTACTGTGGGTAGGTGCGATGCCAATAAACAGAGTGGCGGTGTGAGGTTACACCCTGTATAATACGCATGCGTGGGGATAATGAGTTCAGACGAGGGAGAGGACATCCATTGCATATTTAATTATTTCAAGGTATATGATATTGTGCTTTTATTTGTTTGTGCATATATATTATGTTATTCTTTTAAATTACCAGCACCTGAGGTGATGATGTCACTTCCGGGGCTGGTGGTAATTACATGCTGATGTCCATCAGCTGTTGGGGCTTTATAAGCAGACACATGAGGACACAGATACAGGTATCCTTGATAAAGGCAGCCAGTTGGTGCCGAAACGTTGGGGGTAGTTGGTGACTTGTGTCTCTGCCTTGAGGCTTGTAAGGTTTGGATATATTATTTTGAGTGCAATTTTCCTTGTACTGTTACTCTGTTCCTATTTTGTATAATACGTAAAAATATTCTCTTTTGGCATACTTATTAAAGGTTTATATTTAATATCAGTGAGTGTTATAGTGTGCATTCTATATTCTATAGTGATTATAGTGTTTAAGCACTTGAGGGAGTGCTTGTATGGTTTGCACCTGGCTTATATTGATCATTTAATAGTAATTTTGTCTCTCTGTGTGGTTTTTGTTTATAGTCTTCAAATGTAAGCCTTATGCACAGTTTGAATGCCAACTTAGCTGTAGCTTTTGGCTGGGCTTTTTCTCCTAGAATGTTTTATTTTATTTTTTTAATAGATGTTTGTTCATCTAAGCACGTATGCACATGGAAGAAATATCAAAGAATGCTTGTGCTCATACAATGCTTTATATGTATATGCCTCTGTAGATGCCCTGTAGATGGTGAAGTAATCCTGAACTTGTAAGTAGCTGAAAGTTCAGCTACTTTGGCCTTTAATTTGAAATTCAAATTTAATTCTCAACTATTCTGACTTTAGTGAATTAACATGTACGTCACGGTCATAGAAAAACTTTAGAAGATTTCACTAATATGCTAAGGCCATTATAATAGGACTTTACATACCAGCTTTGTTTACGCTGCCTTTCTCCTCTGCAAAATGGATGCCATCAAATCGTACATCTTGGTCCAAAATCTCAGCAAAACGATTCTGCAAATCTTCAGCAGATTCATCTCCAAATACATAATCACAAAGCATTACACTGGAGCCATGTATAGGAACAAACACTCGTTGTGGAAGTGGAGTGGTTGTCTTTTCAGATTCTAGAACAAAAGAATGACAAGTCAGCAAACAAACACATTTCTCACTAAAGAGAATAACCACATCAGTGAATAGGGCAGTGAATAAGGATCAGCATGCCACACAAGGACCTGGGTGTGATATTATGTCCCCCTATTTATCAGCTCTCAACATCACATCTGTTTGGGATGCCATGCGGGACAAACGGTCATCACAGAGAGTATAACACTGGACGATTTATGAAAGTGTTTTTTAAAAAGCGACGTCACCAATGCAACGTGTCTGCCCAATTTCATACTTTGCTCCACTGTTTAGAACCGAACACCTTATAAAAGTCCCTCTGTTTCAAACGGTCACATAACCTTCCCCACTCACAGAACCTTGACACTAACTTTTTCTCCACTAGCATTTATTACCCCTGTAATGAATGGCCCCCTGTCTGACACTCTCCCTGAGATGTAGATTTCTTTACATCACCGGGACTGATCTAAGGTTTTAAACATGGGCCTGTGAAATAGGGAGAAGGATGCTGAACCTATCTGATTTTCAGTTTGGCACAGTTGTGGAAAGCCAATTGAAAAGTACTACATATATTAAGATGCGTTAGAACATGTTCATTTTATTTGAAAAGAACATCCACATGATTTTGAACAAACAACTATGGCCTGTGGCTAACAAACAATTGTTGGATTTCTAGTCCAGTAACATCTAGTGGTCAGTTTGAAATTGTATTCGCATGTGGGCACAAAATGACTCAGAATTTACCTCATTTTTTTTGTGATTTTTTTCCTCACGTGAGTTGGAGAAGAGCATCAGAGAAAACACTTGTGGCAGTGAGACACGGATTGCTAAATAGGACTTTCCCAGCAGATATGGGACAGCTGGGAGGTGAGGGTTTCAAAGAAACACAAATGACTATATAGTTAAGCTGCAATATTGTATTGCGCCAATCACTTCATCATCATCTCGTACCTCTTGAATGGGACAAGAATAGTATTTAGGTTCCATTCTGCCCCTGTGGGTCTGATATGCAAAGGGTATAGGTCCCTTCTGTAATGGTAGAAGTGAACATTAATTTCAGACTGACCAAATTAAAATTAATCAAAGATACACTTCAGTTAGTTCTCTTTTTGTATATTTTACTCTCTGCATATAGTATCTGATGCAAAAGTATTTAATGCAAGTCATTGTGTACTTCCACAGACACACATACATTTGGGAGTAAAAAATATGCTTTCTAAATTTATGGTGAATGCAAAACACGTGTGGGTCTTTATAAACAGTTTATATGTCAACTCCTCTGCTTGCATAGTAATCTTCAGTCTCATGTAATATTTCAACTGTCTATTATATCAACAGTGTGTGTGGGCCAAGCAAAGCTCAAAGCAAGAACAGCCAGCAGGTATACATAACCCAGCTGTTGCAGAACAAGAACCCCCAAGATGCCTTGCAGGCAATTGAGAAAGCATCAAGGAAACTGTAGTTCCACAATAGCTGGGGGTTCACCTACCTACCCCTGGCTAAAGTCCTTAAACATAAACAAGCTGCCATCAAGGATTGTGATATAATTTGATTAAAGTCACACTAAACACGCTAGTGTCACATAATAATTCCTATGAAATAGAGTGCAATATCATACTCTGTTTTCCATACTATAATTTGACCCTATACATACTCTTGTCCTTTTTATGAAATTATTACCATTTTGTGGTCCATTGAGGATGATGTCTTCAAATAAAATTTCACAGCGGTCGGCAATGGTGTTAAGAATATCTCTTTTTAAAGCCTTGGAGAAAAAAAAGATGGTGTTTTGACTTTTTTTTCCTCCTTCTTTTTAAACGCTTGATTTTAATCTTACAGTATGTCAAAAGAAGATTGTACCACTTTAACGATGTAACCTCCATCCCATTATGTGTGATGTCTAGGTTAGATGCATGATTTCCGAGTTATTGGTCTATAAAATCTATAATGTTGGTTAGATCTATGGGCTTTGGTTGCGGAATTATAAATGTGAGCCAACAACAAGTTAAATCTCTGAATCCCTCATTTGCTTCAGCTGATACCATGAGTAACTTTGTGCCAGTATCATTTATCACTTTACAGTTTTGTCAAACTAAAATATGTGTTTATAATAAGAAATAAAAAAGGATTGCTTTTATTTAAAAAAACATTTTTTTTTAAAAATGAAGGATTAGAGATGGACTCTTTTCACACACTTTATTGTGAATATTAATAGCTTGGAGGTTGTGAGAGGAAATTGCTGGTGGACAGCAAGCTCAATCAGGTATTTTGAAGGGTTACTCCAAGTACCATGACAACTTCAGTGATTTGAATGGGTCATGGTGCCTGGAAATTGTTTGTGCAGCTTTTCACAATTAAAACACTCCAGTACAAATTTTAACCCCGATTAATCCTGGACCCTTGATATACCTCAGGGGAAAAAATGATTCCCCCCAAGACAATTTTTGTTGTGAATTCAGAGTATGCAATATTCGGTAAGCATAAAATTGACATTAAAAAAGAATGGATAGTATAATGACATTCACTTTTTGAAGCATGAATAGCCATATATAAACAAAACAAACCTGTGTTCAGTCAGACAGTGGTTAGCACAGGGAACTGTCAGAAAGGACAAAACTAGATTCGGTTAGCGAGAACCATGTCTGGACGACATTTTTAAAAGTTAAAATCAGTCCAGACACTCAGGATTCCTGCAGGAAGGCAGGTTTATTGTAACAAAAACTGCAACGTTTTGGCCTGCACAGAGGTCTTTATAAAGCTGTGTAGGTCGAAGCGTTGCAGTTTTTGTTCCAATAAACCTACCTTCCTGCAGCAATCCTGAGTGCGTTGACATAATTTATTTTATCTACTAAACTGGGTTTTGCCTGCACCGGCCCTGATAAGCACCTGGTTTCCTCAGTTTGAGTGTGGTATCCTCCGTTTGTGAATCACATTTTTAAAGTGACAGATGTTTTACAGTGATGATGTTATATTTCAGGACCCATCAGACCTACATTCTTCATTTAGGTGTCAAAACAAAGACAGAAAATAACTCCTCAGAGCAACCTTTCCACCATTTTCCAAAATGGCAGCACTATAATGATGTGTTTTGGCCATCATATTGGTTTTGTTTCAGGTTTTCCATTGCTTCAAAATCATAAACATGAGTGAAGCAGGTGGTAGCAGAGGATCTTTACCTCCTGACAGAGTATTGCCAATTATAAAACCTGTGGACTCCTTCAACAAAGAAAAATGTGTCATATGTCAAACTAATGAAACAAAAGCCAACATCAACTGCGGCTGGACAGAAGAGAGTTTGAGATGCTGCAGAAATACAGTAAGAGGAAGTTCACAAAATATTGAAACTGATGGGTGAGGAGGATCAAATAATTTATCATTGTAACAAGTGCTACAAGACGTATACAGTGGGAAAAAAGTAAAAAAATAGCAGAAACCAGTGAATTACAACAAAATTCAGAGTCTTCTGAGAAAGTGAAAACAACCAATTCCAGTGCCCTTCTACTAAGAAGATTAGTTGCTACCACTGGTCCATCTCTAACCACTGATCAGAAAGCAGAGGATCTTCAATGTGTTATATGTGGTTTAGCCAGAACAAGGGTGAAAGGGATTGACGAAAGAACAAAGTACAGAGTATGTGAGTCTCAAAGGGAAAACAGGCTTTTTTATCTGCAGCTAGTTCCTTCCAAGATGAAGTTTTCGGCCGAGTAGCTGATTTGAACAGCAAAGTGAATTTGTAGCGGATTTTGTATGGCCACCAGAACTGCATAAATGCATACATTTGAAAATCTGTACAATGATCTCCCAGCAGCAACGTAACAGCCAGACTTCAGTTAAGTTTGCAGTCAATGAAAAAGCAAATTAAGTTTTATAGTCACTCTTTAGTAATACCATTCAAGTCACAAACTACGCAACAGTATACACAGCTCTAAAAAAAATTCCAAAATGTACGTGCTCAGATTGAAGACCAGCCTATCCTGCCAATTTTCTGAGATGAAGATATTTTCCGTATTGTAGCTGACATTTTTATGAGCAATCCAGTATAATGTGATACATTTTCGGTCTTTATAAGATTACTTGATCCCCAATAACTGTTTTGACACCAAAATGAAGTCTATAGGTTTAGTGGTTCCTGAAAAATTACATTATTACTACAACACACCTCTGCATGGATCAGCAATGCCTACCAAAGCTAAATTACTTCTCTTATTATCCAAAAATACAAAATTTCTGAACAACAATTCTTTTACGGAGGTATATCAGGGAGTCGGGATTACACACACAGATTGCCATATTTACAGGGTTCTCATTGCATCATAAACACTACAGCAGACTGTAGTGGTTATGATACTGGAGTAACCTTTTAACAAGAGCTACAATTGAAACATGACGTGGTCTTGAAACACTGTACCCATGGAAAGAGATACTAGGAGCATGCTCAGTATTGCGTTATTTTTTATGAACAGTCTTTACGTTTGAATACTCAAGCATCCAAATGGCAGAGCACAGTGAATGCACTGTACGCACCATCGGTTCCGCATTAGATTGAAGAACATCACAATAGCACTAGATAAAGGGTGGGTACTATAACCACGTCACCTCAAAGAAGTGGTGATGGTGCCTATAGTCTTAACTTCTAGTGATAAACCATTTTGAACAGTTTAAAAGAGAAGTAGTGTCCCCAGGCACCTATCAGCTACCTCTCCTTGGAAGTTCAGCCAAATGTCACTATACACTAAGGAGAGGAATTTACTTATATGTATACATTTAACAGTAATTTCATGTTATCTTTCCAGAAATGCAAACGTTATTTAGAAAAATAGTAATTTTCATTACCAATTTAACTCAAGAGCAGTGTCTGCATCAACAAAAAAAACACAATATATCTGAAAACGTACAATGCTAATTTTGCTAGATTGGCAGAATATGTCAGCTGTATGCAAAAGAAAATAGAAATAAAATGAAAAATATAGGTACAAATTTGTATACAATTTTCTAAACACAACTGAACCCAATCTATTGGTTGTACAGAATTCCCCACTAGCAGGTCTTGTTCATCAAAGTAACTAACTAAAATACCTGAAAAGCTTCATTCACTTTTGCTTTGGTGCTCTGGATATAAGCTCTACATTTTACAATGCCTTGAATTCTAAGAGAAGATTTGCAGGTCTGAACAACAGCTGTAGATCTAGTGTCGTTGCTCAATAACTAAAAGAAAAATAATAAAAACAAGAAATTTAAACAAAAGGGATTTAAAAGAGCTAAAACATTGTTCCACAGAAATCAGGTGTGTAAGTTTTGTTACATTATGTTTAGTATGAATATAATATGAAATGTCATGTGCTAGAGCAGGCTTCAAATATGTCACGGGACACGCAAACAATACATTGATGTTTTCATTATATTGTTGTTATACTGACATCTTGTGTCATTAAACAGGAATAGCAAGCACAGACAAAAAACGTTTTCTAGCTTTTAAAGGGATCCTATAGTGCCAGGAATACAAACCAGTTTTCCTGGCACTATAGGCTCTTGGAGTGCCCCCCTACCTCGGCGCTGAAGGGGTTCAAACCAACCCATAGGAAAGCATTATTCAATGCTTTCCTATGGGGATCTTATTTAACGCTGGACTCCGTGAGGACGTCCAGAGTCAAATAAGTGCGATTTACTTTAGGTGTGATTTACTTTAGTGTAAATCGTGGAAGCGCCTCTAGTGCGCCTCTCTCTGAAACTACTATGTTTTCAGCGGCAGGGATAAAACTAGGGGGACCTGGCACCCAGACCACTTAATTGAGCTGAAGTGGTCTGGGTGCCTATAGTGGTCCTTTAAAGAATAATTGTCATCAACTTTTTACTTTTAACCATTTATTACATTTAATAAAATATATAATTTTTTGAATGATGTTTATTGATATTTGTTTTGGAGAAAATATCACTTTTTTATCTGTCTGAGCAGCAGTGTTATGTCAGATTTTACTGTTATTTAAGAAACTGCTATTCAACCTTAATTGCCTGCTGGCTCGTTAGATAGCAGTGAGTAGCAGTTGGACAGATAAGAATAATTAAAACTAAAGTAATTTTATTAAATGTAATACATTTCTATAAAACGAGAAATGGAAATTTGATAATGGTTGTTCTTACAGAATTTTGAATTGTTACAATAATAAATGATCTTTAGAGGAAAGAATCACAACAGCAAATCATTGTATCTGTGGTTCAGCCCTTAGTACCAGTGTACCATTTTGTACAAGCAGAACTCTGCAGCTTTTGTGGGCACAGCATTAAATAGTACTGGATAAGTGAGTCAAGCTGATGTCAGCACTACATCAGAACTTTGACAAGAGACTAAGGGTGTTGATGCACAGTGCAAATCAATCTGCAAGTGGTTACTGCTGCCAAGGCCCATAAATGGTTGCTTGCCTCAGAGTTCCAAAAAACAAGAACGGTATCTGGGGAGATCAGAGACAAAGGGAAATATGACAATAAAAAAAGGTCTGGAAAGAAAGTTAACTGAGAAGCAAAGTGAGTGGGTTTATTGAAATAGAAGGTAACTGAAGGTTGGTATAATGTGAAAGACTTATAGGCACCCAGACCACTTCATCTCATAGAAGCCATGTTCTTCCCACCCCCTTTTAACCCTGCAGTTAAAGACATTGCTTCTGCAGGAACGTCAATATGAAAGTCATGAGAGGCACTTCCATAATATAGCAGATTAAAACTCAGCTTGTTTAGTCAGATGACCTCAAGAGACCATGTGATTGGCGCAGCGTGGATTTTTGCCATGCATGCACACTAAACTCCCAATGCTTTTCTGTGGAAAAGCATTGGATTCGCTGGGATCGTCAGCACTGATGATCTCAGCCAAAGAGGTTGAGTTTGAGCAAGAAGACCAGAGCAGAGAGAGAAAAAGGTAAGTAAACTCCGTTTTTAAACTCTGGCAGCGCTGGCCTGGTCACCTAAATAATGACTAGGACACAATAGCGTTGGTAATACACATTTGTATTCCTAATTCTAAAGTGTTCCATGAAAAGGCATTTTTCAATGAAGAGGATGTATTTACTGAACACAACCTAGTAATAAGCAGGGAAGACTTCCAGGATGTTTTAATAATGACACTTATCTAACCAGGAAGATGTACACATTATCAGTGTATATACTGCTGCAAATCCCAATCCAGATTGCTACTTACTGATGGCTTGACTATGCTTGCTTTAATCATTTGTGAACTGGAATGAGCCACCGATCTTGCTTTTTTCTGAAAGTGATAAAGAATCAGATATTAAAATCTGTATAATTCGTACAGTGTGTAATACGTACAGTATAATACTTACAAAAGTGAAACTGTGGATAATTTTCTCCCCAAAAATCCACAATCCACCTAACCTTAATAAACACACTAATAAAAATAAAAGGGCATTGTATAAAGTTTAAAATATATAAAGTGCACGTGAGCCGTCATGAGAAAGCATTAAATTACAATGGAAAAAAAAAAACACATAGCACATATCCCATTAAGGACCTATAAACAATGCACGAGCACAAGGCCATCCACCTTACCTAAAAGATACTCTGATTCATCAGACCAGGCAACCTTTTTCCATTGTGTTCAGTTCTGATACTCATGCTACAGGAACTCTTCTGTGTGATCAGACCGGACAGGCTAGCCTTCATTCCCCATGTGCAGCAGTGAGCCATGGGGGCCCATGACCCTGATGCCGGTTCACGGGTTGTCCTTCCTTGCACCACTTTTGGTAGGTACTAACCACTGCATACTAGGAACACCCCACAAAAATTGTAGTTTTGAAGATGCTCAGACCCAGTCGTCTAGCCATCACTATTTGGACCTTGTCAAGGTCACTAAGATCTTTTCGCTTGCCTATTGTTCCTGCTTCCAACACATGAAATTTAAGAACACAAACACTCGGAATCTTGGAAAGCCTCAGTCACAATGAGATTAAACATGTCTGTTTAGCAGTTAGCTTGATTGAGATATATAGATATATGTTGTTAATTTAAAAAAAAAAAAACTTTTTAATTGAAGTTATCTTTTTTATAATATTTGGTCAAAATATTAGAAAACAAATAGCACTTTTGTTTTGATCTACAACTGCAACTCAAGCTGAATTGTAATTTTTCTGTAAACCTATTAAAGATGTATATACTTTTGATCGGTGTTATTGGTCATTTTCTTACTTGATCTTCAAGCAGATCACTAGATTTGTCTTTAACTTGTCCATTAAGAAGGATTATGATATCATCAAGTTCCTTGGCCCACTTGGCAAGACCAGTCTGCAACAGAATAAAAAAAAATACAATTTAATCTGTCCATTGTACTCGCAAATTCTCTAGAAAACATGTATAACAGGGCTGGAATTACATACCAGTTGCCTGTAGGTAAAGAACTCTAAGCTTCCCACTTGCAGTCCCCCCAATAAACAGATAAAGTGAGTTTAATGCATTTATTAACTGGACATTGCATGCATAAAAATATCTAAAATACATACATTAATATTTGATAACTGTGTATGTATGTGTATATATATATATATATATATATATATATATGTATGTGGATATTTCTGCTTGTAATGTATTGTATCTCTGAGTATAGTGAGTGTATGCAGCTGTGTAAATGCATGCTGGGTTAAATATAAAGTTAGAAGCTCTGCAGTTCTGCCTACCCCCCCCAACCCCCAACCCCTACCAGTCCCTTCCTTCTTCATCTTCCATCTGATTTTCTGCAGTGCAGTGCTTTTCTGTCTGTGGTGCCAACCATCAAATCTGGCATTAACTGAACATACTAACAGCAATCACACTCCTATCACTCTCAGGCAGCCAGTACAAGTTGGAATTAGTGAGATCCCAGCAAATACAGTGCTGTTAATGATAGTAATGTGACTTTTAACAGTAGTCACACTCCTATCACTCTCAGGCAGCCAGCTCAGTATATTACAGTAGATTATTCCCTGTCTCACCTCCCTGCCTTCAGCTGAGCTCTGCATGTGGGGACTCACAGAAAGAGGTGATGAGAGGTAACGACATGGCACTTCATTGACTGGCAGCTATAGTTTCTGGATGCAGAAGACAGCGTATGGTGACTGGAAGAAGTGAGTGACTTATCAGTACTATCGGTAAATTATAAGGCTGACACAGATTATCGGCTCTAATAGCTAGCGGAACGATAATCAGCCTATCCTTAATTTGTAGAGTGATTTATGCATTCACACAATGCTGCTCACACCCCAGTACTATGTATGACTGTGCAGATTGCATTCGGAGAATGAGTTGGAGTATTTTGGGATGGTTGCACATTTCAGTAAACTGGCAGACTTGCACCTTTATAATATATATTTGCTATCACTTTATCTACTACTTCAGTGATGGCGAACCTGTGGCACACCGGGCCTTTTCTGTGGGCACGCGGCCATAGGTTCGCCATCAATGCAGAGTAGGCACCTGCCTGCCCAAAACAGCAGGCGCCTACTCTGCTTCCGTGTTGGGAGGCAGGGGGAAGGATCTATGAAGCAGCTCCCCTGTCCTCCCGCGAGCAAGCTGTGTGGAGCGTTGCCGCACGTTACCATGGCAACGCTCCACACAGCATCGCGCGGGAGGACAGGGGAGCTGCTTCACAGATCCCTCCCCCTGCCTCCCAACACGGAAGCAGTGCTTGCCACCACCGGACCACCAGGGATGGCTGTGTCCCCCCCTCCTTCATTAAAGGTAAGAAGGGAGGGGATACTGATTTAGCATTTTTTTTTTTTAAACACCTTTACCCCAGCCCCACACACACACAGCACCTCTACCCCCCACACAGCACCCCTCCGCCACACACAGCATCCCTCCCCCACCAGCTTCCCTCCCCACCCCTACTCCCCCACACAGCATCCCTACCCCCACACACAGCACCCCCACAACACACACAGCACCCCTACCCCCATAGCACAGCACCCTTACCGCCCAGCACCCCTACCCTACACACACACACAGCACCCCTCACCACACACACACACACAGCACCCCTCACTCACACACACACAGCACCCTCACTCACACACATCACCCTTCACACACACACACAACACCCCTCACACACACACACACACAGCACCCCTCATACAAACACACAGCACCCTTCATACACACACACACACACACACACACAGCACCCCTCATACACACACACAACACCCCTCACACACACACACACAACACCCCTCACACACACACACACAACACCCCTCACACACACAACACCCCTCACACACACACAACACCCCTCACACACAGCACCCCACACATAAACACATACACTACACCCCTCAATGCAGTATGTGTGTGTATTCAGCGGTCTGTGTGTGTGTGCATGTATTCAGCAGTCTGTGTGTGTGTGTGTGTGTGTGTGTGTGTAGTCAGCGGACTGTGTGTGTATGTATTCAGCAGACTGTGTGTGTACGTGTTCAGCAGTCTGTGTATGTATTCGGCAGTCTGTGTGTGTGTACTCAGCAGTCTGTATGTATGTGTATTCAGCAGACCGTGTGTGTGTGTATTCATCAGTCTCTGTATTCAGCAGTCTTGTGTGTGTATTCAGCAGTGTGTGTGTGTGTATTCAGCAGTGTGTGTGTGTGTATTCAGCAGTCTGTGTGTGTATGTTTTGCATTTGTTGGAGATACTAATAAATATAAGCTTAATTTTATCAATTTATATCATTATTTAAAATTTGTATCATTGAACTCTCTGGTGTTGTGTTCTTTTAAAACAAAAGTTGTTAATTAGTTCGGACAGTATTTTTTATATATAAATAGTTCGGACAACAGTACGAGTTGTTTTTTTCTAAACTTAAACCTCAGTATTGAGGTTTAATTGCCGTGTTGGCACTTTAAGGGAAAAAAAGTTGGCATGTATTGCGGTTTGGGCACTCGGGCTCAAAAAGGTTCGCCATCACTGTACTACCTGAATAGGTGACATTTTATTATATGTTCTATACATTATGAAAATGTCACTTTTTTAATGACACACTCATCTTGTAAGATTTTGATTTTGTAACAAAGTTATAGTTATGTAGTGATTATGGTGCTTAGACCATTCTTAAAAAAAAAAAAAAAGAAAAATCAATGAAAAAAAAAAAGAACTATTTTGCAGACAAACACTAAATTTCACTAAAATGCTTTTATGTAGACACTCACCCTTGTAGATTTTTGTTGTTCTTTATAAGACGATGAAGAGGAGATAAGTGGAATAGTAACATCTACACAAACATTACAATCTATGGTCAGCCAGGACAATGCCGAATTTTGGTATTTCCAATCTGCAGGCTTGGCTGTACTCTTGGAAAGAAAGGGAAAATATAGAAATGTATTGCTTTTCTGACTGTGGCAAACATCAGCATTCTTGTAGTTAAATATATATATTATTCTTTGAAATTATTACCAATATTCTAAATTACCTTTGGATCTTTAACATCAAAGGTGCGACATGTGATTCTTCAAAAGAAAACCAAACAAAATGCAGGTGAGAATACTGAAAATATGATAGTTTGTCAATGTGCACATTCTTGTATAGCAACTATTAATTCTTTCATCTTAGACATATTCAAACAGAAAAGCAAAACACATTTCAGTAGTGGATTCTGGTAACAGCCACTAGAGGTGGAGTTAACCCTGGATAGTAATTTTTGCAGTTTCTCATTACTATTGCAGGGTTAAGGGAGATGGGACATTGCCTCCAGACCACTTCAATGAGCTGAAGTGGTCTGGGTGCCTACAGTGTCCCTTTAAGCAATGAGTAATGAATGATATGATGTGTAAAACAATGAGATCATACTTTCTGGTTGCAGAGCATATGTGAACAGCTACCCTCTCAGATACATCATTGTCATCAGAGGTCCATAATCTGTTCTTCATTGAGGATTTCTCCACTGTAAAAATAAGCTGTTGAGATGGATATCATCATTATAATTAGTAAGATTACAAATAACTCATTTACGAAATCATGAACTAAGGGCAAAATAGACAAATATCTTAAAGTTTTTTTGTTTCCAGATTGTCTTTATTGGATTACAAATGTCTATTGTCTTATAACTTTTCTACAATTTACAATCATCTTTGTATGATTCTTTCAAGTCGCACATGTGCTTTACCAGGACCAAGTGATACATTAAGACTTTTAGTACTTGAACCATTTTATCATAAAGTTATGTAACACTATTTTTTTTCTTGAAATATCTTCCTATTTATTTCACTAAAGCTAAAATCCACAGATCCTGGCACAGCTTGATAAGGTCTGTAAAGTAGCGTCAATAGCTTCCTTTTAATTCTACACACAAGTATATGGATAAAGTTGCAGTTGCCATTGTTCACAAACTTTGTTTGCAATGGGTTTTTTTATGCAGAAACAGACGATTTACTACAGAAAATTATGCCTCTGCTTAAATATATGCAAGCAATAAGGGTCTTCATCAAGATTCATACATACGTATAATCAAGCAAGGAACATATACATTTATGCTATGAAAAGTTACAAATATACAAAGGAGTATTCTTGCCTTTCTTAGTGCATTCTGCGAATCCTTTGAAAGATCTGGAGATGTCACGAGAAATACACCCAATACCAGGAGACCACCAGGTAGCATGCGGCCCACCTAACAAATTTCATCAGAAAACCATTAATCATTTAAAATATTCTAATCATTTAAAGTTTTAATACCTTTTTAAATTTACTGTGCAATATTGCCCTATGAGGTTGTTGTTTTTTCCTTTTTTACATGTGTACCTTCTATGTGGAGTCAACTCATACCAATGTAAATTGTGTGTAAGTAAAGTGTGGCCCTTTACACTGCTCTTTTGCACAAGAATTGAAGCACTTTATTGTTATCTATTTATTGCACTAGTGCACATTTATTTTTGCACTTCAAGATATATGCACTTTAGCAAATAACATTTATACAAAGATTTTACATATTTTACTAAGTACACGTCTTAAAGACACAGCGCACCTTATTTGTTTTTAATATTGTACTGAGTTTTATTTTGGGTTTATACAACGTGTGAAGTGAAGCTTTATTTGAATGTTTCTCTGGTCCGCTTATTAGCGCCATTGTTACTTGAATTTGTATGTTTTCGAATGTATAATTAATAAATATCCATAATGGTAACTCATAAAACAGTTTCAAATATTATGTTTTAACAGATTAATAATTTGTTCACAGACTGCAGAGAACTATACAGTTACCAGTAACAGACAGAACTCATCAATCACACAGCAAGAGATCTAATATTAGTGTGAGACAGACTGACCATCACAGACTGTACTAAAAGAATGGGTACTTCTACAAGGCAAATAGGGAGGGCCAGCACGCCACTCAAAATTTGGGTGCAGATCTCTAAGGTCTCCTTCCAATCATCTCATAAACAGTGTAAAAAACAATAAGGAATATATACCTAACCTGTTATAGTTTAGCGCTTTCCGAACCAGAGGCAAAATCACTCGCCTGTACACTATCACACTATTAACAAGCCATCACAGTGTACTATGCCTGTCTTCATCATTAAAAAATTGTGCAGTCTATTCTTTTAGACATGTAACTTTGGATATCTCCTCAGTCACTAAGCAATGTCGTGATCACTGAAATCCTGTATCTTATTTTATGCACAACAAAAAAAAAAAAAAAAAAAAACAATAAGGAAGCGAAACACCAAAATAAATGACTAAGAGATTTATTACACCTGTGTGGAACCGGCAACATTTAAAATAAAAAAAAAATGTTATGGTACTTTACTTTGACTTCTCCAAGGTGTTTCCAGCAAATATGTGGCTTCCGTTAATTATTCACCTTTTATGCAGATTCTGGTCACTAACCATCACTGGAATTTTAACAGGGTTATTCACTAATGTGAGAATTGTCAGTTCCCAATTGTAGACAAAAATAAATTAAAATAATCAAGCCAAAATTGAAAACTTTTCCAACTCAGCTATTTTGTTCTACAAATTAAAACTCACTTTTAAGTGTAAGTTTTGTATGTAACCTTGTACATTCTGGTTGATCTCTCTGTACTGTGAAGTAATCAGTGAACTAACCAGAATAAAGCATTTAATTTAAAATACCAGTTTGATGGGTTGTTTTTTTTTTTCTTAGGGATTCCTTCTATGGTAAAAGACAAAGCAAGCAAACTACATAAAGGTTATCATTTTATATAAGAAAGCCATTTATATGTATGCATTACTAGCACTTTAATAATCCTCTTTCCTGACACTTAGAAAAATCTTTTGGTTCCTTTTAACTTCACCCAATTGCTAAATCATACCAGCATTCATAAAACCCCATTTAAAATATGCTAAGATTTTAAAGTAAATTTAAATGTACTTGTTCTTGCATAGATATGCCAAAATGACTGGACAACGGAAGGACTCATTTCTGCGCAAGGTCCAACTAGAGTTGTGTTATACATACCTGGCTAGCGTGAACAGAAACCCATTCATCATCAATTTCATCCAATTTGGACAGAATAGGTTTTTTGGGAGGTTCTTCGCTATTCTCTTTTTGTGGAGTTTGAGCAGCCAGAATTACATAATCTCTTTGCGTACAGCACTGCGAACAAGATAAACCATTTCATAATTACTGTTTTCATTGAACACTATCAATGTTTTGCTTAAACACATTGGGGGTTATTCACTAAAACCAGTAAAGTGATGAAATGACAAGAGAACTGCAAGTTACTATTTAGACTAAAATTGCAATATCTGTATTCATAAATATTTTAAATTAAATTAACTCATGGTTTAGCAAAAAATTCCCATACATAAGCATTTTTATCTTATTGTTAAATGTATATTCTCAATGTATATTTCCTGGTAAAATATTTTATAAATAAATAAATATTCATGTGATTATATTGAATTGAAAGTGGAAATGTTATGGTGCCTGGAGTCCCCCATTGCCTTCTTACCTTTAAATTTTAAACAATTTTTCAAAAGGTTGAACACTGAAGTGGAGTCCTCCAGGTGATGGTCTAGTTTTCTCAACAAATGAAGAAATGTTTGCTCGAGCTGCAGTAATAAGCTGACAGCGCCTTTCACTGGCCACCAATGGCCCACAGAGCTCTTTTAATATGAAAGCAAATTGGATCTTTAGTATATAAACATTTACTTACTTGGCCTATAATGAGTCCAGTTACATATGGTTTCTGTAGCTGAATGATTTTGGAGAAATATTTCTCAACTGTATCTTCTATATAATAACTTCTACCCATTTTCTTTTTAGTGCTGATAAATTATGTCTGCCAAACAAAAGTGTGGTTAGTTATACATTATTTCTTTTATTTTTTAAATAAACAGAGTTGAAAAGTTTACATAAATAGTGAACAATGATTAACTTTTCCTTTGAATAGAGAATAAAATAGTAAAACAAAAAAACTGAATTATTTCTATAAAATGGTCTATTCACACGTCATTCTTTCACTTAAATGAATCACTTTGTTATCTACGAGTCTTTATACAAGGTTCCATTCCATATGTTTACTGGGCACTAATGTTGGAGACAGGGCTGTGAGAATTAAACACTTTCCAGTAGAAGCAATTTACCAGAGCCATTTAGAACTATGTGCATATAAAAATAATGTCTTAAATGATGATCATATAAAAGACTATCACGTGTTGGGTTGAGCACCTAAACATCATATAAATTATTAGTATTATTATTATTAGATTCTCTAACCATCACCAGTTTTATGGTTTGAATTTCTAACCTTTTTCACAGACATTGCTATAAATTCAGATTCTAACATTAGAATGTTACTAACAAGGCTGGAATATTACTGCCTGTCCTGCTCAGCCATGAAATCACTATCAGAACATCACATTGAATGACAATTCTGCTATGGCAGAGATCCATAAGGCACAACACTGGCTCAAAACTCACTTTCACAGCTCCCATGTACAACAGCTCTGCTGAGTGGACTATAGAAGGACTTGACCAATCACAAGCAGCGCTGTAAATGACGTCATCATCCAGAGACGAAGGATTCTAAACACTAAAGAAAGAAGCAGGACTTTGGTCCACATATCAACACTCTGGGGTGACTCGGTTTGGGTGACTTGCGCTAAGCTCTTGTGTTTAGGACTCTAAACCCTGCGTGTTCTTACATTGGCTTTCCGCCGTTGTCACTACATTTCCCGGAGTGCTTTGCGAATTCCGCCGCCATTCTAAATAGACGTCACGTCAGGGTTCCCCCTTTGAGTGGCGCTTAGCCTGGCTTTCCCATCAGCCCCTGGAACACGGGTCGGCGGTATTTCCGATCCGCGCTGTTACCTCGTCCCCTTACAGCTCCGGGCGCCGGGAAGATGGCGGCCATGCTGCAGCAAGTGCTGGAGAGGGCTGAGCTCAGCAAGCTGCCCAAGGCCGTGCACAGCAAGCTGGAGAGAGCCTTCACCGACCAGCAGAGCGCCATAGACAGCCTGGAGGCTCGCTGCGAGAAACTGCGAGTGGACTGCGGTATGACCGGGGCCTGCAGCAGCGGGAGCCATGCGGGGGGGAGACAGACAGAGAGAGAGAGACACACACTGCCAGCCATATGTATATAATGATAATATCAACTTCTCCCATCATAATACTGGGAGATGGGGGCAGGGCAGCAAGCTGACAAAGAGTGTGTGTGTGTGTATAACCTGTATATGTACAATTTTATATATATATACACCAAGAGGCTGCACTCCTCTAAACAGCTGATGGTTGAAATTAAATGTATTGGAAAGCAGATTGTAATGTAGAATATACAAGTCGCAAACCTTTCAATAAAATGTTTGTTTTCAGCCTAACCGTTTGCGTAAGAAGATAAATAGAAATTGGTGCCAAACGTGGTCACCACCTGTCCCGGCATGGTCTGGTCAGTGGTGCCATCACTGACTTTATGGGATACTTTAGGAGCCTTAGTAACTTAATTTGAATGAAGTTGTTATGGTGTCTGGAGTCCCCAGTCACTGTGGTACATTTAAGGTTTAAACCCTTCTCCACTTATTTAACGTGTAAGATGTGTCCGCAGGGGTCAGTCTGACACACTTCAATGCTGCGTTGACATTCAGCTTCGCCAACTCTGCGTGGAGACGCTGAATGCTCCGCATAAAGATGCATTGACTTAATATGAGGAGATGCTGATTGGCTCAGTGTGGTGTCTTGCTGCGCATGTACATTAGGCTCTCAATGGTTTCAGGTTTGATGATCCAGGCCAGGGAGGCAGAGCGGGGACGGTGCCAGCTGCAAGGAGCAGCATCAGAAACCGTTAAGGACACATGACATGTGTGACATGTCATGATTCCCTTTTTATTCCAGAAGATTGGTCCTTAAGGGGTTAAACCTGTAGTGTCAGGAATACAAACAAAGTGTTCCTTTAAAGCACTGGCATCCATGGCACTGCTGTAAAACCTAGCATATCTGTGCCAAGGGCAAACTGGGGCAGTGAAGTCGCTGCTCCCCCTCCTGCCGGGCTCTGGGGAGAGGAAAGGGTTAAATCTTACCTTTTTTTTTTTTTCAGGGCGGGGAGCTCTCCGCCTTCGATCCTCCTCTTCGGCTGAATGCGCATGCGCGGCAGGAGCTGCGCACGCATTCAGCCAGTCTCATAGAAAAGAATTTCACAGTGAGAAGCACGCAAATGCCTCTAGCGGCTGTCAATGAGACAGCCACTAGAGGTTTTAGAGGCTGGATTAACCCATTTATAAACATAGCAGTTTCTCTGCATGGAGACGCTGAATTTTTCTCATGGAGATGCATTGATTCAGTGCTTCTCTATGAGGAGGTTCTGATTGGCCAAAACGGCTAAAAATCGGTCATTTTTATGTCACAAAGGGGGTGTGGCCAGCGCCGGCAGACTCGCACAGCGCTGGAGATAAGATGAGTTTTGTACCTTTTTATAGGGGGCAAGCCACCTAAATGCTGGGTTTAGCACTAAAAAAGTCAAGAAACGTGTTTGTTCCTGACCCCATAGTGATCCTTTAAAGCCTTTACTTTATGGCAAATACTATACTTTGTGTACTGTTAATATTCTTTATAGGCAAATCATTTTTAGTACCAATGAGCAATGTATTTTGGAAAGGCAGTTTTGTGTTGAGCGAGTCGATGTCGAAAAGGTCGCTGTCAGGAAAGCGGTAACAGGTTTCAGAAAGGATCTGTTTCTAAATATAACTTTTTGTGCTACAAAAACAGTTTTTTCTTTCGTGTGGTGGGGTTGGCCATCATCTTGACAAGTGGACAAAAAGGGTATGATTACCTCTTCAGTACGCTACACTAGTCATATGCTTCTCAACGAGGAGGATGGAATCCCGTGGATTAAGAGCGTTTTGTATTTGTCACGCTGGACATAACACTAAAGTTTTAGGTTTTCGAAGGGCTTCATGAGGAAGAATATGTAGTGGCTACCACACACTTAAAGCTGCTAAAGGAGTGGTAATTGACAAATGTAGACATTGCTTTTTTTTTTTTTTACAAAACTAAATGTAGCTCCAACTGACCAAGGTGATACCTAGGTATTGATCGATAGATCATTGGATCTCCAAAGCACCATCAGAGATTTTAACCCTTCATATGCTTAAAATTAGATTCTTATGGACCCTTTATATGCAATAGTACATATATATGCATAAAGAGTTAATTTGGTGCAGTTATGTGATTGTAATGACTTCAGTACGAATGTGTTCAAATATTCTGTAGTGCTGTACAAAAATCCATATATCTTGTTAACCAAGGACATTCTTGGTATAGACATTCATGCACAACTGTCATAACCACTGTACCATTATAAAACTGTATGAAGTAAACATATGTATTTAATGTCAATTTTTATGTACTGTTTTAACTTCAACACACTTTCGTTATATATCCTTCACAGATCAGCAACAGTTTGAAGTTGAAAAGAGACTGAGTCAGTGTCAACAGCGTCTTGTATCGGAGTCACAGGAATTTCATAATCTTAGGGAAAAATACAATAAACAAAGTATGAACTTCCATAATCTATGTAAATATTAAACATAAATGGGTCTACTGATCTGAAATGTAAGGGTGCTGTAGCTTAAATTTTGTTTTTAGTTTTGATTGGGGGGGGGGGGGTGATTAACACAGATGATATTCAGCAGAGTCCCCTGAATGTTTGCTTAATTAACCAGAATGGGTGTAAAGATCATGCCCCTGCAGTTTTACATCTCAATGCTCTGCCATTTAGGTGTTAAAACACTTTATTTAAAAAAAAAAAAAAATCCCTTCCTGTCCATGCAATCCTAGCTACACCTCTCCTGCCTGTGACTTACAAAGCCTGCGTTAAAATTGTTTTCATTTTCAAGCAGATGTTAGCTTGCTTTAGAAGTTTGTATATGCTACTCTGTAAAATGAGCTTTAATTACATACAGGAGGCTCCTTCATGATCTATTAACAGAGCTGGATATAAGAGATTCAAAATTAAACAGACTGTGCAATAAAGGAAGTCTAAATATTAGATCTCTCTTTACAGGAAGTGTTTAAATGGCAAAAAACTGAGCAGTGAGTGTGCAGAGGCATGAGCTAGACACAAACTGCTTCATTAAGCTAAAGTTCTATAGTATCCCTTTAAACTATTCCTGCCTGCAGTAGGAAAAACTGGAGCACCTAAGAATGCAGGCAGAGAAAGGGACATGGTGGATCCCATGTAAGAATTCAAACCATCTGGAAATGGTTTTTCTCCTTCAAGTGGGGAGCACCAAGTCTCTCTTGGCACAGTTATCACTGCAGGTTTCTTTAATGGTGCTTGATGTTCTTTTAACCCCACACTTAAGCTATGTTATATCCGCTCATATCTAGCACTCTGTAATAAGGATGCATTGTACCAACGAATAGGCGTGTGTTTTTCTTCTCTGCAGTTGTTTTGTTTAAAATATATAGTTCATGCAATATTTGTTTTTCTTAAGTTGACGAGCAAAAAGAATTGAATGAAAAGCTTCGAGACATAGAGTCTTCAAATGATCGACATATTGCTTTGCAGGTAATTCTAAAGGCATTCTTGTATAAATCTAAAACTTCTTATAAATTTTTTTTTCTGTGGAATGCAGGATAGATCCCGTTCCACTCGTTTACTTTGCATACCAAAAATAAACACCATTATGTAGCTCATCAGTGTGATAGAGTAGCTCTTGGCTTTTCAACAAAGATGCCGTAACTAAGTGTCTTTTTTTTTTTCTTTTAAGTACTCTCTTCCATTCTGTTTCTCTAGCCTATCGCTTGGATGGGACCACTCTTTTTCTGAATCACTTAAGTTTTCAGATTATCGATAAATATATTTATACGTTGTATACAGTTACTGCATTTTGTACCAATTTTCAGCTAGCTGTTATCTCCATTTATTGTGCGTGATGGTAAATATTCCTTTTAATCACTAGTGATTAGCCAACTGTCTGTCAGTGGTCCTAATAGTTGGATATACTTTCATTAATTGTTATATTATCAGTTGTTCCTCTGTACGTAATACCTGCATAACTTTCTCCCACACACTCCAGAGTCAATTGACCAGGGCTAAAGAATCTGTTGAAGCAGAAAATCGAGATTTGGTTCGGACAAATGAACGAAGAGCTCAAGAACTGGAACATTTAAATGGTATGGAAATCGTATAGTTGGAAAGAATTAAAGTTATGTTAACTGTATTAAAGTGAATATTCCAGCTAGCAAATGGGCATTGATATCGCTCAATGGCCATCAGTCGGTACACCTTTTACTACAGTAATAACATTTTCTTGGCCTTATTCTAGATGATATAAAGCGTCTCAATGAAAAACTTAAGGAAGCTAATGTAGCAAAGTTGGAGATGCAGTTGAAGCTGGATGAGTTACAGTCCTCCGAAGGCTCTGTAAAAGTGAGTTGTTTTTGTTTAGAGACCAGTTTGTGAATTATGTTGAATTAAGGTTTTTGTTTTGGGTGGGGAATTTTTTCTTTCCCTTTAAAAATATTATTCTTGAAAGGTCTTGAGTTCTTTGGAAAGTTGGTAATTGAATTACAACTCCCAGTCCTTACTGTGTCCATTACTCACTGCTTTCTTGAGTTTGGTTTATAGCACCTGAAGCTTGAAGTATTTGTTTACTTTACTGAAATATTTGTTATGGTGTGTTGCTGGTGTGTGGTTTTTTTTGTTTTGTTTGTTTTTTGTGTGGTTGTTTTGTTTTTTAAAATTTTATTTTTTGTTGTTGCTCTCCCAATAGTTCCGTGAGAAGCGTTTAGAACAAGAGAAAGAGCTTTTACAAAGTCAGAATACCTGGTTAAATAAGGAATTGCAATCCAAAACCGATGAGCTGTTGGCCATTCACAGAGAGAAGGGAAATGAAATTCTGGAACTTAAAGGAAATCTGGAAAACAAAAAAGATGAGGTAAATCTAGTGTGGTTTTGTGGGGGTTATTTACTTTTTATTTTTCTTCTTTCCCTACTGCCAAGGTGATCTTGGAAAGTCCCTCAACAATAAGGGAAGTATAAATCTCCCTTATTCCCCAACCCACTATGCTGGAGGTGAGGGCATGTCTACTAAACCGTAAGCAGCCAGCAGCTGCTCACTGTGTTTAAAAACTAGCGATGGTGATAAATCTGTAAACGTTTAGAAGGGACTGAACATTACGTTATGGGGGTTGGGCAGGTCTCTTGTTAAAACAAATAATAAATAGGGAATGGGACCCATCCTAGTATCTTCCCCTAGCCCAGGCCCCATTCATTTAAATGTGATGGGCTTTGTGGCATCCTCACCCCCCTATTGGTAGCAGGTGGGTGCTTTGTTAATATTAATAAATATTGTCCACCCCTCCACAACAGATGACTTGCACTGCTGAATGGTCACGGTTATTAGTAGAGACGCGCACACACACCCCCCACCCTCCCCCCCAATCTGTCCGTGGCTGGTAGGCAAATGTTTACTCAGTTGACCCTGGCTCTCGCTCTCCAATCCCGTAATATTTCTGGATTCAGGTAAAAAGCCTTTTTGCAATTCTCAAGTTTAGTGTGTACATCCTAGCTATATTAAATTGAGGCTTCCAAAAGGGGAATTGAGTTGATGACTTATTAGTGTACATGAACCTACACCAGCTTTAACTTTGTTTTCTTTTCTTCATTTTTGCCGGGGAGGTGTTTAGCCACATTTTATTAAACAAAAAATGACTGGTTATGTAACCCTATTAAACTGCATTGTTGAGCAGGGGTGTAGGGAATGGGAATACCTTTTGTGATGGACACGTGTTTCATTATGCTCATTTTTGAGACCACCTATAAATCAGTGAATTGTATTTAATTTTTTTTGTTAACAAATTTAAAAAGCAATGCTAGAGTTTCTCAATTTCCTGATTTCAAAATACTGCTTAACTTGTTTTTTGTGTTATTTTTTTTTTTTTTTTTATGGTTTTAAACTATTCTGTTCATACACTTTAGGGTTTTTAATATTCTATTGTCTCTTGGAATGATTGCCTGCTAGTTGTCGTTGTTTTCCCCCTTAACTCTTTATCCCCTGGCCATCTTATAAGGTCACCAGACTGGAGGAACAAACTAAAAGCCTCAAGACGTCAAATGAAAACTTACAAAAACAAGCTGAAGAACTGATGTTTAAGTTAAAGGAGGCAAGTAACTTCCAATGCTATTTTATTTCTTTTCATTTTTCTCTTGTGTAGTGTTGTAGTTTTATTGTAACTTCTACTCTACATGTTTAATACAGTGCTAGACCGATGTCATACAATGTTCCAGAACATTTTGTGCTACTTTAGAGTGCCTCTAGGAATGTGTGGTGTGTGGTGTGATGTGTTTTTTATTTTTTTTAATCACTTCATTGTAAAAAATATATATATATATATATATATATATATATATATATATATATATATATATATATATATATATATATATATATATATATATATATATATATTTTATAAAGGCCAGACACCGTTAATCCAAGTAACCACGAATGGGATTGATTGCAGGTACAGGAGTTGGTAATGGGCCACTCACTTCTGAGACTTTATTTTTAATATATCATCTGCAGATGAGCTTTTGTCTTGTATCTTTTGGCTGCATCTGAGTTTCATGAATTTAAGAGTTAAAGGGACACTATAGTCACCAAAACAACTTTAGCTTAATGAAGCAGTTTTGGTGTATAGATAATGTCCCTGCAGTCTCACTGCTCAATTCTCTGCCATTTAGGAGTTAAATCAATTAATGAACCCTAGTCACACATTCCTGCGTGTGACTTGCACAGCCTTCCTAAACACTTCATGTAAAGAGTAATCTAAAGTTTAAATTAAACAGAACTTAAGGAAGGATCGATTTTCTTATCCTTTGCTATGTTAATAGCTTGCTAGACCGTGCAAGAGCCTCCTTTATGTGATTAAAGTTCAATTTACAGAGAAAGAGATACAATTGTTTAAGGTAAATTACATCTGTTTGAAAGTGAAACCAGTTTTTGCATGCAGGTTGTGTCAATCATAGCCAGGGGAAGTGTGGCAAAGGCTGCATGAACAGAAACAAAGTGATTTAACTCCTAAATGGCAGTGAAACATGAGAAGCATGATCTATACACTAAAACGGCTTCATTAGGCTAAAGTTGTTTAGGTGACTATAGTGTTCCTTTAACTTACAAATGTGAGTTAAAAGTGAATTCCAAATTTTCAAAGGAGTACTATAGGGTCAGGAACACAAATATATATTCTGACCCTATAGTGTTAAAACCACCATCTAGTCCCCCTGGCACCCGCTTAGCCTCCCTAAATATAGTAAAATCTTATTTGTATTCAAGCCTGAAGCTGCTGGTTCTGTCCCTGTTTGCCTCAGAACAGCAAGCTGCCTGCTAACATCAGAAGTGTTGTTCTGAGCCAATCACAATGCTTGACCATAGAAAAGCCTGAAGGTAATGATTCTACTCGCCAGAACACCTTCAATAAGCTGTGGTTGTTCTGGTGACTATAGTGTCCCTTTAACCCCTTAAGGACCAAACCTCTGGAATAAAAGGGAATCCTGACCTGTCACACATGTCATGTGTCCTTACGGGGCTAAAGTCAAAATGGCTAAACTTGAAATATTCTTTTAAGCCCGCTTTGATTACATTTTGGCTATTGTGGGCAAAAATGTTACATCCACGTTTAATTCTCCCTTTAGTAAGTGACCCTGTCGGACTTAATGATTATATTATGAAATGCTCAAAATTTTTGATTGATCTGCTTTAAAGTTTAATGCATGATATTGATATTTGACTAACATTTAGGCTTTATGGTTAAAAAGAAAAAAAGTGGTATGCTATCTTGATTTCTAGGCAGTTTATCTGGAAAATTGTACTTTATATAACTGGGGGCAAATACATTTAAAACCTTTTTTTTTTTTTTTTTAAATATTATTTACTAACCCTTGCCCTCTGCTTAATATAAGTTTTGTGTTGTGTCTTCTTCCCACTATAGGCAAAAGAGCAGCATGCAAGTATGGAAGAGAAGTTTCACAGTGAATTGAACGCAAATATTAAGCTTTGCAATCTCTACAAGGTATGTGTCTGTTATATTTGTTTTACTACAGTTCTTCAAATGCTACGTAGCCTCAAGTCATATTGCATGTTTAAACAGAAAAAACAATAAACCGCTCTTCTCTAAACAATAGCGTAAAAAATATCACACATCCTAAAAAATACACCAAAGATAAAGTCTTTAAAAAGGGGATCCACAAATGGGGGTGAAAAAAAATGAAAAGAAATAAAATAAAAAAAATAAAAGTCCAATTAGTTTGCAAGATAAATGCAATAAATTCTCACTCCATCAAAATGTTCGTGTTTATAAAAGAAAAAGGTATAAGTTATGAACTCCTTATAAGACACATTTAGGTTAAAAAGTTCAAATTTATTCAATCCAATATTGTTAAAAATAAAAATCTTCCCATATGAAATTAGTATTCTGTTTTAAAAGCACAAATGCAGCCAAAAAGAGTCCAGACTTGAAATACTCGCTGTCCTGAGTCAGCTAGATGCTATAGCTTCAAAGATTTCAAATGTTGCTCTTCTCTGTAGTTTGGGTGATGGCTGTCATTGATGTGAGTCAGACCTCTCCAAATGCGTTTCTCCGCTTCGGCGGCTTTATCAATTGATGTGGTCTGTCTTCCTGTGTCCGCTTATATAGCGGCTGACTGCATTTTTCTCAGAGCATATAACAAACTAGCAATACATCTTACTGTATCAACTTAGTAGCACAGTGAAACTCACTTTATGTACAAAGCTCTTATGATTTATTATTTTACATTCTTACTGTCCATCAAACTCGGCACATTTACTGATTTAAATGTTTACACACATTTCTATAGTAACACCCGCTTTGATTTCAAATCTAACTGCTGGTTTACCGATCTATGTAGACAGGAAAGGGTTAGAGATTCAGAGAAGAAAAAGAGCACTTGTAATGTCTCTCTGTAGTTTACTCAAAGCCATCACAATTACTCAAATCTAGTGAAAGCGTTGTCCTGAAAGTTAGATGTCAGCATGAATTAATTGATCATATGAAATAAGTAATTTAAAATGAGCATGTCTGGGAAATATCCTCTTTGGAAGTGCCTATATATTATTTAGTAATGTATATTTCCTTGGTTGCCATTATAATACTCCATTAAAGGATATGTTAATCCTTTCCCATTCTAAATTCACCGAAAAATGAGTACTCCTCTGTGTTACTGAGGACATCCTCTTTTTGTTATGTATCTTAGAGCATAATCATAAGATATAAAATATTGGTTAATCACTAGAGCCCCTTCATAAAAACTCAAGTCCATCATTAAAATAGAGCTTTCTATATACAAGAGTGCAGGGAAATACAAACAGAGTTTATAGGTTTGGAAAGGGCACTGCAGGCATCATAACAAATCATGGACTCCTCATGCCCAACTGCCTCCCTTGTCATATTGGTAATTTTGGGGCAGGTGTTTATTTTGCTGCTGTAGTTGGGTATGAGCAGTCCAGGGCAGGTAGTATGTGGTCTAAACCTCCAGTGATTGCAGAGAACTGTTATTGTTCTCGCAGTCCTGGCACTTACTAATGCGTTATTAAATCTCATGCTGGGAATACCAGCTGCTACATTCAATTCACTGAGTGCTGAGACGACAATGGAGTGCTCCTATTTTCAACCTCCAGGGAGCTTAACCAAGATGGAAAAAATTGGGGAAATGAGACCGTAAATCTTTTGACTAGGTTTGAATTTCAGTGAAGATCTTATCTTTAGGAAATACAAATTTTTGTTGGGGGAGACAGTCCCACTGAAAATTGTTCCTTGAAATAGCTGATTGTGCCAAGAGCTGAATAGGTGAAATCCAGTTAATGTTCCATTTTAAAATATGATTCACATGTAATGGTGGAGGGGAAGGGTTTGGGTTTTTTAGCTAGCAGGGAAACTACAAACTTCTGCAGCACTTTGTTTTGTTTGCTTTAATTCTTAATTGTGTCACTTTACTGGTTCTCTTCTTTAGAGTGCAGCTGAAGATTCTGATGCTAAGAGTACGGAGGTTACTAGTGCAATGGAGGAACTTCAGAAACTTCTTAAAGAAGCTAGTGAAGGTAAGTAAAGGGCATATAGATAATGCTGACCATTTCATCATAGAGAAAAAAGAACTCTACGAATTAAGTTCTATGTCCGCAAGGTAATTTTCACATCTTTTCTCACTGACTTAAATAGTGTGTGTGTGTGTGTGTATGTATATATATATATATATATATATATATATATATATATATATATATATATATATATATATATATATATATATATATATATATATATATATATACACACACACACACACCCACACACCCCCTCCTTTTGGCACTCACATCAAACAAATCCAGGAACTGTCTGAAAGGTTCTCAGATGAAAAGACCTATACATCTAAATAAACAAGCTTGTTCAGGCCTCGGCAAACTATGTATTCACTCTTAATAACAACAAAGATTAAAGTAGATTTGAGATAAGCTCAGAAACTGTATTTATGAGATACATTTTCTAAATTCTGAAAAGTGTAGATCTACAGTGTCCGTGGAGGAAGTGACACAGAGCATAAAGGAGGAATCAAATCACCAATCGCTAAGTTGCAGTTCGATACAATATGCAAAGTGAAATGTGTCTGTGTAATGGATTAAAATGACCGAAACATGTTGGTGACTTTGTAAATAAAAGCATATACATTAAATCCTAAAAAAAGTTAAATAGGAGGTAATGAATAGCAAAATTATTGATCTGAGAAAATACATTAGCATATACTATTCTATATAACATACAATGAATGTTAAATACATTGACATGCATAGTTTGCAATCAAGTAGTTGCTCTATAAAATAGAAAAAGAAAAGCAGGATACCTGCATTACTGTGCGATAGAAAAAAGGCCCCAAATAGACTTCAGGTGCCAAATTACAACACATAGATGTAGGTCTTACCCAAGTGCAATAATCAGCTCAAAAAATGGGCATATAGCTAAAAGAGAGGAACATGGGAAAAACCTTTATTACGTCATCCGACAATAAAAGAAAACTGTGAAAAAATTCACACCGTGGTTAGGCACCTAAAGTCTATTTGGGGGCTTTTTTTATTGCACAGTAATGCAGGTATCTGCTTTTTCTTTTCGGTTTGAATATTATATGGGGTTACTTTAAAAGAATGTTGGCCCAGTGTAGATCCAAATGGAGTAAATGGGGATCAAATAAGGGGGTAACCCTAGGGTAGTTAATGAATAGATAAAGAGTAATCTGTCCCAGTGCCATCATAGAAAAGGTCAATAAAATCCTTTATTGGTAAAACTAGAAAAAACACACACGTCACATATAAATGTCACATATACTGCCCCAATTAACTACAATGGTGGCGGATGTGACAAGTGATTAAGCATTTGTGTGTGTGTCTTTTCTAGTTTTACCAGTAAAGGATTTTATTGACTTTTTCTATGATAGCACTGGGACATATTACTCTTTTCATCTATTCATTATATGGGGTTACACCCCTTTCCTTACCCACTTAGTCCACTCTCTATGGGCCAATATTAGTTTGACCTCCTAGTCACTCCTCTTTTTTTCTTGACTTTTGTGCTCTATAAAATATTACATGCATTAGTGCTGGATGTAAAGAACAGGAAAAACGAGAAGCTGAAAAAGGTGTTGAAGAGTGGTTGGGGGGGATGAAATGTGAAAATGGTGTCTGTAAAGTGAAAATCAAAATTGGGGGGGGGGAGGGGGGTGAAGAAATAAGAAAACAGAAACTTGGGAAGCATAGAGCAAGATACAAATCATGGAGTATTAAAAAAATGAAAAGTATTGGGGTTCATTCATTGGCTGAAATTGATTTTACTAATGCAGAAGAGTAACTTCAACAGCAGTATCCCGGAGGGAGGAGTTGGTTGTGTGGGCACTCTGTTTGAGCTGTTAGAAACAGCATGCTGGTACCATAGCCAATACTACACAATTTTATTTTCCTTTTGCCTGCAGTTTTGCCAAAGCATGGATTTTTACCTGTATTTCTATTACAATTCAGTGCAGGGGTAAAATAAACAACTCTCAGAATGTATCTCCTCAGTCATTGGCTTAACAGCAATACGTTGGTCATCTGCTTCAGTTTGAATCTTGCTATGCGCTCTTCTTTTTAGCTAATAAATCTGTGCAGGACCAGTTATCCGCAAAGGAGCTAGCGAAATCCCAAATGGAGACCGAGCTAAAAGATAAAATCCAAAGTCTGGAACGAGAGCTAGAGAATGCCAACGACCTACTGTCTGCAACCAAAAGGAAAGGTAAAAGAATAGGCCTCTCTGTAAATCCCAAATAGTGCAGTTAAATGGACAACCTAGGGTAGAGGTGCTCAAAAGGTAGGTTCCCAGATGTAGAACTACAATTCCAATGATACTTTGATGCTTTTAGAACAACAAAGCCTCATGGAAGCTGTAATTTTAAAACCTTTGGGGATCTATCTTTTGGGAACCCCTTGTCTAGGGTAAACCTACCCCATTGCAGGTGCACATAATGGGCTGTTTAGAACTTATGTCCCTTAATAGAATGCTCCACCCTAACCACTAAAGCATGCTTAGGATCTTCAATTGGCTCTCTTGAGCTGAGCCCTGGTGATTACTAGTACTGGTTAAGGTGTTTCATTTATTTAAAGATTCTTTTCAAAATTGCAATCCATTCTCTTACCGGAGTGGCTATTCCTGTTTTTGGAAGTAGAGATGAGTCTGCTATACACAAACAATTCATTTTAACCTTTCCTTCTTATATTTACAGGAGCATTGCTTTCTGAAGAGGAACTAAACTTAATGTCCCCTACAGCTGCTGCTGTTGCCAAAGTGGTGAAGCCTGGTATGAAATTAACAGAGGTAAAGTGTGTTGTTTCTTATCTTATATTTTTTTTTTTTTTTTTCTCCCTCCACCTCTTGTTCAATTACTGAGACCTCAGGTGTGGATGTATGATTTCACTCATTTTATTGCCTTTGTAAACAGAGGTGTTGTGTGTGTTTTCTTTTCTAATTGTATCATTTATTTTTATTTTTTGTTCATGTAAATAAAGCAAATCTTTGCACTGTAGTACCTTTTTAAATGGAACCAGAAAATAAATATTATTTACAGGGGGTGGATCTGTTCTATTTTTATTCACTTAAATAATTTTTTAAATGTTTGTTTTTTATTGTATTTACTGCCTCTTATTCCATAAGACTATCAATAGTACATCCTAAATGCATGTAACCTTCGGTTGTTTAATCCTAGCACCTAACCTACAGGTGAGCAACCTTTGGCACACCAGATGCTGTAGTGGACTACATCTCCAATAATACTCTTATGGCTATAATGCTGGCAAAGCATAGGGGAGATGTGGTCAACATCGGAAGTGTGAAAGTTGCTTAGCCCTGATAAACAAAAATGTGACTTTTAAAGTCAATTTATATGGGCCATTCAGTCACAATCCTAGTTATAAGCCTACTATGTAAAAAGCACAAAATAGACTTTATAAGACCACAAGGGGCAGATAATTGTGGTGGTCTCCTCTGTACATGCGTTTTATTTATATTTTTTACATGTTTTTCATTTGCAGCTCTACAATGCATATGTAGAAACCCAGGACCAGCTGTTAATGGAAAGACAAGAGAATAAAAGATTGAACAAGTATCTGGATGAAATAGTGAAAGAAGTGGAGGCAAAGGCTCCTATTCTGAAACGTCAGCGAGAAGAGTATGAGCGTATGCAAAAAACTGTATCCAGTCTCTCTGCCAAACTTGAACAGGCAATGAAGGTACTTTGAACCTCAAAATGAATGTGTTTTGTTTTTTTGGTTTGGTTTTTCCTCTTTTCTCACGCTTATAATTTTATTTTTATTTTTTTCTCTTAGGAAATTCAACGCTTGCAGGACGACACCGATAATGCAAATAAACGTGCAACACTACTTGAAAGAGAAAATCAAAGAATGGAGTTACAAGTGAAAGATCTCTCTCAACAGGTTTGGCCAAATCATTCCAATTTGCATTTTTCATGGTTCATCTCTGTTGTATTGTTAGCTCTTTTCTGTTGAAGGGCAATATTACCTTTTTTAATGTCCTGTTCATGCTATCAGATGTTGGATTACCATGATTCCAATCTTGAATGGTAATATACCAAATGAAGAGAACACTTTTTGCATCTGTAACTTGTGCATAGCTGTCTGACGTTTTTACTAGACAACTGTGACTTCTTTTGTCCTAAAATCTAGTCCATCTGAAATGTCTAGCTTACTGGCAAGTTTAAAAAAATGAATGTGTGCGATGTTGTATATGTCTTTCTAGATTCGGGTTCTGTTAATTGAGCTGGAAGAATCAAGAGGAAATCATGTCCAAAGAGATGACGACGATGATGTTAGCTCTGCTAACATTAGCAGCTCCTCTGAGGTTATAACTCGTCACTTGGTTACTTATAAGAGCATTGAAGAGCTCCAGCAGCAGAATCAGAGGCTTTTGGTGGCTCTGCGAGAACTTGGAGAAACCAAGGAGAAAGAAGAGCAAGAAACTACAGCATCAAAGTAAGATCTGAGGCATAACTTTTCAGAGCTGTCTTAGTGTCCATACGACCGATTTTGTTTTCCATTCTGTGTATCTTTTTTTTTTTTTTTTTTGAAGATCAAATTTTTATTGATTTTTCTTTTCTTCGTTGTACTGCCTACCACATTCCTTCAAATTCTTTACAAGTTTAGACTGTTATCCTTTCTCTGCCTGTTGCGGTAAAATAAGGTTCATTTCTTGGTGCACTCTCTTACCACTTTGGATTTCTGTACTGATTATACTAAAATGTTTTTCTAGACCATGTCACTAAATGCTTCTCTTCTATTTCTAACTGGATAATTGCCCATTTCATGTAACTGTCAGAAACAGAGCTTCTTATATTTCCTTGTTTGAAAATCAACGCTCTGTTGCTCTTCCTTTAGGCAAATCAAACAACCACTAGCCCAACACTTATTATATAATATGCTTTCCTACATTAATCGTAACCTATTAAAGTCGATCCGTTTCAGACAAAAGTGATGCCTGAATTCTACAATGGTCTTTGTTACTCACTTAAATATCCCTTCGTATCCATGGCAACATTTAAAACACTCCACACACAAAATTAGCAAGACTACATCTGAGGAATGTTCTTTAATGTTCTTCCACTATTTCCAAGACTGTTTAGATGTCTGTTGTTAAATTTATCTAACAGAGTTCATGTAAAAAAAAAATACAGAAAACACAAAGCTGGAGATGGCCTAAATGTGGCTGATCTGTGATTTGGTTGTTTTGGCTCTTTTTTTTGTCTTGTTAATGGTTTGTGCTTTGATTTTTAATAGGATTTCTGAATTACAAAAGGAACTTGAGGTTGTTCTCTCAGAAATCCTACTGCTCCGAGACTCTCGCAGCCACCAGACTCATCTAGTAGAGTCCATAGTTCGTCAACGAGACATGTATCGTATACTTTTGGCTCAGACAACTGGTGTGTCTTTGCCAGCCCAAGGTAAGACCTGGCATTCAACTTTATTCTGTGAAGCAGAGGTTTCTATGGTTGGAAATAAAAACTTGATTTACTAAGAAACAAAAAGGTAGGGTGGGAGGGAATTGTGGGCACACCCGGACCATGCATTCATGTCCTGGGTGTGCCCACAATTACACTTTTTGTGTAGATTTTGAGTCCAAACCAGATTCCACTATGGGTGCCACTTTGGAGGTGACCACAGGAAAGTATAAATTTGAAGAGATTCTCTGGACGTATTGCACTTGGCATGTAAATCTCTCATGTTAAAATTAGTTAGACTTACTGATATTTGGGTACTATGACGTATTGGTGGGCTTAACACAATATGACCATATGGTGTAACTGAAATCCCCAATTTTTTTTGCTATTTTTAGGTAGCCATGTAAACTTTATATTTTTTAATTTATTTATTTTTTGTGTGCTGTGTTCCCTAATCTGTATTTTATTACTAAGAAACAAGACTGGTTGCTTGTTAGTGCTCAACTAGCCTAAAGTGACACTGTAGGCACTATAATCTGCTTAATCTCACTGAAGCAGACACTGTAGCTGTAAAAACAGTTTAGGTCCCCTGTCTCCCTTTAAAAAGGTAGTTTATGGGTGGGGGGGAGGGAACCAGACCATCATGCTGAGAGGTCGCATACAAGACTATCTCCTGCAGATATACGACATTAATGCCTGCAAAATGCAAACCATCTACCTATCTGCAGTTCAGAAGCAATGGTCCTGCGGGCAAAGAGGTGCTAGTGCTGAGGCCACTCTGAAAACAAGCGATATGACTCTTGAGGGCACATCGGCAAAGCTGCATCAGAGGCCTACCCGGGCCATGAGTGAGGTGGATGGCCGCCACCTCGCTATCCTGCTCTTTGGGAATTTCGACGCCACCCGGTAGGGGACTCGTTCCCCCTCCCCCCCTTTAGACCGGTGGGGGTCATCCCAGTCCCCGGAGACTGTCTCCGCGACTCATAGCACCCGGGTCTGGGGGAGCCCCAGCAACCAAAATGGCGGACGTGGTGGTCGAGCCTGAAATGGCGGTAAAAACTGAGACCACCAAGGCATTGCAGATCAGAACTCTGCATGCGGCAATAATGGTGGAGGGACTCCTCTCCGCAACCGAGCTACTACCTAACCTACAAGCCGACCAGCAAGATACCCCTGCAATCCTGCAGCATTCCGAGGGCGAACAAGCAGAAGCAAGTGATTACACACGGGGAGCGCACTCACCCCTCTTGCCACAAACCACGCTGGACTCACTCCTTCCATGCCAAAGGCAAATTAAGTCGGGGGTTGGTTAAGCCTGGACTATACAGGGACTCTCTCATTGCCTGGGCTGCACGCGGTGGTGCAGGCTACTGTCAATCTTGCCATCAAAGCAACCTAACGTACTCTCTCTCAGCGACCCTCCATATCAGGGGTTCTCAACCCAGTCATCAAGGACCCCCGAACTGTCCATGATTTAGGGATGTCCCTGCTGTGTCTAATGTGTTTTTAGGGGAGGCAGGCAAACACTTAAGACACAACAGGGTAATCCCTAAATCCTGGACTGGTAGGGGGTCCTTGAGGACTGGGTTGAGAACCCCTGCTCCATATGCTAGTGAAATACTATGTTTATTTAACAAGCATACAGGGCCTATTAGTGCAGCCAATCGCTAACACCTTGTACCCTACTCATCAGTCAAACACTCAGACATCCGGCTTACTATTAACCGCACACAGATGCCTCAGTCTGCTTAACAACAAATTAGTCTACTCATTTTACTCTTATTAGTTTTATGTCTCACTATGGATACTTCCTCTATTTATCCATAGAATACACTGCACCTGAGCAATATGTTGGCTAGTGCCTGTTAAGCCCTAAGTATTAAGGCCCAAACGTAGTACATAATGATGTGTATATGCTAGGCAGATGTTGTGCAGAGATGCATGTATACTCAGCGAATCTTCACACTACTAACTACTCTTCTCAAATATAAAAATGTGCACAGATACTCATGCCATGCAATTGTTTATACTTCTCTACTAAATTCCTAGCGGTAGCTGTTGTGGCATTGCTAGAAAAATGTTACCTGTGTCATCAATGCACGAAAAATTAATGATTTTTTTTTAAAAAAAAGGAGTTTATGTAACTTTTTTCCCAGAGCTGCTCTGCTCTTAACACAGCTGGCCCCACCCCACTCTGTGGCTGAAATCATCCAATTTGACTCTCAGCCAATGCTATGATTTCCCATACAAAAGCATTGGGTGTCTCTTGTGCATGCATGGCCAAACTCAGCATCTCCTCTTAGAGATGCATTAAATCAGTGGCTATGTTTTTGTGTTTTTTACTCCTTTTTATAAAATTAGAAAAATTTTGGGTTAGTTGAGCATTCCCATGATTCCCATTACTGCTCTAATTTAACTAAACTATGGGTAAAGGCTCAGCTCACATTGTATACAGGGTTTTGGCAACTAATAGGCTTTTATTCCTTTATGTGCCGTATAACAATACTCTAAACAAAATTTTAACTAACCCTGTGTCTCTGACTTGTCCTCAGATGACTTATCATTCGCAACAACTCCTAGGAAATCCCCTGGTGTATCACAAATTACTTCCACACCTGCTCCTACTATTGTGGTTTCTGAATCCACTGAAGCTGCTGAAGCCAAAGCTGCATTAAAACAGGTGAGATTTTCACATGTTTTCTGTCTTTCCTATTGGAGAATGTATTTTTAAAATTTGGATTTTTCAAGAACCGCAACAAAGATTAGTTATAGTGATGATTACACAACAGCCTCATTAATACCATATCCTGATGGGGTTCCCCCCCTCCCCCCCCCAATTTCATTTTAATCCATATTGCCAAGCCGTCTGGCTCACAATAGCTGTTTCTGGGATGAGTGTAAACCAATCAAAAGCCTTTCTGTAGAAAGGCATTTTCTCCAATATTCTTGGTCTGAACTGTTCAGGTTATGTAGTTTAAACCCTTAAGGATGGCGGGCGTTCTATGCCATCTTTTCTGTGGTGGCTCTAAACGCCGGAGAAAGTCCCTGCCGTCCTTTGTACTCACCGGGTCCCCGCGATAATAAAGGAATTCCTCACAATAAAGCATTGGTTTTGTTATGGTACTGTTGTGTACAGAATCTTAATTAGGTTTTGTTTTATATACACCCTAGTTTTTGCACTGTTAATTTTGGGATTTCATGGTTTAATTAATTTTTCTATATTGTTCTATCATTAGGTTTTACTCCAACAACTTTGGTTCCTTTTTGGAACAAAAATTGGATTTCTATTTTCGGGTTAGGCCCTTAAAGTTGGACACAATTCAAGGACCTTATTTGTTCATCCTTTTTGAGATGTGTTTTTTTTATTTTTTATTTATTTTTTTTTACTGTATTTTGATATTAATGTACATATGTAATTAAATCAAAATACATTTAGAATTAAGTTATAGATGCATATATGTACATATATTTATATAATATTTTTTTACATAATGAAGTCCTTTTAATTACAATTTGAGGCACTTGCCTGACAACACAGGCATACTGGACAGAGAATTTGGTCCACAAGCCCTATATTTGACCCTGTAACTTTCCAAGACACTATAAAACCTGTACACAGGGGCTACTGATTTACTCGGGAGACTTCGCTGAAAACAAATATTAGTGTATTTAAAACAGTAAAATATATCACAACTATGATCTTGTCAGTGAAGATACAATTGTTTGCATTTATCACACACAAACAGCACTTTTGCTGATATTTGTATTCAGCAAAGTCTCCAGAGTATAACAGTACCCCTCATGTACAGGATAAAATATAAGGCTTGCATTTGGGTTTTTTTCACATTGAAATTTGCCAGATTGGTTACGTTGCCTTGGAGACCGTATAGAAGCCCAGGAATGAGAATTACCCCCATGATGGCATACCACTTGCAAAAGAAGACAACTCAAGTTATTGCAAATGAGGTATGTTCAGTCTTTTTTTAGTACCTACTTAGTCACAATCACTGGCCAAAAGTTGCGTTCAATTAACTTTTTTGCATTTTTCACATACAAATATGGACTAACTTTGGTCAGTGTTTGACTAAGTGGCTACTAAAAAAATGTCTGGACATACCCAATTTGCAATACCTTGGGTTGTCTAATTTTGCAAATGGTATGCCAACATGGAGGTAATTTTCATTCCTGGGCTATCATATGCTCTCAAAGGCAACATAACCAAGCATGCAAATTTCAGTGTGTGTTTTTAATGAAAAATGTAACCTGCTATATTTGACCCTATAACTTTCAGAAACACCATAAAACCTGTACATGGGTGGTACGGTTTCACTGGTAAGACATCGCTAAATACAAATGTGTACTTTATTGTAGTAACAGCTAACCGTATTATGACATTCAGTTAAAATGTCATGCAGAACTAAAAAAAATAACTTTCTTTATATCTCACATTTATATTTTATTCATATTAAATAGTGTCATATATAAATATTGGATGATACATGAAAGCTCTGTTTCTCCTGAACAAAATGATCTATAAAATGTGTGGGTGAATGTAATATGAAAGAGGTGAATTAGGGTTGAACAGACATGGCGCAAATTCCAGGTTTTGTTTTGATCACAACTTGTACAATTGGCTGAGTCCTTAAGGGGATAAGACATATAAAAGATAACCTGACTCTTGCATATTAGATTTGTGTTTACAAACACTCCCTTGTGGCACTCAGATTGACAAGTTGTTTACTGTAAGAAACTTGTTGCAAAGTTTTAGGTGTTTTGTTATTTTGTACTCTGTGCATGCAATTATTGTAGTAGTAATTATTAATTTGTTGCTTCTCCTTCAACCCATTAGCTTCAGGAAGTGTTTATAAACTATAAGAAAGAAAAAGCCGAAAATGACAAAATTATAAATGAGCATAACGAAAAGCTGCAAGAACAGGTTACTGAGCTACGTTCTCAAAACACAAAGATTTCCACTCAGCTGGAGTTCGCATCCAAAAGGTAATGAACAAGACGTTCACCTAAACAGATTACAAGTTTTAAAGCAAGAAGATATTTAATTTATCAATTGTCAATAACTAGTGTTTTTAAGACTCGAACGTTCTGGTACAACTGTAATGGTTCTAGTGCTTAGAGGTTTGTTTGGGTGGGTTATTTTTTTTTTGTTTTGTTTTTGGGGTTTTTTCTGTGCAAGAAAATTACAAGCATATGTGAAGTGCCACAACGTCATGCATAGATTAATCAACAAAAAATTTAATTTGGCACTTGGAAACTGCACATTTTTTGTTATGTTGAAACAAGCTAGACACAATTTTTAGGTATATAGTGAAAAGAGGACACAATAAACATATGACAGTAAACAATGAAACAGGCTAAGCTCTAAGTGCTCTGACAGCATGGGAGTGATTAGCCAAGGTGAGTATCCAGGATGTGTATGCATGTTAAGGTATAGTAGATCAATGTTAGCTTAAACAAAAGTAGCAATATAGGTATGAGCAAAATTCACTCAGGAAACCAGTGGGTCACACATTTCTACAGTGGCACAATGGAATTTAGTAAGGCAAGGGGAATAGGAATGCAAAGGTAAGCATTTAATCCAAAGGTCAGTACTCCATTGCAAACGTCAGTTTAGCCGATGCCTTGGTCACAGATACATGTGCTTCACTTCCTAGGAGTGTTGGGAGCAGCAGTAGTTCAGGCTTGACGTTGTACACCTCCCAAGCCCTGGATCGGCTTTCTGGATGGTGTCATGAATCATGAACTTGCAGGCTCACAGTCCCAGTTCTTCTCCGATGGGGTAAGACAGAAGGCTGTGACGGTGGTAAGACGCAACTTGGAGTTGGTCCTCTGCCCGCGTGGTTTACGCTGCAGAGTCTTTTCTCCCGCGACCCCTGGTCTGGGTGAGCGGACAGCAGAGGATACTTGCGTTTTGCTAGGAGGGAGGCCTGAGGTGGGCCCAGACGCCACCAGTCCCCAGCTGCTCCAGTTGTTTGTTTGAGGCATAGGTGTCACTTGGGCTTGATGTGCAGCTAGTGAATCCCAGAAATGGGTAAAATGTGCATCCAGTCGCTTCATGAAATGCTCAACAGGGGCAGGGAACTTCTCGGCTGCAGGGTTGCTCTACTGTGACCAGAAAGCATAGCTGCCATCTTGTTGGAGCAGGCTGCCTACAAGGTACTGTAAAAATGAATCACACCAGTGTTTATTGAAGTCCAGTGGGGACTGTGATAACCCCCACTGCTCTGGGGGGGGGGTGGGAAGGGGGTGTGTAAAAGATGATCCTGCAGAAGTATAGCTTCACATCGAATTGGGGAGTGGCCACCTCACCCATCGGGCATAGGCCTCACAGAAGCCTCTGATAAATGCGCCCCACACAATCAATTAAAATGATAGGAGGCATTCCAATCGGCTCCTGGAGCAGGTAAGTCTCAGATTAGGGCTTTTTGGTGTGCTGGGAATTGGTTATCTCACTAAATGTGAAGATCTAGCTTGGAGCTCGCACGATGTGGGTTTTTTGGTTTTCATTCCATATGTATGTTGTGACTGAAGGAAATCTGACTGTGTGATGGGTTTGTCTTCCAGTTGGTGTGATTTTTGCAAATATATTACTTTTTATAGATATGAAATGCTACAGGACAACGTTGACAGTTACCGACGGGAAATAACATCTTTGCAGGAGAAAACCCAAAAGCTCTCTGCCACCACCCAAAAACAAGAACAGATTATTAACACCGTAACCCAGGATCTGAGAGCTGCAAATGAAAAACTTGCTATAGCAGAAGTAAGTCTGCTCGCTCGCTCTCTTTCGCGCTCGCTCGCTCTCTTTCGCGCTCGCTCGCTCTCTTTCGCGCTCGCTCGCTCGCTCTCTTTCGCTCGCGCGCTCGCTCGCTCTCTTTCGCGCTCGCTCTCTTTCGCGCTCGCTCTCTTTCGCGCTCGCTCTCTTTCGCGCTCGCTCTCTTTCGGCCTTCAAATACTCTTTTCGGCGCTAAAACTCTCTTTTCGCTTCGGCTCTCTTTTCGGCCTTCATTCTCTTCGGCTGGCTAAGCTCTCTTCGCTGGCGGCTAAGCTCTCTTTCGGCTTCGGCTCTCTTTTCGGCTAAATCTTCCGGCGGCTCGGCTCTCTTTTGTGGCGGCGGCTCTTTTATTTCATCTTTTGGCCTTCCATTTCGCTCTCTCTCGCTCATTTCCGGCTTTAGGCTCTCGGCTCTCTCTTCGTGGCTTAGCTCTCTTTCCTTCGCTCTTCGGCCATTTCGGCTCTCTTTCGCTCTCTTTCGGCTCTCTTTGTCATTTCTCTTCCGGCGGCTTCGGCTCTCTTCGGCTCGGCGGCGGCTCTTTGGCCTTCGGCGCTCTTTCGCTTCGGCTCTTTCGCTTCGCTTTAAAACTCTCTCTCGCTCTTCGGCGCTCGCTCTCTCTTTGGCGCTTCGCTCTCTCTTCGGCCTTTCGGCTCTCTCTTTTCGGCGGCTTCGCTCTCTTTGTGCTTCGCTCTCTTTCGGCCTTCGGCTGTTTTCTCTCTTTTCGGCGCTTCGGCTCTCTCTTTTCGGCTCGGCTCTTCCAGCTAAACTCTCTCTTTTCGGCTCGGCTCTCTTTGGCCTCATGCAGCTCTCTTTTCGGCCTTCGCTCTCTTCGGCTTCGGCTCTCTTTCGGCCTTTTCGTCTCTTTGGCCTTCATTCTCTTCGGCGTTTCGGCTCTCTTTTCGGCTCACCGGCTCTCTTTTATTTCGCTTTCGGCCTTCAGCTCTCTCTTGGCGCTGAAACTCTCTTTCGCTCTCGCTCTCTCTTTCGCTCTCGCTCTCTCTTTCGCTCTCGCTCTCTCTTTCGCTCTCGCTCTCTCTTTCGCTCTCGCTCTCTCTTTCGCTCTCGCTCTCTCTTTCGCTCTCGCTCTTTTTCTCCCCCCACCCCCCTAGGAATAATAAACTGCTCCATATAACATTACTGTGAAGAAATTGCATTAACACAATATTGCCACGAGTAGAAATATTAAAATATACTTGACATTCCCCATATAAAAGGCCACTTTCCTAAAGCACTCCCACAGGTCTCTTAAATAGATTATGTATATCTCTGCTGTTTTTATACAGTTGATATTTAAAAAAAAAAAAAAGCAAATCAATTAATTCTGTTTCAGTAGAATTGACTTTAACAAAACATGTGTCTGCCTCTCAAATTTGTATTGATTATATTTCCTTTTCCTTAAGGTGAGAGCTGAAAACTTAAAGAGAGAAAAAGAACTCTTTAAGATGTCTGAAGCCAGACTCACTCAGGAGCGTGAATCTTTAATAGCTGAGCAAAGAACACAAAATCTACTGTTGACCAACTTACAAACCATACAGGTCAGTATAACAAATATATACATCGTATGTTGGGAGGGGAAGAGAAGGGAAATGCTTGTTTTTTGTTTTTAGCTTTATGCATCTAAAGCTGCTGGGAGCATCCATCTTGTACCTGAGGCAAGCTATAAAATTAGTAAGGGGAATGGCTAGAAAAACTGCATTTGATTCTCTAGGGGGAAAAAAGGCACATCAGAGGGGATTTGGTTGGTGGAGGTAACACCCCACCGCTTTTTTTTTTTTATGTGGGGGGGAAACCTTATTTGCAATAGTTTAGAAGAAACCCTAAGATTATTTTTTCAGAGGAAGGGGAGTGGGGTCCACTCACCCCTCACTGGTCACTGTGTAGAGAAGGTTTCTTGAGTGACTAGGCATGTCAAAAATGGGGCAGATTTTAAAATGTCCTGTTATAGCAGGTTTTGCAAATGCATAGTCTGCTGTAAGGATAAATTTCAGGGTAATGCCATTATAAAAGTAAGTGTACACTATTGTCCTTTTCTTTCCACCATTAGCCTTAGTAATTTCCTGAGCATTATAAATTGAAAAATCCGATCTGGTGTCGGAATAGCGGTTCGTCAGCTCAGGAAGCGTTTGCATTCTGAAAAGGCAGTGCTGCAGAAAGGCTTTGCACTTGCCTCTTTCACAAAAATTAAGAAACAAAGATCTCCATCCATTTCTGATCTCTCCTCTGGGGAATGTTCAATTATATCAGATTGCTCCAGTAAAGATTCAGAGTTCAAGATAGTTTTCTATGAATTTTATTAAAGTTTGCAAAACCAAAAAAATATATACGGTGGTTAAAAAAATTATTGTATTCTTATTTTGTGTGGCTGCCAGAGAGAAAAATTAAACAAATTTCTCTTCCAACAAAGTACCCACACAGGATATGATTGCAGACTCTTAATTATTTGTTCACTTTAGATTAGCATGTTTTGGTCAGTTAAGTATTTTCTAACTTTTCTTAGATTTTTTTTTTTTTTATCTCTTCCTATGCCATTCCTATGCCTATCTAGCACGTTTTAAAGGGAGAGAGCCTTTAAACCGTTTTATTTTTTTGCCAGTCTTTTCCTGGCAATAGGAGTTTCATTTTCATCTTTCTCTCATTACTGTCAATACTGATTTGGCCTTTTGGCAAATTTTTTTTTTTTTTAATATTCTATCTGAATTTTGAAGGATACTTTTTCACCTATACATTGCTATGGAGATCTCTTAATGTGATTCAGGGATATATTAACTTACCATCCTCCGTTATAGCTATACAGAGGGAGTTACGTCAAACTGTCCCTTCTGGACTCTTATCTTCCCTTTACTAGTATCTAGCTATCACTGTAGATAGGTAGTCTGTTCCTTTTTTTTTTATTTCCTCAAGCCTATTACAGGCATTTAGCATATTTTCTTGGTGTGTATTCTGCCATTTTGGTTACCTCTATCCTTGCTATACTCTCACATTAACCTTTACTGGTCTGAGGTCACATATAGAGCCATACCTAATAACGCTCTTTCTATTATCTCTCTACTAGTAAGGTTGGATATCCTTTATTTTGACGTAGGAGTGTAACCAAATAACGTTATTTATTTCATTCTATTTCTAGCAGTGTATTGCAGTATCTGGTAGATATTGAGCCTGTAACAAAGTAAATATCCTAAGACTCATTCCAAATGCTACTACTATTCAAATCTCCAGGAAATATAGTGGGTTCACCTCTGGTGAACCTATATACTCTTTTTGTGTTTGGTTTTCATTACTATCTAGGGTTATGCCCCGAGGGACACCTGGAGTCTCTCATTGGTGCTTAGAATAATTGGAGACACTTGGGAACTGCTTTTTAGGTTTGTGTCAGAAGTATTTTAAATTTGTTATCCTATCTTTGTACGTTTTGATTTCATCGGGTTTCAAAACCTTTAGCACCAAACCTCATTAATCATGGCAAGCTTTTTATTTGACAAATCTGAGAGATCTGGTGTACTGATACCGATCTAGTATTTTCAGACCAACACTTTTTATTTTTTTTTAACCTCAAAGGTTACCCTGGACCGATCTGACACAGAGATCAGACAGCGATACAACAACCAGATTGAAAAGTTGGAGCAAGAGTTGGCCCAGGCTAAGAAGAAATTGGAGCATGAAGTGGAACAGAAACACTTGCTGAACAAAAACCAAGATGTAAGTACACTCAAAATATAATGGAAACATTGCACATGTGTTTAAAAAAACAAAAAAAATACAGTTTTCGGTGGGGGAGAAGATTAAAGATATTAAGGCTAATATTATGAAAACCTACTTGCCATCAAAATATTGTTTCCTCTCGTGTAACTTGATTAGTGAATAAGTTAAGACGCTAATCATTGCTTAAAATTTCCACTTGCCATTGGAGAGTGACAATCTAGACCTGGTTAATGTACCATGGACTCTCCAGGCTTGTAGTGGCTTTTAAAGCCTGGCAAGTGGCCTATTACTTTTTAAGCCCTGCTATAATTACAAATAAAATATTTAGTAAATTCAACATGAAATGGCCTAATTCATGTTTAAAAACCTCAGTGCTGTGATTGGCAGAGTTGTATCCCACCACTTTCCCTCCCCCAACCCTTTTTTGGTTTAGATGATAAATTAGTTATCAAATCCATAAAACTCAATGTTAACTAAATACACCACATAGTGATACATGAAAAAAATATATATATTTTTTTTTTTTTTTTTTTTAAATCAATTGCAGGTGTTTGGTAAGATTTCAGAAAGGCCAACAAGTATAATTAGTTTTCAGGACACTCTAAAAATACTAGACTTCAAAAAAAAAAAAGACCGATTTAGAGTAAGTTAACTGTATTGCAAATGCTTCAACTTTTGAGTGGATGTGGTCAATCTGTGCATTTGAATGGGTTAGTGCTTTCACTTTTAACTTAAAGTTCTGCAAGACTTTAAATGTATTGAATAAAAGTATGGCATGGCTAAATTGCATTTTATTATTCTGCTGTAGGTACAGGTTTTGGATCTGAAAAAACAATATGAATCGGAGTTAAATCTGCATAGTAACACAAAAGAACTTCTGAAAAATGCAAACAAGGAAATTTCTGTTTTGAAGCAACAGCTGAATAATATTGAAGTACAGCTTGCATCTCGTTCAAGCCAGAAGGCCGCTGAGCAGGGTAATTTTACTCTCTGATGCAAAGATGCAACTTTTTGTTTAATGAAAAATTGTGCAATAAATATTAATGTGCCTCTAGGTAATGACGGTGAAGATATCGAGGCACTTAAGACAAAACTTAGACAGTCTGAAGAGCAGCTTAATGACATTAAAGAGAGGCTGAAAACTGCGACCAGCAATGTGGAACAGTACAGAACTGTTGTCCTTGGCTTGGAAGAATCTCTTGACAAGGAAAAACAGGTGCATTTTTAGTTATCAAATTATTTTTTGTATGAAAAAAATTACTTCCTCAGCCATCTGGTTGGTATTTTGTGTATTCCTTTTTTTTCTCGGGTACTTGTGTGTATTGTAAATCTAATCTAGTTTATGGCTAATGATCGTGATATTTATTGCTTGTTTTCTTCTCCTTGTCGTATTTGTCTTATTTTTAATATCCTATCTGCAAGGCTAAAATCTTGTTGCGTATAGGCTTTCACTTTACACATTCTTGTCTTTGTTTTGTTTGTTTTTTTTGGTGTGTTTTTTAATACTTAAAGGTCACTGAGGAAGCCTATAAAATGATTGAGTCTCGTATGAAGGAAGCATCTGAGTACCAAGCTCAACTGGAAAAGAAAATAAAGGAAGCAGAGAAAGAGAAGCAAGAGCTTAGAGATGAGAAGCACAAAGCCGTTGGGAATTTGGAGCAACAGGTAAGTCTATGGGAACTGAAAAACCTAACCATTACTAGCATGTCTGTATCAATTGGATGTGATTACTACTGTAGAAAAGTCATAATCTGTCCCAACATTGACTTATAAATGTAGTTCCCAAAGTATGAGCATTATTTGTCGGATTTACACGTTATAATTTTTTTTTGGGGGGGGGGGTTCTTAGACATGTGGTTGTCTAAGACGTGGTTGCTATGCTTTAACCCCTTAACGCCGTTACAGCTTTAAAGGGCTTTAAAGCTGTTGCGGCGGCATAGAACGCCGTAACTGCTTAAGCCCAGGGGAGGTGAGATCTACTTACCTCCGCCGCGATCCTCTTCTGGAGGGCTGCCTGACAGCCCAGGCAGCCCTCCCACGGCAAATGAGGCCCTCTATAGCTGGCTGTGGATCTGCCAGCAGGGGGACTGTCTGAAAAATCAGACCGTCTCCCTGCTGGTGGAAAGTGTAAAAAATAAACGGGTTTAAAATTAAAAGTATTCTTATATATATATTATATATAAAATATTGAAACAAAATGTAATATAAATTATATATTCATATGTAATTTCATTCTAACTGTATTTTATTATATATATTTACATAAAAGATTACATTAGTATACACGTAGAATTTAAATATCTATAAATGCATATATATTATAATTCTACGTGTATATTTAAGTAATCTTTTAACATAATTATGTGATTTTAATTAATTAAAATGTGATTGACATGCCTGACAACACAGGGCGAAAGTGCAGAGAATTTAATTCGCTAGCACTATATTTGACCCTTTAACTCTCCAAGACACCATAAAACCTGTACATAGGGGGTACGGTTTTACTCGGGAGACTTCGCTGAACTTAAATATTAGTATTTAAAACTGGTAAACTGTATTACAACTATGATATTTTAAGTAAAAGTGACACTTTTTTTCATTTTTTACAAACGAACGGCACTTTTATGGACTATATTATTGTTGTAATATGTTTTACTGTTTTTAAAACACTTATTTGTATTTAGTGAAGTCTCCCGAGAATAACAGTACCCCCCATGTACAGGTTTTATGGTGTTTTGGAAAGTTAGAGAGTCACATATATAAGGCTTGCATTTCAAAACCTAACAGTATTATGACATTTACAGCTAAAATGTGAGGCGGAACTACAACTTTTTAAAAAAATGTAAAATTTCTCAGTTTTTTATTTATTTTATTATTTATTTATTATGTTTCATAGCTAAATATTTGATATGAAATGAAAGCCATGTTTCTCCTGAACAAAATGATATATAAGTGTAGGTGCATTTAATATGAAAGAGGTGAATAACGGTTGAACAGACATATAGCGCAAATTCCAGTTTTTGTTTACGTTTTGTTTTGATCAGAACGTGTACTATTGACTCCGTCCTGAAGGGGTTAAATGCTAGATTTGTTTTGGATTTTGTTTTCTTCACCCTCAGTGTTCCATTCAGTGAAAAGCTAGGTTTTTTTTTTTTTGGTTTTTTTTTTTGTCAACCAGATTTTTAATGAGGCTTATAGCTTAATGTCAGAATTCCATCATATGGTAATTGTGCAATAAAAGCATGTCAATACAGAAATTCAACAGACGCACACAGGAAAACATATCACCAACATTACACAGGAGCCTCATTTTATATTGAGTAAAAATAAATAAATAAACAAAGCGATAAACTCAGTGCAGTGAGGGTATGATTAAATTCATTATATAACACCGTAGGATAGAGGCACTGGTTGCAGTAAACTAAGAACAGCCATAATGCCACGCTTTATATCTCTCTGAAATTGAGATTAGTAGAACACTGGGACCAACTGCAGCAAAACTAAAAATCAAGAACAAGTAACCTATTCAGCTGTCCAGGAGGTCTGTTAGGGGCCCAGGGTTCCTTATTTTGTTCCTTATGTTAGATAACATATTCCGCGTATGCCCACCACACAATGCGGTGTACCCAACAGAGTAATATTACTCAGGATCTCTATAGTGGTACTCTAGCACATTGCAGTGCACGTTGCCCTCGGGTCTGATCGCGTTCTGCAACCCAAAAGTTCACCTGGGGTCCCCATCCTCCTGCGAGTGTGAGCTGTTCCAATGGAGTAGTCTCCGGTTGGACTGAAGCCTATGGTGTCTGCTCACTGTCCTCCAGGAATGAGGTGTCAGTCGCTTCTTCACTTTCAACCTTTCCGATTTCTGAGCCAGGGGAGGATGATGTGCAGCAGTCGCCGGGTTAGGGATTCCACGAAGATTAGGACTCAGGACATTGCAGCAGCTATTTTGCAATGGTTGCCTCAAGGATTGTTATTTATATAGCGCCATCAAATTCTGCAGCGCTTTACAATGGGTAGACGAACAAACATGTAGTTGTAACCAGACAAGTTGGACACACAGGAACAGAGGGGTTGAGGGCTCTGCTCAGTGAGCTTACATGCTACAGGGAGTGGGGTAAAAATGACACAAAAGGTAAGGATAGTATTAGACTGACAGTTGCAAGAGAGGAATCAGTTGGGAGCTGTTAACAGTTTAATTGATAGGCAACCGTCACACTCCAGATGTTGTGGATTACATCCCCCATAATGCTCTTACACAGATGCTAGCAAAGCATCATGGGAGGTGTAGTCCAAAACATCTGCAGTGCCGAAGGTTGCCTATGCCTGCACTAGTGTGAATAACAATTCTTTGCAAGGCAGAAGACTTTTCAATGGGAATTTGGGGATGGTGAATATTGTACTACAGGGAGTGCAGAATTATTAGGCAAATTAGTATTTTGACCACATCATCCTCTTTATGCATGTTGTCTTACTCCAAGCTGTATAGGCTCGAAAGCCTACTACCAATTAAGCATATTAGGTGATGTGCATCTCTGTAATGAGAAGGGTGTGGTCTAATGACATCAACACCCTATATCAGGTGTGCATAATTATTAGGCAACTTCCTTTCCTTTGGCAAAATGGGTCAAAAGAAGGACTTGACAGGCTCAGAAAAGTCAAAATAGTGAGATATCTTGCAGAGGGATGCAGCACTCTTAAAATTGCAAAGCTTCTGAAGCGTGATCATCGAACAATCAAGCGTTTCATTCAAAATAGTCAACAGGGTCGCAAGAAGCGTGTGGAAAAACCAAGGCGCAAAATAACTGCCCATGAACTGAGAAAAGTCAAGCGTGCAGCTGCCACGATGCCACTTGCCACCAGTTTGGCCATATTTCAGAGCTGCAACATCACTGGAGTGCCCAAAAGCACAAGGTGTGCAATACTCAGAGACATGGCCAAGGTAAGAAAGGCTGAAAGACGACCACCACTGAACAAGACACACAAGCTGAAACGTCAAGACTGGGCCAAGAAATATCTCAAGACTGATTTTTCTAAGGTTTTATGGACTGATGAAATGAGAGTGAGTCTTGATGGGCCAGATGGATGGGCCCGTGGCTGGATTGGTAAAGGGCAGAGAGCTCCAGTCCGACTCAGACGCCAGCAAGGTGGAGGTGGAGTACTGGTTTGGGCTGGTATCATCAAAGATGAGCTTGTGGGGCCTTTTCGGGTTGAGGATGGAGTCAAGCTCAACTCCCAGTCCTACTGCCAGTTCCTGGAAGACACCTTCTTCAAGCAGTGGTACAGGAAGAAGTCTGCATCCTTCAAGAAAAACATGATTTTCATGCAGGGCAATGCTCCATCACACGCGTCCAAGTACTCCACAGCGTGGCTGGCAAGAAAGGGTATAAAAGAAGAAAATCTAATGACATGGCCTCCTTGTTCACCTGATCTGAACCCCATTGAGAACCTGTGGTCCATCATCAAATGTGAGATTTACAAGGAGGGAAAACAGTACACCTCTCTGAACAGTGTCTGGGAGGCTGTGGTTGCTGCTGCACGCAATGTTGATGGTGAACAGATCAAAACACTGACAGAATCCATGGATGGCAGGCTTTTGAGTGTCCTTGCAAAGAAAGGTGGCTATATTGGTCACTGATTTGTTTTTGTTTTGTTTTTGAATGTCAGAAATGTATATTTGTGAATGTTGAGATGTTATATTGGTTTCACTGGTAATAATAAATAATTGAAATGGGTATATATTTGTTTTTTGTTAAGTTGCCTAATAATTATGCACAGTAATAGTCACCTGCACACACAGATATCCCCCTAACATAGCTAAACTAAAAACAAACTAAAAACTACTTCCAAAAATATTCAGCTTTGATATTAATGAGTTTTTTGGGTTCATTGAGAACATGGTTGTTGTTCAATAATAAAATTAATCCTCAAAAATACAACTTGCCTAATAATTCTGCACTCCCTGTATGTAATCTATTTACTTTTAGAAAATTCAAATAATTTTACAGAAGGAGCTTCATTAATTTGTGTGTGTTCATGTTCTTGGATTGCTTACATTTTTTTTCCAAGCAATGTGTGAAATTATCTTTTGTCTTTTTCTTTTGTAGTTGGCACAACTCCGACAAAGCCTATCCAACCTGCAGGGAGAAGTCCAGCAAGCTCTTCAGAGAGCCACTACAGCTACTAGCAACGAGCAGAAGTCTAGACAGGATTGTCAGGAACAGGTAAGTTCCTATCAGGGTACACTTTTAATTGGCTTGTGCCATTGTCAAGTTTGTTAAAACTTGTATTTTTTAATTTTACATATTTTTTTATGTTAAGGCCAGGATTGCTGCCGAAGCACAAAATAAGTATGAGCGAGAACTCATGCTGCATGCAGCAGATGTGGAAGCCCTTCAGGCCGCTAAAACGCAAATGGCCAGTACTTCTGAAATCCGTCAGAAATTGGAGGAAACGGCACAGAAAGCAGAGTCCCAACTTCTGGAACTAAAGGCATCCTGGGAAGATCGTGAGCGTGTGCTTAAGGTAAAGAGTGGTCATAGTAAGATTGTAAGATTTTTCCCTATTTTATCGAACCACCTCTGGGAATTGAGCAGTGGCCATAGACATGGTTAGGACTATTTTATTTTCCCTGGGGATATTTCAGCTGCAGTTCCTTAGTCCAATCAATGCATTAAATCTACAGGCCTGGAGAATTGACTGTCACAATACCACTGAGGTCCAAATCCGTTCTGAGTTAACTGGTATAACACGTCAGATTATATAGGTATCTTACGTCACATTGCATCACATTATATAGACATGGATAATTGTCAAAATTTGTACTTGGCAAAATCATCAAAAGGGTCCAGAAATGTTGAGGTTCAGTAGGTTCCTTATTCTTAAAAGTATGCAGATTTAGGCAATAGGTTATACATATTTTATGTGATTTAAATTTATATGGATTATTTTTCTAAGCAGTTATGAGCAGTAAACCTCAAAATGGTGGGTGATCTCAAAATTGTTGATTTGATTTTATCCTATCAGACCTCTAACCAGAACCCACTGTTATCAAGGAGGAAATAGCTCTAGTTTTTTATTTTATTTTTTTATATTTCCTTTATTTTTTTATTTTTTTATTTTTTTTTACAGGATGAGGTAACTAAACACCAGTCCCGCTGTGAAGACCTGGATAAACAAAACAGGTTGTTACACGAACAGATAGAAAGTCTCAGCAAAAAGATGGTTGTCTCTGTTCAGGAAGGATCTTTGAATGTGTCTTTCAGCGAAGAGGGCAAGTCCCAGGAACAAGTAATGGAGATTCTTAGGTAAGTATAGACTCCTGTAAAACGTCCTGTGAAGGACATGCATGTTTGTATTGATTGCATTTTAGAAAGATCAATAGTTAATATATATTTGTCCCCCTGAAGGTTTGTGCGTAGAGAGAAGGAAATTGCTGAAGCAAGATTTGAGGTTGCTCAAGTGGAATGCTTGCGCTACAGGCAGAGAATTGAGCACTTGGAAAGGGAGGTTGAGGAGTTGCAGGGCAGTCTGAATGCAGAGCGTGAAAAAGTCCAGGTTAGTAGCATGAAAAGGGAGGATGTCCTATGTTGCAACATAACTTTTAAATCAAACTCTGAGATTGTATTCACTTTAAAAATATTTTGGTTTCATCAACAGTAGGCTTAAAGTGGCTCTCTTCCTTAAGCCCTTCAACAATCAGAAGACAAACTAGTCCCTTTTAAAAAAAATTTTTTTAAGGAAAATATAGAACGAAGAAGAAAAAAACAATTAGGAGATAAGACTCAATTGAGAAAAGCAAGTTTGGGGTGAAAGAGCCACTTTAAGGCACACTCCACTGCTATAAATAACTTTAACACTGGAGTGTTGAACTGATCATTTAAAATACTGTGCATCTCCGTGCGGCTCTGCTCTGACTCCAGGAGTTCGTAATGAATGATCTCCCAATCAAACCAGTGCTGCTCATATGCTGGCAGTGTGCATGCATGGCAATGTTCCTTACTGTGCTCACTCTGGACTAGTCAGGATTTTGCAACCCAAAAGCTTTATATATGACCAATGTGTTTTTGTTTTTTTAAATATCTTTCTCTCTCTCAAAATTGGCAATTTTATAAAGACCGAGAGGACACTGTTAACCCCTAAACACGGTGAAATAATTTGGAGGTTTGGAGTCCTCATTTAATACAAAATATTGATGCATTCAGATATAAATGTATTGAATTATTTTACAATACATTGTTTAATGGATATATTCTACATTGTATTAAACTATAAAGTGTAAAATAACATTATTTTGGGATATTTTTTGTGGGGCATAAAGTTGTAAATCTTACAACCAAAACAAATGCAGTTACTCTGTCAATGTGTGTGTTCTTGTAACACAGTAATGTGTTGAATCCTCGTTAGCCCAAAATGAAGGCTTTCAGTGGCCTTTTTGATACCACTGTGCATTGACTCTAGTTTGTAATTCAGGTGACCGCCAAAACAATGGCCCAACATGAAGAACTAATGAAGAAGACTGAAACCATGAATGTTTTAATCGAAAGCAACAAACAGTTAAGGGAAGACAAAGAAAAATTAGATCAGGAGTTGCAACAACTACAAGCTAAGGTGAATTTTGTATACATTGTTTATTGTACTTGAGTAAATTAGTACAGCCCTGTGCACTATATTGACTCTCCTGAAGTAATCTAGGTTTCCAAACCACTATAAGAGACTTGTATCAATGTTTCAGAAAGCTTACAAAAGTATCTCGTGTTTTGTATTTTTGTGATTGCTCACTGATAGCCTGGTCGAACAGTACCATATGAAAATGTTACTTTGTCCCCACACCTCCTCTTTAACCCCTTCCCTACCGCGGATGTATCCGGTATAGTGTCTCCGGAGTATAACAGTACCCCACATGTACAGGTTTTAGTTTTTTTTTGAAAGTTTTGTATAGGAATGGGGTGGGGGGGGGGGTGACAAAAAAGAGAAAATTGAGCCAAATAGCTAGTGCCTCCTAATGGGGGGTAACCCCTGTAATTTAAAGGGACACTCCAGGCACCCAGACCACTTCTGCCCATTGGAGTGGTCTGGGTGCCAACTCCCACTACCCTTAAACCTGCAAGTGTAATTATTGCAGTTTTTTTTATAAACTGCAATAATTACCTTGCAGGGTTAACTCCACCTCTAGTGGCTGTCTACTAGACAGCCACTAGAGGGCACTTCCTGGTCCATAGGGCACAAATCCTATGCTAGAGCGTCGCTGGATGTCCTCACGCTGTGTGAGGACCTCCAGCGTCACTCAATTCCCCATAGGAAAGCATTTTCAATGCTTTCCTATGGGGAGCTCTAATGCGCATTATGTCTCCGCGGCCGGCAGACGAGATCAGTCTCGCACACCGGCCAACATAATGAAGAGGAGCGGTAGTGACCTGAAACGATCAGCGGTGGTCTCAGGTAAGTGACTGAAGGGTTTTCACCCCTTCAGCAACCGGGGATTGGGAGGTGGGAGGGAGAGGGGATCTGCAGTGCCAGGAAAACTGATTGATGTATTATTTGACTGGAGAGTCACTTTAAATGTAACAGAGAAAGAGAATTGGAGGTAATTGCACATAATGTATGCAGAGAGTGTGGAATAACCTGAGAAGATAATGAATTAAAACATCACTTTTAATAATATCCTATTAAAAAAAATTCGAGCTTCATAACCCTATAGACTAATTTGTCTACTGAGGTTTTTTTTAGGGACTCGACAAGATAGAGCCAAAATATATCCTAAGTGGTGGTTGGCTCAATAGGACAATTTCCAGAAATTGTTATCAATGCATAATATCATACCAATCTCATGTATAATGATGTATCTCTAGAGTTGTAACATTTTCAGTATTGTTGCAAAAGCTTGCTGTATAACATATGTTCAATGCATTGAATGGTGTCTATTCCACAGTGATGCCAGTAAGCTGTAAGGAATGGTGTTTTTATTTTATTAAGTATTTATTTTATGTTTCAACCACTGCAATATAGCTTGCAAGTTAATGTAGGATTGGGATTTGTTGCAGGACAAACATCTGTTAAGGACTTTTGTGTTTCAGGGCTTAAAATTTCAAGATTCATGTCACTAGCTATGCTTAAACAGTTACTCGTCACTGCAAGTCTTGGAGGGATCATGGCGTACTCCCAAGGGTGGAATTTCTATCAGGTCTAAATTTTAATTAATTCCAATGACTGGTTGCAAGTGGAAATTTTAAGCCAAGGGTGCCCAAAGGTAGATTCTTAAATGTTTTATGCCTCTATGACCTCCTATAATGCTTTGCAAGCCTTTAGAATGACAAAGCATCATGGAAACTGAAGTTTGAAAACATCTGGGGATCTACTTTTTGGGCACCCCTGCTTTAAGCCCTGCACATAAAAATTCTTTATTGTGTTTTGCACAATATGTTAAACCAGGGGTAGTCTACAATCGACACTCTAGAAGTTGTCTTCCAGATTTCTCTTATAGCCATAAAGCAGGCAAAGCATTATAAGGGATGTAGTCCACAACATCTGGAGTTCCAAAAAGTTGCCTACGCCTGCGTTAAACTATAGTCAAATCTGTTATAAAGTGGTTGCAATAAAAGGGGCATTACCATCCGTTAAAATGTTTCTAAAGTGTTAGACTTTTCATTAAAGTAAAACACTTTTTGTGTGTGTGTGTGTATGTATGTATATATGTGTATATATATATATATATATATATATATATATATATATATATATATATATATATATATATATATATATATATATTTATTAATTTTTTTAGATTCGTAAATTGGAAACAAACATATTGCCTCTGCAAGAATCCAACTCTGAGCTTAGTGAGAGAAGTGGCATGCTGCAGGCAGAGAAAAAACTTCTTGAGGAAGATGTAAAGCGATGGAAAGCTCGAACACAGGTACACATTTGCTGCTTTTATGCCCAATATGAGGTTGTCTGAAGGCTTTTGTTTCTCTGTAAACCTTGGGATATCCAATTGGCCACCAAGGTTTGTGCAGTATATGCAATTTTGTGCCTTCAGAGTAGACATGAAGTTATTCACTGAAAAAAAAAACTTTGATAAATCCACAAGAGAAATATTGGAGGTAGCTACGTTTCTCTTTCCCTCAAAATTTGCAAAACCACTTGAAAGTATCCCAAAGAGTACTTGCCAAGGACGTATTACCAGGAAGTTTCTGCTGGTCTGTTTCAGCTGGTTAAACAAAACATAAGAGTGGGCTGGGAAACTTTAAGAATTCAGTATATTCATCCTCAGAAATAGAAAATTGGTGAAAATCTAATTTGTGTCTGTTTACTAAAGACATTGTATAAAGTCTTCTGTTCTAGTTTGCCTTTTATTTTTTGGTATTCCAATTGGCAAATGGTCACTTGTGGATGTTGGCCATCCAGTTTGTGAATGGTACACTAGGCTGCAGCTGTGTGTGCATGTGTAATTATAATGTGTCTTAATTTGGCTTAAATATGAGCATGAACGGCTAAGGGAATACAAGCTGCCACATATATACCATTGCAATATTTTATACAAACATGTTAGTTGTTTAAAATATGATCATATTTAAGCCATTTAAATCCAGATTATCACTACAAAAGGACTGCACATGCGCCTAACAACTGTTGGTGATTTTTTTTTATTTCTTTTTTAAAAAATTCTTTACCAGTAGCATATAAGCATTGGGGTTTTTTTGGGGTTGTTTTGTTTTTTTAAATCCTGTGAAGTGCTCTTCTATAGCTTTTATCTGTTGCAGATTACTTGCTTATTCCTTACTAAAGATGCTAGTTTAATTGCCTCTGGCAAAAATTATTTTAATGTTTTTTAAAAGCATTTATTGAATCAGCAAAAGGATACTGATGTAGAGGAGTACAAAAAGCTGGTTTCTGAGCGGGATGTAAACGTGAAACGAATCCAGCAGCTGACTGAAGAGACTGGAAAATTAAAAACTGAGGTTGCCAGGTAATGTTACAATAATCTGTAATAAGATTATAAGAGTTGCTCCTGCCACACACAAACACCAGGAAGTTGGTGCATAATAATTTTAGTTCTTGTGAGGCCAAACTGTGCATGTTTAAATGATTATTTTTGTATTCTGTTACCCATTCTAGGAAAGGTCGATTGCTGTAATAACAATCTGTTAAAGGTTCATATTCCAAAATGGAATGGCAAAGTCCCTTACTGTTGGGCAGTGTACAGCCGTTCTAGCTAAATACATGTTTTTATTTGGCATACTACTTGTCATGGAAGATAAGGGGGTTGCATGATACAACTTTGAGTGCAGTGATGTTGTTGCCAAGCTTATAAAGATTTGCCCAGTGTTTATTTTCTGTTAATGAACTAGCACTAATAAGGCAAAGAATATAACTAGATCGTTTTAACTCTTATTTAAACTCCTATCCGTTTCCAATTGCAATCATGCTGACTATGTAACACACAAATCATTTTGATAGGAGTTTGTCATGAAATATTATTAGAACGCATTGCAATGTCTTAAAAAAAACACAATTACTTTCTACAATCCTTTACTCCCGTTGGACTAATGCGTGTGTGTTTTTATTTTTTTTATTTTAGAACGAATGCTTCATTAAATACAAGCCAGAGTCAACTTCAGAATGTAAGAGAAGAGCTAACAAAAATGAAAGCAGAAAAGGAAAACCTCCAGAAGGAGCTTGATGCAAAAGTTGCAGATATCCAAGAGAAATTGAAAACTATAACCCAAGTCAAAAAGATTGGACGACGATACAAGACTCAATATGAAGAGTTGAAAGCTCAGCATGACAAAGTGAGTTGATAGAACAGAATAACTAAGGTGGTGAGGGGGGGGGGGAGGAACTAAGGTATTCAGGCATGTACCATCATTGCTAATTAAGTTTAAAAGTCCCTTCAATGTGTAAACTTGCGGTTATTACTGATGGGTGCAATTCGCGGATTCCTACGGTGTTACCTTTAACTATCACCATTTCAACCTGAGATACTGGAGTGTATAGCAGGGCTTAAAATATACACTAGCCATTGGCAAATTAAAATTAATCCTCGACGAGTAGAAATTTCACACTCGTTGTTATGCTACTGACTTTTCAGACTTGCAGTTGTAAGTAATGTGTAAGGCCAGGCTAGTAGCATTCTATTTAAAATGTTAAATCAATCCTGTATAGCACGAATCCAAAATGCAAAGCCTTGATCATGGCATACAGTGTGTACTTGGCACAGATGTTACGGGATGAAATTGAGTAAATTACTTTTTAGAAGGTTCTTTTTTTTTGTTTTCTCTTCTGTTCTCGCTCACTCTTCCACCAATCTTCTCTTTAGCTGGTTACAGAGACTGCGGCAGCTCAAGCAGAGAAATCTGATGACCAAGCTACTCAAAAAGAATTGCAGGAGTTAAAAGATTCTCTGGGACAAGCCGAGACGAAAACAACAACTTTGCAAAGCCAAGTGGATAGCATGCAGAAGGTAAAATTTAATTTACAGGTATTGTTTGTTGGCAGACAAAGAGGGCCGAATGGTTCTCATCTGCCGTCACGTTGTATGTTTCTATGCAAACCAGTGTGCGTTACAAAGCATTGCAATGAAGTGGTATTTTGCAATATATTGCTGGAACTCACCCTAGTCATTTTAATGTGCCCTTCATAGAGGATTGTAGTTTTAATGTTTGAAGTTTGTTTTGTATTTGCATGTGGTATTAATCCATTGTGTAAAATAAAAGTACTCTCAATATTTTTTTATTTTTAAGACTCCTAATCTGTTTATTTTGGCATGTGACCTCATTCTTACAGATTATTGATGATAAAGAAAATGAGCTAAAGGTTTTGCAAGAACAACTTTCACATCTGCAGACAGACTTGTCCAAGCTTCAGAAAGATTTAAAAGACAAAAGCAATCAAGAGGAGCAGACACGGCTGCAGAATAACGAAAAGGAAGAGAAGACCAGGAAAACCTTATTTGCAGCTAGACAGAAACTAGCACAACTTACTTGTAAGCATGTCTTCATGCACTGGTTTAATACATTCAGTTCTAATCCCGAATACTCGTTTAAGAGGGTTAATATTATTTTACATTGCACTATAACATTTGCCATGATGCAGAGTTATGCTGTTTATTTACCTTTTATGTTAACTGCCTTTTATACCAGTTTTCCTCTGTTCCTACTTTTTACAACTCATTCCTGGTGGTATATTATATAGATTATATATCTAACTCTTTTTCTGGCATTTTGTTTTATGGAAGGGATAGGTTTGATATGCAAATAGTATAGGTTTTATGTGTAATGGCACAAGTGCTGAAAAACATTTTTGAGACCTGAGTGGGGACTAAACGAAGGGCAAGTTGTTGAGGTTTCTCTGAGCTTCTGCCTGTTCTCATATTATGTTTATGCATGATGCAGGCACCAAATTATAGAAAAGCCAATTTATTATCTTGCTTTCTCTTTGTAGCAAAGCCTTGCCCTCTGTTTGCCACTGCTTTAAAACCTTTATTTTTCTCTAGATGGAAATGATGTAAAAAGAAACCCCTTACAATTTAACAACATACTTGTCCTTTTATTTTAATAGTTTGTACTCAAGGTTTTTCCCCATTTCTATAGATTACTCCAACATTTGTAATTCTATTTCTGGGACATGTCAGTTGATTTTATTTTTGTATTTTTTTTTGTGTGTGTGTGTGTGTTCTCTTAAAGCATCTAAGGACCAGTTATTTAAAGAGAACGAAGAACTGAAACAGAGGGTTGGTGAATTAGACCAGCAAAGAGAAGAACTGGAGGTTCGCATGAGCGCTTTGAAATCACAGTACGAGGGCCGTATTTCCCGTCTAGAAAGAGAACAGAGGGAGCAACAACGCCATCACGAGCAAAGGGATGAGGCTCAAGAAAATAAGGTATGACAGAACTGTCACGAAAGAGTAAAATGACAGGAAGGCTTGGCGCTAAGGTTCGGTTAGTAATACAATAACTTTATAAACTTAGAAACAAATGTAATCCATAACTAACTTAACCTAGAACCCAGATTTCCATTTCAGTGATTTTGGTGCAATGCTGATGGTAGCATGTTGAAGAACAAAATATTTTTGTCCTATGATGCCTTTGTATTTATAAAATAACTTTTTTGCAAGGAAATCGATGGCTTATTTTGTTTTTTTATAAGAATTTGAACCTCCAAACATTGTAACTTTAGTAATTTCAGGGCTAGGTTTTCATTGCGTCACCATGACTTTTTGATTAGGTCTGTGTTAAAAATATTGGGGCTCAACTGCATTATTTCCCTCTACCATGCTATCCATTCACCAATGGGACCAACTTTGAGGTAAACACAGAGAACCCAGCTTATTTCAACAGTATAAGCCCTTAACAGCTCTGAAGGCAGTATCACTGTGACTAAATCTTAAATCATGGAAGAACCTAGGCATTAAAACTATAGACTACCTCAGTCACCGGGAATCTATAAAGGCCTTTCCAGACACACTACAGATTGCCAAACTCATCGATATTCCAGTACCTTTGTACAAAGGCATGTCCAGCACTTAGACAATGACTCATCTCTACAGACACACACACACACACAACTCTTGTATGCTGGCAAGGACTGAAAATGCCCAAGGTGCTATCCGTTTGCTACAAAGTACTAAAGGAAACCCTACTGCAGGAGACATTCAAATTCTCCAGACAGTGGTCTTTAGAAAGCAACCACACCCTCATGACACACCACATGGTGGGACTGCCCTGATATTAAACCCTTGTGTTGGCTATTGTCTTATTAGCTGCCTGAAACCTCATAGCAACCCATTGGAAGCAACACACCTGTCCCTCACTCCAATTATAATAAAAATCCACCTGTATTACACCTATGAATCCATGTACATAGACTCTGCCCTACCATATAAAACCTTTCTAGACTAGGGTTCATGGGTTAACATTGCACCCGATCAACCATGACACAACTTTAACCCTAAATGTATATCATGGCCCAAAAAAGAGGGCTATAAATAAATCTGGTACATCAGACGCCCAGTACAATTACACCGGGCGAAGAGTAAGTGACCTAAAGTCTTCCAGACTGCAAGCCCTCCTCCCACACCTCTACCAGCGGGCACACCTCTGCAGAGGTTTTCCCTAGGAACCTCATCCAAGACTGACAGATTGTGTGATGACTATGCACCCTATCCCCTCTTTATCCAGTTTTTCCTTCTGCACCACTTTCCTCCTACATATGGCTGCATGTTATCAAAACTGCTACTAAAGAGCTTAAATGGCTAGATATCCCCTTACGGGCAGGGTCCTCTCTACCTTATGTGTTTGTGTATATCCACTGATTGTATAGCGCTGCAGAATCTGTTGGCGCTTTATAAATACCAGTAATAAATAGGTTTGTAAATACAAATGTTCTCATTCGGTTTCTGTGGGTATCTAGCCACAATGTTTGGCTTACGCCACCTCAAACGTATGATGCGTATATGATCCTATTGCTTCAACACATAATATATGAATCGATGTTTGTTTGCATTGACCAATGCTGCAACCCTTTCCCATATATTTTTGTGAAAATCAATTAAAAAAAAAAACTGATGGGAAAAGTAAAATATAGAGGTTCATAAGCACTAGAGGTCTATCATGTGTTGGTGCTTACAATTGGTTCAGTCCTGGAAATGGAGCATGGCTACAAACATAGCATGCAGTTGGCAGTAAAACAGATTTGCCTCCCTCTCTCCCTTTTTTATTTTTTATTTTTTGTGTGCATATTTAGAGTAACCTATTTTTTATTTTTTTTATTTTTCAGCTTAGTGAACAATGGGTTACCTTAAAAACTGCACCAGCGCCTGGAGAAAGGGGAACGTAAGTAATTAGTCGTAACACTAGAAATTGTGTTGTGTTTTTTTTATTTTATTGTGAGGTGTTCGTTCGCCCTTCCCACCCCGTCCCTCTTTCTCTTAGCAAACTATTTACAAAGTTTTGATATTACTAAATACACTGACTTGCTTCCTGGAGCAGATTTAACGTGTTCCTGCACTTCTGTTATATCTCTCCAGCTGAAATATGCCACTCTCAGAAGATGCTGTAATAAATCCTTGTTTATTTCTCTCCATATCCCAGCTTCTCTCACATAGAGCCTGTCTGAGGTCCATCCTCTCCCATTGTGGGCATAGTTTTCTCATATACTGAAGACAAGCAAGAGAACCCACCTTGAGGAGGGTTCTCCTGCCAACAGATATGCTGAACACTGCCTATTCAACTCTTTGCTTATGTCACTTAGGTGATTTGACAGGAGTGGAAAGAAATTTTTCTTAAATCTATGTAAATCTATTCTAAAGCCAACGAAAAGGTAATTGACTAATGTGAAAATGTAGATAAATCATTGGAGAAATCTGTTCACTTTCTGTTTCTGTATTATTATTGTTAGGGATGCACCAAAATTGTCTGTCTAAATTTTCATCTGAAAATGGGTTAAATCTGCCAAAAAATGCCACCACTTCTCCTGTGTGCAGTACTGTGATAGCACTCTACAGCTATCTCTCTATATAAACTGTTAATATGGATATTGTAATACCCACCTCACTGGGTGTCCCAGCCCTGTATCCATTCCCTCTCCTTGCTCCAGTGTGCTCAGTGAAGCCACTTTGGGTCTGTCTCTTGAGCACAATACCTGCTCACACTGCGGATGCAGCTTCCTTCACTATTACAGAACACGGATATGGTGTCACCGGAAGTGGTTGTTACCGAGTGGCCATTTTGGATGAGGGCAGGAGTTACATTAAACTAGAGTATGGGCAGAATGTGAAATCTGTTTGGTACAGCTGCAGAGTCAATGTGTAACATGAAGTCATGCTTTGTAACACATGGACTGAGTGTGAGTAAGACTGGAAAGGTTCATTACAGACAGGAGACTTTTTTTCTAACCACTAGATGTCAGCGTTTTACCATATTTAGAAGTACTGTATTGGATATACTGTAATATTTTTAACACACCAACATAGTCTACAGTGCTCGACATTAATGTAATAACAAGTAGTTGCAAAAAGAGGTTAGATGTGCATAGACCGAAGATGCTGAGTGCAAGACAACATTTTAAGGGTAAAACATCCCCTTGCAGTGATTTAAGATACAAACACTTCTTGAACTCTAGACTATTTTTTGAGATTTTGTTTTCTAAAATCTTTTGTTTACTATAATACATACTTTAGTCTTTTTGATATGATTACTATTTATCTAAGTCTATTTATACTTTCTATATTTTGAGTCATGCCTTGTAGACTAAGAATTATAGAATTACTTTATCATCATTAAGCTCCTAGTTATTTATTTTTTCTATCGAATACTTCTAAAGTGTACTTACCATCTCTAGTGCAGCTGCATTTTGCACACACTCATCCAATGAAGAGTCCATAGTTGCCAGCTCTAACCGTAGTTCTTGCATTTTCTATTTAGTACAAGTAGTTCAGAACCTCCAACAGCCAATATCAAGCCCACACCAGTGGTAGCCACTCCAAGCAAGGTGACCACTGCTACAGCACCTGGAAACAAGCCCACACCAAGGGCTAGTATACGCCCGATGGTCACTCCTGCAACCGCATCCAATCCAACCACCACACCCACGGCAACTGTCATGCCTACAACACAAGTGGAGACGCAGGAAGGTAATTTCTTTCTTTATTTTTTGCATAGTTAAACTTGCATGTGTTAATTTGTAATAGTTTATTTTAATTTGTTGCTACTAGAATGGTATTTGTATGGTGCAATGTTAATCAAATCAATTAACCGGTTTTTACAATTTGTCTTTTAGCCATGCAGCCTGAAGGCTTAATGGAACATGTTCCTGTTTTTGGTAGCACCAGTGGATCTGTCCGTTCCACCAGCCCAAATGTTCAGACCTCCCTTCCACAAACCATTTTAACTGTCCAACAGCAAACACAAGCCACTGCCTTTGTACAGCCCACACAGCAAACGCATGCCACAGTAGAGCCATCCACTCAAGAACCTGCTGTGGTAGAAGTAATTCAGAGTTCTCAGATTGAGAGGCCATCAACCTCCACATCTCTATATAATCCATGTAAGTTTTCTACGAACGCTAAAGGTCAAATAGCACAATCTGCTTGGCTCTCCATTGTTATGACTGAGTGCCACAGTTATCTAGCCAACCAAAAGCCACTCTTATTTTCCATTTGGAAGTATAGCTACTAAACTTGCATTGTCTTAATTTTTTGGACAGTGCAGTGTCCCTTTAATGTTGCCTAATATCTTTCTGATTAATGATCCAAGCTGGCACATTTTGTAATTAGTGGTGACACCTAGCCATGAAAGGGAAGACCTCAAGAGACTGTATTTTGTTTGGATTTTATCTGGCGGAGACCACAGTGCAACTAGACCCACCCATATAGTACGGTCTTGTATTATAATAGCTTTCTGGTTATTGTTCATGGTAGATATTGTCACAAGAATTCATGTGGAACTTTCAATCTTACTGAAGTCAGTGAGGCTCCACCACTGTTGTTCTTGGCATGTACTCTATTTACTCTGATGCAGTAGTAATCGTCTAAGAAACCTCAGATTTCAGACAAGCTTTGTTTGTGCATATATAAACACACAATTAACTTTCATATCTGTTCAGATACATGTATAGCTCACATCATTGCAGGAATAAAGATATCCTTTGAGTACAGTGTTTTGCAATTCTAGTTGCTTAGGCACTTTGACAGTCTTGGGTAGGATCGTATTGGCAAGTTTGGGTTTTCATTCCTTTTCTTCCTTTGCTTGGGTTGATGTACATAATTTTGTGACTCTAAATGTAAAACATTGGCAATGGAGAAGGACCTGCTTCAGTTTTTATGTCTTTGCTAACTGAACTTAATTTAGTGTGAAATCTTTATAAAGGGAAAGAATCAAAAGTTTAAAAAAAAAAAAAAAATGTACTATAATGGTTAGTTTGTAAATAGCTTGACACTTTTGGTCATCCCAGTCATCAGTTGACACTCAGCCAATGAATATTTTTTTTTAAAGTTTCACAAAATTCATAACTAAAGTAGATTGAGAATTTCCTTTTTAGCTGTGTCTATTAGACCAGAAAAAACACAAGTACCTAAAGAAGTGCATATCTGTATCATCTTAGACTGACATGCATACCAGCTGAAATGGAAATATTACCATGAATATACTTGAGCATTTAGCAGGTTAGACAAAGCACTAGATTATACCCTGTTTGTCTTCTTCGTTTGATGTTGGTAATTTATTGTGTGTAAATCACACAAGCCTATACATGATTTAATGACATGTAGATCAAAGTTGTGACAAATGGCCTTTTCATTACTTTAATATACGAGATATTTCGGTTACAGCAACTTCTTTGGCCCCCAAGAGACCGCGTGAAGAGGGTGAAGAAAGCACATCCGAGACAGTCGAGCAGTCAGTTGAAGACTTGGATATGCCTCACAATAAAAAGATTAAGGTCCTACAACAAACTGGAGCAGAGGTGTGTATTTTAATATTTTAAGGAAAAATTTGTATAAAGTAATACTAAGCAGAAGTTGTGTGTGTGGGTTTTTTTTATATTTTTTTTATTTTTTTTTTTAATCAAATTAAATGTTTGTTTATTTAAATAGCACCAGCAAAATTCCGTAGCACTGTGCAATGGGTGGACTAACAGACATGTAATTGTAACCAGGCACATGGACGCACGAGAATCGAGGGGTTGAAAAGTAATTGGAATATGTAACACCTTTAGGGATTTAGTCAACACAGATCTATTAAAATATTCCATTTATTTCAAAAACTGTCAAAACGGAAAAGTTGGGCTGAGAAGCATTTTTGCAGCAATGTTGACAGGAATGTCTTTAAATTTGTGTAGACAGCTTGACACATTTACCCACAGTTTGAGCGAGAACGTGTATGTTGATTGCTCAAAATGTCAATTCCAGTGTCAAGTTGAAATCAAGCCCTTTTTAGTTACCAAGGTCTGCTGGGTTGGGCACATAGCAGCAAGGAGTAGTGCTTCTTCTGTGTCTCACTATTGTATGATTGATTGGCTGGGACCAGAGTACTTGAAGAAGCATAGCTCTAGAAGGGATATAAATACAACCCTGCATCACATACACTGACCTTTTATGCAGATGGGCAGAGCACCATTTTTTATTTAAACACCCTAATTACACAAATCATAAAGTATTATTGGCTAAACATACAAGTATGCCTATGCATTCACGCACCTACAGGTATTCCATGCTGCCAGTGAAATAAAATGTAAATCTGTAAACAAGATGCACATCAACTATTGCAACCTTTCATCAATGTGTATATAGCAGAGGGATGTCAAGGGAATGTAATGGACTATAATAGAATTTATAAATGTCTTTATTGCAGGAGGAAGTCATAACAGAAGAAATGGAGGCAGAATCTCAGACTCTTAACCAGGAATCACAAGACACACAGGTAACCTGTTTATGTGCTATGCTTGCTGTTTTCAATAGACTTCTCCCTTTAATATTTGATTAAGGCCAATTATGTCTATTAGTTTCGTTGGCTCACCTTTTTCTTTCCCTTTTTTTTTTTGATTAACTTTTATTTATCTAAAGTTTTACTGCGGTATCTATCCAACTGGATATCCTCTCCTGTCATATTGCCAAGTGGTTCACTTGAGACCTGTCTTAAACCAGCCCGTTAGAGTATATGGCTTTCTAGTTTCTATCCTGGTGTTATGTGGGGATGGTCCTATTATAATAACACATTGAACTTCTCCTTCTCTGAGTCCAATACATTCCGACATAGTATTTTTTTTTTTTTTAATTCTTTATTTTTGCATGACAAGAACAGCGACATAGAGAATGCATATTGGCTTGCGCAGAAGCCCCATACAACGGTGTAAGCTAAGCACTTTTTCCCCCAATGTTAGTACCCAGAGGTGGGGTTGCTCCGAAACGATATGTCGCCGTCCGTCACGGTTTTTACCCTATATATAAGCCTAGTTTTACCGACATAGTATTTTTATATTTATTGTACAACTACTAGTTGGCACTCGGAACATCCATAGTAGGATTTTAACATGATGGAGGTCCTATTTGATTTTATTAAACAGCTGGCCTAACTGAAGAATTGCTCACAACCTTGTGTAATCCTATTTCTATAGATGACAGTGCCTAAAGTATGACATTTGTCAGTAGGCTTGTAAACTGTGTTGGAGATTACACCCTATATGTAGTCACTATTTTTGTGTATTGCTTGCTTACTGTGAATTGCATTTGCAGTGTTTTTATTCAATTTGAAAGTTTAAAAAAAAATGAATCAAATTGATGGTCTATCCCTTAACTAACCTTTTTGGTTAGCTATCGAACTTTGCCAAAGTCCCACATGTTACAGTAACCGTTTTAAATAACCCCATAGGGAAAGGCAGATTTTGGGTTTAGTGTGTGTTAAGCATGTGTGATTATTTCTACTGTGTAAAACATACAAGTTCTTTGTTCCAGTGACTAGCCTATAAAAAGCCGTCTTGGCGACATAAGAACAGGTTTTAGTCTGCCATTTGCAGTAAGTGTGATGCAGCGTGTGCCAGAAAGCTAATCCTAAATCTTTACACTGTTTTACAGTGTGGTTCACTGGACTATCCACAGCTTGAAGACAGTGAGGAGACTTCACAATCTATTCTGGACATAGCAACCCAGTCCTCTGATCAGTCCCAAACTGTACAATCCTCTCTGGATACCCCTCCCAAGCGTGCTGATGTTATTGTGATAGATAGTGATGAAGAGGAGGATGATGAAAATGAGGAAGACCAGGAGGTACAACTGTTGGTGGGAAAGCAATAATCACAAGTAGAAATTTTAGAATGTACCGTGAGCTGTACAATGGTTTAATTTATTCTCTTTTACAGGACTATGAGGAGGATGAGGAAGAAGATGACGATGACACCGGCATGGGAGATGGTGATGAAAGTAACGAAGAAACTGGAAGTGCAGATGGAAATGAAGCTTATGAAGGAGACGAAGCTGAGGTAACTGGCAATGTCTGTGTCTTAAAAATGGATGCAATGAGTGAAGTCAATGCTTTAACCGTTCATATCAATTATATCAGTGCGCTTTATGTTCTGGACCAGCTTAAGAAATAGCCTTTCTGTTACGGTTGCTGGTGGCCAAAGGCTGTATTTTCCATTTTAGATTCCCCCCACCCTCTCCCCATAATACCAGGAGTTTTTTTTGGTTAGAGCAACCCTTGCAGGCACCACTCTCCCTTTTACAACCCAATCCACCTTCCGTGATGTCACTCCTCCTCACTACAGGAGGAAGCATGTCAGAGATGGGGCTCTGGGTGGCTGGGAGAAGCATACCATTATTGGAGGACCATTTTGTGTGTGTGTGTGTGTGTGTGTGTGTATAATTAAACCGCCAGCAGTTTAATCACATTAATATTGAACCATGCTCATACAGGCTGATGAACCATGATGACTTGAAATCACTGAAGTGTATATGGTACTTGGAGTAACCCTTTAAAATTAGAATGTTACCCACTGCTGTCATTGCTATGACTATCAAACATGTTTTCCTTTATAATCTAAGGATTTTTTTTGTTTTGTTTTGTAGGGAGCTGAAGGTACAGATCCTGGTACAGAAACAGAAGAAAGTATGGGTACAGGAGATGGGAACCAAAGAGCTGCTGATTCTCAAAACAGTGGTATGTGTGAAAGCAATAACTCCCTCTACCGCTACCACATTTCAAGTTGCTGTCTGAAATACGTTTATGTATATGTGAGGTGTGTGTTGCAGTATTGAGTCTGGTAATGGAAAGGGAAAAACTTTAACCAAATCATGTGTTGAATAAAAAAAAATGCATATCCATTTTTTCCCCTTTAGTAACCTCAGGTTATTTGTATATATGATTCACAGATCTCCACGGTGATATTGCTAGTCGTGTGTTTAAGACGAGAAATTTTAAATTGTACAGTGATTGAATGCAATTGTCAGTTCATTGTTTCACCTAATAAAACAAATCTGTTCTGACTTCCATAGGCAGGGTACATGTGAGTCTCTGTGTCCCTTTACTGATGCTACTTTATATAATTATATGGTTTTGATGAGCAATGTCTTAGAGTAATTGCTACTGCAACCGTTTGGAAAGAGTGTGTGTTTGAATATATGGTTAAAAATGCATAGAACTGTCAAGTTAATATTGCATGCATTCTACATTTAGAAATGCAATTGTTACTTTTAGGTGACACTGGGCCTGCTGAGTCTACTTTCACACAAGAGGCACAAGAGCAACCATCATCTGCTTCAGACAGAGTATGCCCCCGTCCTCCCCAGTCACCTCGAAGACCACCTCATCCACTCCCTCCTCGTCTAACAATCCATGCTCCACCACAGGAATTGGGACCACCGCCACAGGTATGGACACGAACACTATTTACCTTTGTATTGCTAACACTATAGTGTTCCTTTAAGTAAAGCACACCGTTTTACAAAACTTAAAACTAATAAATGTTAATACTGGATCTCTCATCTGTATTTATAGAACCATTTTTATTTGAATTCATGTTGGTGTAGGTGTTGAGCACTGCACTTTTGCTAATATTCAGTCATCTTAGAAAACAATCAAACTATTATACCTCCTATGCATTAGAGAAGAGTATTCAGCTATTGTGAGCAACATTTTTGTAAAGCTGTCATTGCCTTACTGCTACAATTATCATTTGATGTGTAGAAGACAAACATGGATGTATTGGGGAGGGGGGGGTTGGTTGTGTTTTGTTTTTTTGCATTTTGTTGGAATGAATACAGTAAAGTTTAGTCCATATTCAATTAGAAGCAGCAACACAGGTGTATGCCGATGGTTGGTTAAAATGTATTGTTCATAATGCCTTGTCTACCAATGTCTTCCATTTTAGAGAATACAAATGGCACGCAGGCAGTCTGTTGGGCGTGGCCTTCAGTTAACCCCTGGCATTGGTGGAATGGTAAGTTAAAATGTGGATTATGATTTAACAACTGTACAGAGCTTGAGCTATGCACTCATGTTGGCAATTTCTGTACATTTTCAAATTGGGAAGTATCATTTACTGCCTCTTTTGTCCAGCGAACCTGTCCTCATCGTTAAAGGACCAGTCCAGACACCTAAATCACTGTTAGCCTGCTGAAGTGTTTTGTGTGAACAGGTCTTACTCAATTACTCAGAGCATCTGCCTTGCAAAGACTTCTCATTGAGCTACAGTCTATTGGTATACATGGATTGTAGATTGATCATGAGTCAGGAGAGATATTCAGTTACCCACAGGAGAAGTACCTTGATGAGGACAACTGGTGACATGAGCAATTCTGCAGTAAAATATACGCTTTTCACCGATAGTTGGTCTGAAGTTTATTTTCTATATCTGAGCTAGGCAACCATTGGCACTCCAGATGTGGTGGACTAAATCTCCTATAATCTTACTGCTATAATACTAGCAAAGCAAGGGGGGTGCAGTCCACATCATCTGAAATGCTGATGGTTTCCTACCTCTGATTCCTCCTCCTTTCCCTTTTCCGAGAGTAACAAGGAAGATCTGTCCTCCATTGCCTTTTTTTTCCCCCAGTTTAACAACATTGCCTTATTCCCTTACCTCTATTTCTTTGGAAGAAGGCTTTGGATTGTGCATAAAAGGGTTATTCACTAAACTGAGAATTCAGTCAATTTCAAACTTAAGGACACAGACAACTGAAAACGTAGCTGAATTAGATTGTTTCCACTTTGGCTATTTTTATCTTATATTTGAAATTCACTTTGGATTCTCACTCTAGTGAATCACCTTGTACTGTTTAAGATTATTCAGCCTTACACATTAATCTGGTGGTATCAGTAGTTCACTCCTACACCTGCTCCTTCCTATTTCCCCTCCACCCGGTTGTGAGTTGTGCATGGTTACATTCTTTCATTGTGGACCAAATATTATATAGTTAACTGTGGAAAATTGACAGGTGAATTTCATATTTTTCAACGAACAATGTGGGTTCCCTGATCAATTCTCCACAATTCCTGGTGTAATGAATAAAATCAGGAGTTGAGCTTTTTGCGGTCTTCTGTATGGGAGTCGGGGTACTTTGAACTGATCACATATACCATCTGTACCGTCACAGCAACACTTTTTTGATGATGAAGACAGGACCGTGCCCAGTACCCCTACTCTTGTAGTACCACATCGCACAGATGGCTTTGCAGAGGCTATACAGTAAGTTATGTTAAGCTGTTTCTTTATTTGACCAACAAGACATAACATCTCAGATATTTATTAGCCATGCCTGATCGAATGGATCAGTGTTTGGGAATGCAGATGAATGTGTCTACCTAACTCAACCTAGCCTTGTTAGTTCCTCAGCCTACAGTTTCCATTTTATTCCACTAACCCTTTCACCCTGTTATTTCTCCATAATCCTCCTCCCAAACACAAACCGCTGTTTAGACTCTCTAAGAACCCCAGTTCAGTATTCCACTCCACAGAAAGCAGAAGCTATGCACTGAATATCCACTTATACTCCACAGGATGCACGAGTCTGTCAAAACACACTCTCTCCGCAAACTTTAAATGGCTAGCCAACATTTACATGCAAGCCTGACTTTCACTTGGAAAATGATGTGGCAGGCTTTTAACCACTTGAGCACCACATGATGGTATATGCCATCGTGTAAGACTTTACTGCATGATGCTGTAGGCCATCATCAGTGGCCCCAGACTGACACATGCTCTGTTTGCAGAGCTATAATTTAATTGTATTCTTTATATTGTGTTAACTGTAATTGACAAAAATAAACTGGAATCCTAGGCATTCTATACTCTAAATCAGGACAAATTAATTTATTTAGAATTACTTTTATTAAGTTGCACTAATTATGCACATATTATTCACAAAACTGAAAAAAATGTGTGGGGGGGTTCAGATTTTTTTAATTTTTATTTCTCTTTCTCTTTCTCTCTCTCTCTCTCTCTCTTTCTCTCTCTCTCTTTCTCTCTCTCTCTTTCTCTCTCTCTCTTTCTCTCTCTCTTTCTCTCTCTCTTTTTCTCTCTTTTTCTCTTTTTCTCTTTTTCTCTTTTTCTCTCTTTTTCTCTTTTTTTCTCTTTTTTTCTCTTTTTTTCTCTTTTTTTCTCTTTTTCTCTTTTTCTCTCTCTCTCTCTCTCTCTCTTTTCTCTCTCTCTCTCTTTCTCTTTCTCTCTCTTCTCTTTCTCTCTCTCTCTCTCTTTCTCTCTCTCTTTCTCTCTCTCTCTCTCTCTCTCTCTCTTTCTCTCTTCTCTCTCTCTCTCTCTCTCTCTCTCTTTCTCTCTCTCTTTCTCTCTCTCTTTCTCTTTCTCTCCAAACATGTCACTGTGTGCCAAGAATTTTGGAAATCATAATTTTGCTATTTATATGTGGATATAAAATAAGAATTCTGTTGCCATTAATATTTTTAATATGTTTTTTTTAGTTCACCTCAGGTTGCTGGTGTTCCTCGGTTTAGGTTTGGGCCACCAGAAGACATGCCACAGGCCAGCTCTAGTCATTCTGATCTCGGACAGCTTGCATCACAAGGAGGTGAGTCCTTTTTAATTTATTCTGCGATGCGGAAAGCAGAGGAGTCTGGTATTCATGATTGATGGGTATTGTTTCTATTTACTCTCTTCATATAGGACTTTTTAGCACGTTTGTTTTTTTGGGGGTTTATGTTTGACTGCATTTGCTACCTCGGTCACAGTGCACTATTTTGAAATGCAAACCTTAAAGGGACATTCTAGTCACCAAAACAACTGTAGCTTAATGGAGCAGTTTTTGTGTATAAATCATACTCCTGAAGTCTTACTGCTCAATTCTCTTCCATTTAGGAGCTAAATCACTTTGTTTATGCCTCTATAGCGTTATGCATATTTGTATTCTTATTTGTATTAATAATAATATTTGTATTCTTAATGCTATAGTCTATAATTTAGAATTTATCTCCTGCTGTGTTAATAGATTTTTTATTTTATTTATTTTTTTACTTTTGGGATGATTCTTTTTAAATGGTTGTTTTTTTTTTGTTTTGTTTTTTGTTTTTTTTAAGCTGTTTTTGGTGATGGAGGCTTCATTTTCATATATCTTTGGTTTAGAACACTCAAGTCTTTTTGTTGAGACCATTATTTTCCTTTGCTATACTTTCTCCCAGTAGTAAATTATGTGTTGCTCTGTTGGATATCCTACTTTGCTGTGTATTTATTGCCTAATTTTACACTGACATTAATGAAGTGTTTGCCACACTAAAATTGAAGTATGTTTTAAAGGCAGACAATGTGAGCTATGGGACTTGGACTGTATAGTAGTTTTAAAGTCTTGTCCCATTACTTTTATTGGTAGGTTTAGGCATGTATGAAACACCTCTGTTTCTTGCGCATGAAGAAGAGTCTGGTGGCCGCAGTGTTCCAACTACACCACTGCAAGTAGCAGCGCCAGGTATGTTGCAGAAACTTATTAACACTGAAACTCTTAGATAAAACCTTTCTGCATATTTAATATGGTGGGTTGCAGGAGAGTTAAAGTGAAATGAAGAGGCTGAACAGAAACTGGCACAGCCATGATTTGGTCGGGGGCCCTAGTCATTTAAATCTGTAGTCGGTAAGACTGTTTTAAATCCTCTTTAAATTTAAGGATTCCTTCTTGCTGGTTGTTTTAATCTTTAATATTGCAACCAGATGAAGACTTTGTATTTAAAATCACTTTTAGATTAGTTTAACAGTTGCAACTTATTTTGTTAGTTACCATAAGAAGATAAATTTTTCATCTTGCAATAATTTCATAATCTTTATTCAGTTTAATAGGTTAATCACTCATTTGGAGAGCACCTTAACTGTTCACTGTGTTCATACATTTGCAGAATAACAATAGGATTAAGGTCTTTCTGTATGTTTTTATTACATTTCATTTTTGTTCTGTAAAAGTGCGTTATCTCTGCAGACATAAGCTCAATTAACTTGGATTAATGGAATTAATTTGCCAAAAATTCTAATATTGCATGAATATACAGCCCAATGTTACATAAATAATCCCTATTTCATGCTGAATGACCTTTGGGCTGTAATGTATCCTATAATAAAACTATCTTATCCTACATATTTGTGTATATATATTGTTTTGTTTTTTGTTTTTTATATCTGATATGGGCCATGGTTACTGTTTGTCATTAACAACTCATGGATTTGTCTTCCTATATTCAGCAATGCATAATGAGTTGGCACAATTAGAGACCATTCTTATGTTTAGAGTAGTGTAAAGTTTACTATGTCACAGATTTCTTAAAAAAAAACCTTAATAGCTAAAACAAACATGTTATTCCATTTGTACACACTCAGATTTGCAAGTTACTTTATGATCACAAACTCCAATTTTGCAGCAAGAGTGAGGACTATTAAAAATGAAAGTCAAAATAGTTGCTCATGACTTATGAATTTTTTCTTTAGTGTACATCAAAAGTATTGTGTTCAGAGCAAGAATGGGCAGTGATGGGCAACGTTTTGCCATCTGGAGGCTGTGATTTAAACTTCCATGATGCTGGCTGTTCACTGGGTGCTTAGTCCACAACATTTGGAATGGCAACGTTTCCATTTCCTGGAATACAGGAACAACTTGATTCCCATAAAACTGTATTTTGGTTTATTTTTTTTCAGTCTCTGTTTTTGCTGAGAACACTGCTGCTGATACTTCAGACCACGCATCCCAGTCTGTTCCAATGGTCACCACGTCCACTGGGAATGTTACTACTGGTGTGGACTCCGGAGCAGCCGATGAAGGAGATGAGGTTTTTGTGGAAGCAGAATCTGAAGGGTAATTTTGTTGTTGTGTGTATTTTTTTTTTTTTTTTAATTCTTTATTTTTGGTTTGACAAAGTAGATGGTAATCATGAAAGCAGTTACATTTATGTACATGACAGCGCAGTGTCATACATTAGCGTATAGAATGCAAGTGACAGTTGTCAGTTTAGGCATATCATATACATCAAGTTTTCTGTGGGTGTCTTCGTCTGAACTTTTGGTATAGGTGGCAAGCAGTGTTAACTATATACAATAGCTTTGATGTGAAGGGTTAGGCTTATAGAGTAGAGTGTCAGTCTCCCCGCTTCCTGGGGTATGCGACTGCGCCCTCCCTCCCTTCTACGCTCCGTAAAATGTTGGTGTGCTTTTATCTGCCTTTCCCCTCCTGCCTACTGACAGGTCTAGGGTGCCTGCCTTCAAGAGAGAGATAGAAAGGAAAAGTAAAGAGTTGGAGACAAGTACATGCGTGCTTAACGGTATCAGTTTGATATGGTTACCGAGTGAACTACCGATGGGGGTAGTCAGTTCCCTTAAGCTGTGTTTTATGTACTGGGTCCAGCCCCACCCCCGTCTAGTAGTGGTGCCTCTTCCGCCTGTCCGAGTGTTGGTGTGGTGGTTGGCGTGTGGTGGGCCCCTGCCCCGCCAATTGAAAGTTGCGTGGATGCTGCCCCGAGTTGTTGTGCTAAGTATCGTACTGCTCCCACAGGTCCCAGACTTTTTGGAACTTAGTCATGGTGTTTCGCACCTGAGAGGTCAATTTATCCATTATGTAATTGTCTCGCATTTTTGTCTTAACCAGGGATATATGTGGGAGGTCTGGACATGACCACTGTTGTGCTAGGGACCTTCGGGACGCTAAATAGAGCATGTTAAGAAGTCTTTGCTCGTGTATGGGGAGATCCTTTGTGGGTCTTGAAAGCAGACATGCCCATGGGTCTAATCCCAGTGTATTTTTTTTTTTTTTAATGTATGTATGTGTGTATATATGTGTGTATATATATATGTATGTATGTATGTGTGTGTGTGTATATATATATATGTGTGTGTGTATATGTGTGTGTGTATGTATGTGTATATATATATATATATATATATATATATATATATATATATGTATATGTGTATATATGTGTATATAATTACAGTCCACAATGTCTTTGCACTCTGGCTTCAAAATAATTAAACCGGGTGCTTGAAATCTGGGGGAGTTAGCACATATTAATAGAGGAGATGACCAGCTCTCACGGATTTCCAAGTAGTGATTAAAAGAGCTATAAATTTATTAATCCATCTTTAAAAAGCTGCCTCAACGTTTCAGTCCACGTCTGGGACTTTCTTCATGTTGAACAAAGTCCCAGACGTGGACTGAAACGTTGAGGCAGCTTTTTAAAGATGAATTAATACATTTATAGCTCTTGTAATCACTACTTGGAAATCCGTGAGTGCTGGTCATCTTTTATTGGGGTATATGTATTTTACTTTAATGGTGAGCCATCTGAAAATGTAACTATTAAATAAAACTATGACATTATTTTTTGTTTTATTAAAGAGTTGACAAATGATCTGGCCACAGCCAGGACACAGATTGCAAAAGATTAAAAAGAAACCCAAACATTTTTCATTTCTTCTTTCTGTGTATACTTTCTCAAAGAAGTAAGATGGAAGCACCAGTTGCAAGAAAAAATAATTGTGGATTTTTTTTTAATTCTTTATTTTTCGTGCATAGGTTATACATGTAACAGTTATCTAGCGATGCCACAACAGCTATCGCCAGGGTTTGAGTAGACATGTAAATACAATTGTATGGCAGGAATAACTTCGCACATTTTTATATATATATATATGAGAAGAGTGGTTAGTGGTATAGCACTGTTCCAGCGTGAGTGGTTATGTCCATATAGAGACCTTCAGGTTAGGGAGCAAGGGCTAGTGTGCGTGTTGACCATCAGGTTAGATTTTTGTTAGGTATATACATGGGTTTAAGTGTTATCAGCCCTGGCCGCTCGATAGAGTAGTGCCTGTCCAAACTGTGGGCCGGTTTTGCATTGAAAATCACACTGCCCAGTCGCCTAATTCTAGGTGTACGTGTCCCGTGTTTCCTCTACACTTGATGTAATCTATGCTTCAGTCGACACCTAGCGCGTCCCAACCGAATTTAGCGGCAGCAGTTTGGAGAATCGCCAGCCAACCCGCGCATCCACCCCCAGCAGTCCCATGAATACAAGCTTGTTTGCTCATGGATAGTTATGGGACAGGAGTGTTGCGGGCAAACTGGCCCCTCCAAATCACGTAAGCCACCCAGTCCAGGCTGCGAACTATGTGCTCCAGACTTATTATGCATAAGACTTATAACTTATTTTTCGTTTCAGAGTGCTAGATCTATCTGTGGTGTTAAGTGGTCTGTGGTGTCAGTTGGTTAGTCGTGAGAGTATCTTGTCAGGGGGCCTTATCCGTGGTCCGTTTGAGTTGCTCTCGAGGGGTATTAGCCCTAACCTAGGGGCTGTCGGGGGGTAGTTATGTTCTGTATGGTAGTGCATATTCCTTTAGCGCACTGGTATTCCAGCGCCGTCCCTGACAGGCTCTCAGCGCGTCATATGGGTATTAGAGCGTCAGATTAACTTGCTCATTATCAACAAAGCTTGAGTGGCAGAAGGTGAAAGGGTATATGAGAAAAACACAAGAAAATACATTTTGCAGTTTTTAGCCTTTGAGCGGGATGGAGTAGGAGACTTCTCCCCTCATTCCCGTCATGTGGTGTGAGTGTCCCTTCTCCGTGTCCTCGGGGTGAACGGCTCTATCGTCTCCGGGTCCCAGGCATGGGTGGCGTTCTGGGCGTGCTCTGTCGGCGGACCCAATTTTGGTAGTAGCGCGGCTGCATCGGGTCCTGTAGCGATTTTGTACGTGTTTCCTCGATGTGTAACCAGGAGGTGGCGTGGGTTTCACCACCGATATGGTATGCCCGCTGAACGTAGCTGGCTGGTGAAGTCGCTGAGGGTTCTTCTCCATTGGAGAGTGGCTCTGGTTAAGTCTTGGTAAAAAGTCAATTGAGACTCCTCGAAGTTGAGCGGTGTCTTGCCCTTGAGTGCCGACATTATGTGCCCCCTATCCTGGGGAAGGATGCAGCGGACTATGACGTCTCCTGCCAGGAGTGTCGATGCCCTTGTCGGGGTGGGTAGTCGGTATATTCCGGCAAAGGTGAGTTTCTTTGCCACCGCAGGAGGAAGTATAGCTTGCGTGAGCCGTCTCACATAGTGAGGTAGGTCCTCTTTGGAGACTGTGCCAGGGATACCTCGGATTTTTATGTTATTGCGTCTGTGTTTGTCTTCTTGGGCTGCTAGTTGAACCTCGAAGTTTTGTTGATTGTGTTGAAGTTGTATGAGGGAGTCTTGAAGCGAGGTGATGTCTTTTTGGATCCCCTGCACTTCTCTCTCAGTGTGTACTACTTTTTCAGTGATTTGTTGCATGCTTGTTTTAAGGGCAGGTAAATCTGCAGCCAGCAGGCTTTGGATTTCTTGCAGCATAATTTGCATGTGCTGCAGGTCCTGTTTAGTGGCCGGTTCAGTGGTACCCTGCTGGGGTGTGGGTTGTAGCCGTGGAACCTCCTGTGTGCTTTGCTCCCTTAAGTCAGACTCTTGTGGGGAGTCTGGGCCTTGTGCGGCCGCCATTTTGGCGGGTGTTTACCTCTGGAGCATTGTGCTTATATCGGGCTGAGCTGTACCTGGTTGAGGTTTCTGGGATCTGCGTCCCATCCCTGAGGTTCCGTGTTCGGAGCTGTGCTGGGACGTGTCCCACTCGTCTTCTAGGAAGTCCCCGCCTAACAGGTAATCCAGGCCGTGGTGGGCTGATGGAAGGTAGGCCCGTGCTCTGTTTTGATTTTGCCTGCTTCGGGGTGTACCGGAAGGGCATCGGAAGAATCCGGGGGACCTCCCCCGTGCTATGCCGGTGTTCTTGTGGTTGGATGTCAGGGTTGTGGGCTGATATTGAGCGGGTTAGGTCCGTAGATGTCGGAGCCCGCAGAAATGGCGTCTGGCCCGTCTCGTGTCCAGGCTCCGCCCCCCATAATTGTGGATTTATAAATAAAAACAATTTGCAAACCTCATCCAATAAAATTAACAAATGTATTTGTAAGTAAATATATTAAAAATCATCTTACGTACTGACCTTCTTGCAAAGTTCCAAAATATTTCATTGTTCCAGTAGTGTTGAACGGGTTCATCAGTTTGTACAGATGGTTTTAAACTGGATGAATTTTTGCAAAACATAATTTTCTGGGATATAATTTTTAATATGTGAGGTAATAGCTATTTCATGCAAGGAGAAAGTTCACTGCCTTTCTAGTTTCAAGGAGTTTTTCCTAGTTTTGGATCAACCACAAAACCATACGTAAGAAAGTAAGGCTGAAGGTGATGGACACAAGTCTCTTTTTTAATAACTATGTAATATGAGGTTTCTACCTGGACATATACATAACAAATGTAGTACTAAAGACTTATTTTCTAATTTCCTCCAGAATTGGCTCTGAATCCACAATAGAGATTGAGTCTCAACAAGAAGAGGAAGCTGCGCAAGCACCTGAATCAGATCTTCCTTCCACAAGCCAAGATCCTTCAAGCAGTTCTGCAGGTAAATATTTTATTCACACTTTGTTACCCAAGTGAAAGATGGATACTGGGAGCTAGTGATGTAATTTCATTAAACAAATAGTGCATTGAAAACCTGTCACTACTCCTACACAGGTGGGATGAATGTATAGCAAAATGAGAAATTGGGAGATTATAGGGAAGGGAAGATATCGGTGAATATAGGTTACAGTGAAGGAATGGACAATGGTGTAACAAGTAAAGGGATAGATGGAAAAGGGGAGCAGAATGAATGATGGAGTAGGAAGGGGACGCAAAGTAAATATACTGTGTAAGGACATTAGAGTTTAGAAGTTCTCTTAATAGACTACAGAGGGGCTATCTATTGGTTCATGATTATATTGCTCCTAATGTGTAAAGAAATGTATATATCATGATTGAGATGTGTGTTTAAAAATTCTTAATTAAAGGTCTTTATTTTTTTTAGACACAAGCACCAGCCAACCAAAGCCATTCAGGAGAGTGAGGCTACAGCCGCAACCTGCAAGGACTGGAGTTCGTGGGCGTCAGTTCAACAGACAACGAGGTTTGTTAATATCATTTGCTACTCCCTCAGTTTCCTTTTAATAGGTGTACATATTTGAATTTTCTCTTGTTCCTCAATGGTCAGCATGAAAATCATGCTAAGAAGCTTTGTTTAGTGCAGAATTATCACATCAATAAATGCTATTGAAGAGTTTACTAGGGTGGGGGTGCATGTATTAAACCCACTTCTGCAGCACTTCCAGAATACAAGCACTGCTGTGGTTCCAAAATGCTCTGGAGGTGCTTGTTTGTGCTCTGACATCTGCTAAAGTTCTGTGTGCAAATATGTGCCTTCCTAGTACCCATGCTTGCAGTATTTGGCAGTGACCGGCATGTTATGCTTTGGCTTTGCAAGGATTTCTTGTATATAAAATGTTTTTTCATGTTAATAGATTAGTTTTAGTTACTAATTGGCATTATACAAATATATTTGGGTCAATACAAACCATTGTCTGGAAATCTATTCATGAACAGGACCATACATTGGACACGAGGTCAGGTGTTTAGACTGGAAGATAGGAAATTAACAGCTCATTGAAGTGGTCTTTGTGCAGTGTCCCAGCACCCTTAACCACGCAAACATTCATTTTTTTATATATATATATATATATATATATATATATATATATATATATATATATATATATATATATATATATATATATATATATATATATATATATATTTTGCAATAATTAGCCTTGTGGCGTAACTCCACCTCTAGTGGCTGTCAACCAAATGTCCTCACTCTATTCATGAGAACATCCTGTCTCTCCAGAATCCCATAGGAAAGTATTGTATAATGCTTTCCCATGGGGAAATCCTAGTGCACATGCATTAGGTTTCTTCTGCCGGCTGACGTATGTGGGGGAGGAACAGAGGCGGACCCAAGCAGCGCAGAGGGAAAAAAACATTGTTTTCCCTGACACTATAGTTTCCCTTTAAGAACAAGGATGTGGAATTTTCTGCCTGAAGAGGTGGTTTTATCAGGTGTGTAAACAGCAATTGGGTGAATCCTTGCGAAACATAGTATATAAGTTTTAATATGTGGCAGAAAAACCTCTTGATCCATGGAGATTTTTGACTGCCGTTTTAGGTTTGAGATGGAATTTGTTCCTAGTGTTTTTTTTTTTTTTTTTTTGGCACAACCCATGTGATAGTTGGTAGGTAGGCCAGAATAATACATTTTATAGATGGTATGATGTATACATTGTATGCGTTTTTACATTTTAGCAAAGTCATGGCAAGTGCATTTAACCGAAATAGGTCTGTACCATAGAAACCTAGAATGTGACAGCAGATTAGAACCATTCGGCCCATCTAGTCTGCCCAATTTTCTAAATACTTTCATTAGTCCCTGGCCTTATCTTATAGTTAGGATAGCCTTATGCCTATCCCACACATGCTTAAAGGAGCACCGTAGGGTTAGGAACACAAACATGTATTCCTGACCCTATAGGGTTAAAACCACCATCTAGCCACCCTGGTCCCCTCATGCCTCCTTGAATATAGTAAAATCTTACTTGTATTCAAGTCTGGAGCTGCTTGCTTTGTCTTTTTCCTTTAGACCTGCTTGATGACATCATCAGAAGTGGTAGCCTGATCCAATATCAATGCTTCACCATAGGATTGGCTGAGACTGTCAAGGAGGCAGAACAGGGGCAGAGCCAGCATGATTCAAACACAGCCCTGGCCAAACTGCATCTCCTCATAGAGATGAATTGAATCTCTGTGAGGAAAGTTCAGTGTCTGTAGAGGGAGGAGATACTGAATGTTGTGATTCAAACTAGGCTAAATTGAGGTATGAATCAGCTCTAGCAGCCATCTGAGGAGTGGCCAGTGAAGTTAGCACTAGGCTGTAATGTAAACACTGCATTTTCTCTGAAAAGACTGTGTTAATAGCAAAAAGCCTGACATGAATGAGTCTACTCCTCAGAACAAATGCAATAAGCTGTGGTTGTTCTGGTGACTTTTTTTGTGTGTAAATTTAATTTTTGTTAGTTGAATGCAAATAAAACACGCAAACATGGCAGTTGTATGACGGAGCGGTCAGGCACGCAGGTCTCCATTTGTTTTTGTTTTTTTTGTTGTTGTCAACCAATATACATCCATGTCATGTTTTTTGGATTCGCAGATCCAATTTGGTTAACCTTAAATTAGAGTGTAGACTAAGCGTAGTCTTCTTACGCTATGTGATCTGGAGAACCTGTTTTACCTGTCTGCCTGTAGGTAGTTAAGCGTCATAGATCTACATTAATATTTGTGGACAAGCAGGTCCCTTCAACATTTAGTTAGTGTAATCCTGGCGAATCTGTCGTGCTCCTGTGATCTTTTTCTGCCCCGTTAATAGGGCGTTGTTTGGTGGTTTTTATCTGTGTATAGCAGTTTTACCATTCATATTTTCAAAGTCAATTTGGTCTACTAGAGACTACTGTATGTGTGAGGTGTTCTCCTGTGTGGTGTCTCCCCCTTGTCTTGGTTGTGTGTTTGTTCATGTTTTGTGTTGGCTAGTGTCCATCTCCTCCGGTGGATCTGGGGGGGGTCGACCCTGAGGTGTCGGTTCACCTTAGGTTGGACTTCTCACTAGAAGTGTAGTTTGGGGTCTTGTATCCACATGGGTTCGCTTTTATCTCTCTTGCCTCCTCCCTTTACTGTCAGCATCAGGAGTCCTTGTGTCTGCCGGGGCATTTATCTGATGCGGTCTTTGCTGGGGGGTTGTTGGGGTTCTGGTGACTATAGTGTCCCTTTAAACTCATTAACTGTGTTAACCTCTACCACTTCTGCTGGAAGGCTATTCCATGCATCCACTACCCTCTCAGTAAAGTAATACTACATGATATTCTTTTTAAACCTTTGCCCCTCTAATTTAAGACTAGGTCCTCTTGTTGTGGTAGTTTTTATTTTTGTTTGTTTGTTTGTTTTCTTTCTTATTTTAACCCCTTAAGGACACATGACGGAAATATTCCGTCATGATTCCATTTTATTCCAGAAGTTGTCTTTAAGGGGTTAAATAGTCTCCTCCTTGTGTTGATTCCCTTTATGTATTTAAATGTTTCTATTATATCCCCCCGTCTCATCTTTCCTCCAAGCTATACATGTTAAGATTCTTTAACCTCTCCTTGCAAGTTTTATCCTGCAATCCATGAACCAGTTTAGAAGCCCTTTTCTGAACCATTTGTATTGATTCAGAATGTATAGGGTCAGAGGTCGGTGCAAAAGTAGCCAACTACTGGTTAGCTTCTGCTGTTTTACTTGGAACTCTAAAAAAAAAAAAAATTTAAATCCCACATAGGGGGTAGAGCCAAGCAGCACACTGAGCTAGACACTATTTGCAATAGCTCTGAGCACGCCACTGAAAAACCAACTAACTTTGGAAACAAGTGTTCTACCGAAGCAAAAACATCACCAGCAAATGTAGGAAGCCGTCCCGATCTTGCAGATGCCATTAACTTTTCCTGCGAGTGCCAAAACTCGACGGTGGGGAAGCCAGGCCTACCGCACGGGAGTGGGAACTGAGTGTAACATACTGGGGCTATCTGGACACATACGGTAACTTACCTACAGAGACCTGCTATATGGCACCTGAGGGGTCAAACATGGTGTGCAAGAAACTTACTCGACCCACCTCTAAGGATGGGGCAAGAAATCAACCGGCGACCCCCACGTGTACTAGAGGTATGGCCGCAACTCAGCCTGAAGCTGCCCCACACCACGCACAGCAGGAATAGTGATAGCCGATGCCCCAGCCATTGCCAATGAAACTGCCCCTATCAATAAACAATGCACTTTCAAAACATGTTCTCGGCAGAACTGACTCTGGTCAAGACAAGTGCAAACAGTGGCAGAGAAGGTACAGGCTAGGGAGGAGGACCTACTTGTTTTCAAACAAGGGATGATTTCCCTGAGTGAATCTGTCCAGCAACTAAGATCACTGCACACCCCTCTATCCACTCAAGTGGACCAGTTGGATGACCGGGGAAGACAACACAACATTAAAATATTCACCACTTCATAAGGCTCCTAGTCGCAATCATGCTGCCTACGAAATCAGCAAAACAATTTGCTTTCGACTGGGCATACGGCATCACAAGCTCCCACCACAGGTCCTAGAGACCTAAGCCTGTGCTGTCAATCCATCGCAGATAAACAAAGGCTCACTGCACAAAACGGGAAAACCCTGCTTCAATTTGAATCAAACCTGCATCACCTTCTTCCAAGAACTCAGCAGGCCCACGCTACTGTGGAGAAAGTCAATGAAATACATTACTGGAGCTCTACAAACCGCAGGACTTGCTTATTGTTGGACTTACCCAAGATCCATCACAGTAGTCAAAGAGAGGAAAACCTTGCGAGCAATAAGTCCCACAGAGGGTCTGGCCTTCCTCCAGGCACTGGGCATATCTGATGCAACACCTTGGAGTACCAACCATCACTGGGACGTCTCAGCGATCACTCTTTGTACCAGGGCAAAAACGAGACTCTCTGCCCTAAATGTTGCTGACCATACAAATGTCACCAAATGTTTTAGTTCTACCTTCTGCTTTTATGACGGTTATTTCTGTATGGATAATTGTGCCTACTTGTTGCTGTTATACACAACCGCCTTATGGTGGACAGCTTAGTGCTGTTATAAAACATAAACCCACCCCCGCTGTTAGAAACATAAACCCACCCCTTAGAGAGAGCTTTCAATGCTCATCATGTCGCACGGTATTATAAGCCTACAATTCCCCTCCCTTCTCACACCCCCATTGCCTCATAGGTGGTGTGCAGGCCTCTAACCTAGGAGATATGCTAATGACAGTCATACTGACCTAGATGCTTAACCGGCAGAGAAGGCTAACATTTCGACTACCTCCCTCCTGGGCTTCACTAACCTACTTATAGTTTTTTTGTTTTTTCTTTTTAATTAGGTGATCACACTAGACACAATTGTTTGAAAATATTGAATATGCTTATTAAAGGACCATTATAGTGCCAGGAAAACACTCGTTTTCCTGGCACTATAGTGCCCTGAGGGTGCCCCCACCCTCAGGGACCCCCTCCCGCCGGGCTCTGGGGAGAGGAAGGGGTTAAACTTACCCTTTTTCCAGTGCCGGACGGGGAGCTCTCCGCCTCCGATCCTCCTCTTCGGCTGAATGCGCATGCGCGGCAGGAACTGCGCGCGCATTCAGCCAGTCTCATAGGAAATCATTCATAATGCTTTCCTATGGACGCTGGCGTCTTCTCGCTGGATTAACACATTTATAAACATGGCAGTTTCTCTGAAACTGCTATGTTTAAAAAAAAAAAAAAAAAAAGGGGTTAATCCTAGAGGGACCTGACACCCAGACCACTTCATTAAGCTGAAGTGGTCTGGGTGCCTAGAGTGGTCCTTTAATGAAACTGCTTTGTCATCACCTGCCAAAATAAAGAATTTAAAAAAGTTCTGAAGTCTCCACAGTTCATCTTTCTGCTGTATCTTGTAACGTAAAACAATGCAAACAAGCAGTTACACACATGTAACTAGATCTGTCATATCCTAACCGGTATTGTGGTTTTTTTGTCTTTTACAGGTGTCACGCATGCTATGGGGGGCAGAGGAGGAATTAACAGAAGCAACATTCTCTGAGTAACGCATGTTTTGTGGGTCACCTACGTTGACCCGTTTTTAGAGCAATAGTGAAGATAATGCATTGTTTTGTAAAGGAAAATGTCTTTATTAATAAAAACAGTATAAGGTAATGTGTTTCTTCTTATCCGTAATTATTCTTCATACTAAGCAGCTTTACTGCTACATTTCTGGAATGTTTATGCTGCCATACTTTATTTTATTTTTTTTCTTCTGGGAACAAAATGGGGAAAATCCACACCAATATAGTCAAAATAATTGAAGATATATTTTTCTGGATAGGATATTGTTAACTGAACTATCCAGCATGGAACTAAATTGATTGCTAGTTTGTTTAGCTTGGCCATGTGGCAATCAATGTAGGGTCACCAATATGAATAAGGTGTACACGTGACCTCCATAAGTTGTCATGGAATCAATTTGAAGAAAAAAATATTCAAAATATATCTGTGGTGTTAAAGAAGTGTGTTGGAATGATGACTATGATAAAGGAATCTAGTGAAGCTGATTCAAAAGATAAGTTAAAGAAATACCCAAGAGAAAAACAGGCCAGAAGCACTGTATGAGTGACATTAGAAAAAGATACACATTAAGGTAATGTGAGGAATAAATGGAATAGAATGAAGCATGCATGACAGACTAAAGAGCAGTGTTCCCCCATTAATCTGGTGCTCACCTTCCTGCTGTATGTTATTGTTTTGGATTGGCTCATGTTTGGAAATAGAATTTAGCAGTGTGTTACAAAACCTCTGTTTTTATAGAAAAACAGTAATCCTAATTAGGGGACATATTCACAATGTGGAAAAACCATGTTTAGGGGCACATGCATTATTGCCTTATTCACAAATGGTATTGCTTTAATGACCAGAGCTCACAAACTGGAAATTTTAGAGGAACTCTCCTAACACCATAATCACTACAGCACAGTATAGGGGGTTATAATGCTGGATGCCATAATTTAACTAATGGCATTAAAAGAAAAAAAAGTTTAAAGGGAAACTGCATAAGCAAGGAAATTGCAGACCGAAGAAATCATTCCTGTCTCCTGTTAGGAACAAGTTTGCAAAAGTATACGCCTGCCCCAGTAGTGTGCCCCTCACAAACACACATACTGGTCTAGGTAAGCCCTTAAAATCTCCAATAGAATCTCTTATCAGGGACAAGAAGGACCTTTGCACTAATGGACACTAGTTTTTTTTATATTGCAATAAAGTTGCTGTCCTTTTCCCAACTTGCATCTGGAGTCCTAATTTCGAGTGGGCATTACAGACCGTGGAGTGGGATTTTAAGCCCCCCAACATCGGGAGAGGCACCCTTGAGCGCAATCAACATTTCTATCTTGTGAGTGCATTCATTGATAGCGCACGTTTATACTGTTTAACTGTGTTATACTACTATTTGTTTTTGTTCTTTTTAGATTTAGCAGTTTCCCATATTTCTTTTTTGTTGTCTATATTACATGCCTTAAAGGACCACTATAGGCACCCAGACCACTTCAGCTCAATGAAGTTGGCTGGGGGGGTCCAGGTCCCTTTACTTTTAACCCTGCAGCTGAAAACATAGCAGTTTCAAAGAAACTGCTATGTTTACACTGAGGGTTAATCCAGCCTCTAGTGGCTGTGTCCCTGACAGCCGCTAGAGGCACTTCCGCGATTCTCACTGTGAAAATCAGTGAGAAAACGCTGGGCGTCCATAGGAAAGCATGCTTTCCTATGGGCAGTTTGAATGCGCATTCGGCGCTGATGTCAGCAGGAGGAGGAGAGGTCACCGGCGCTGGATTAAGTGGCTGAAGGTGGGCCATGAGGGTGGGGGGGGACCTAATAACCCTATAGTGCCAGAAAAACCACTAAAGTGGTCCTTTAAGCTAGGACTAATATCCAGTTGTCCCACCACGGCATCTCCGTTTTAAACAGAGCATAACATCAGAAGCAATGTGTTCTAGCTTAAAGGTAAAAGTACAAAGGACCTCATCCCCAAGATGGTCCACAGAGATTCCCAATCAGAAGGCTCCTAGGCCCAAATTCCCATATGTAGAAAACCTCTTCCCACCTACCCAAATCCCCCGCTAAACCTCTGTTTGCAAAATGAAAATATAACTTGTAGCACAACAAAGCAGTGTGAATTTAGGAGGGGAGAAGGAAGCAATAGTATCAGAATATGAGTGGGGAAGGGGAGGAGGGGGTGTAATGAGATGGCAGGCAAAATAGGATGAATACCAGTAGATTACTGACAGGAGTGCCGTATATACTAGAGTATAAAATGAGTTTTTCGGCACAATTTTTGTGCTGAAAAACCCCCACTTGTCTTATACTTGAGTGAGTGTCTGTATTATGGCAACTTACATTGCCATAATACAGACAAGGACCGCCGGGCTCATTACAAGCCCGGCGGTCCTGTTGGGGGTTGGCAGAGAGCTGTTACTTACCTTTCCTGCAGCTCCGGTCAGCTCCCTTCACCTCCATTCCGGTCAGCTCCCTTCTCCAGTGTAAGTCTTGCGTGAGCCGCGGGGTCAGAGTGTTTCCACGGGTTACTGTGGCAACGCTCTACGCGGCAGTCACACTGTGAGACTTACAGTGGAGAAGAAGGGAGCTCCAGGAAAGGTAAGTAACAGCTCTCTGCCAGCCCCACTCCTACACAGACCATGCCACTGGACCACCAGGGAATGAGAGCCCCCATCCCTGGCCAGCTAACAAGCAGGGATGGGGGCTGAAAATAAATAAATAAAAATTTAACATAAAAATAAAATAAAAATTTTAATATAATTTACAAAAAATAAGAAAAATGCCCACCCCCACCACGGTTACACACACTGCATCACATACATACACACACAGACTGCATTCATTAGGTACCCAAAATAAATATTCAATTCATGTAATTTTATTTAGAAGTTTACCAGTAGCTGCTGCATTTTCCACCCTAGTCTTATACTTGAGTCAATAAGTTCCCAGTTTTTTGGGGTAAAATTAGGTGTCGACTTTTTTATATTCGGGTCGACTTATACTCTAATATATACGGTAGTTTGAGCAAAGATCCCTTAAATTGTGGATTAAGGTAGCAGGTCTTCGAGTATAATTACCATCAATGAATATTAAATAAAACTAAAATACACCAATATCAAGTTTTGATGTTTTTTAAATTCCAAAAAAATACTGCCCTTTTATATTGCATGGCTAAAATGTGCTGGTCATAGTTTAACTCTTTATCTGCAATGGAAGTAAAACATTGTAGTAATTATGTATATTAATCTTCCTAGATCAAATATTTTCTGCTTGTGTTTTTTTTTATTCTATTTTTTTAAGTAAAGTTTAAGTAAACAGAAGATCTGTTAAGATTAGTTTTCTGTTTTAATAAAAAAAAAATTGTATGGATCTGTAATCAATAAATGTTGCCTTTTAATTAAAATATATATATAATTTTTTTTATTTTTTTTTTTATTTTCTTTGAGCACATACTAATGCACCATGCACGACAATCCTTAACAAGGTGCATCATGGATAGCGAATGCTACATAGAAGTGTATATTAATGTGAATCCTGAGAAGGGGAACTTTGTGTGCTGATTTATTTGACATATTTTCATGAAAATCCTAAACAGGATGATGTAGGGGTAAAAACAATTTTTCTGTAAGGAGGGGTTGCCTGGAGTCTCTCTAGTTGGTGTAACTGTAAGAGCTCTATCGCAGGTTCATACACGGTGTGTGTGCGGTCACAAATAATCAATATAAACAACTCCGCGCTAAAACATGCAACCAGCCTTGACACCTTTTAGCACTCACACAGGCTTTATTAAATGTTTCGCAGTGCATCCTGGTCTCTGGCGTTCTGTAATAATTGTGTTCTTGTTTAGAGATAAGCATTAAATAATCCTGAAACAATAAATTAATAAATTGGCCTCATTGCATAAAAGGACACTTGCTCCCTATTTATCTATAGAACGCTAGATCTAATAGGAGGACAAAGTATAAAAAACAATCTATAACAAAAAAGTAAAACATGAAGACCCACAAATATCAAAGGAAGATGCAGAGATGTAATTAAATGAAAATAAACAAAATTAACAAGTGATGCATAATGTATAGTAAGAGGGTGTAATGCAAAGACAAAGAAAGATGGAAATAAATAGACATGAAATATACACAAAAATGATCAAAGTGAGATAAATAGATGGACCAATAAGACTGAGAAATGTGAAAAGACTGGGGAAAAAAATTACAGAAAAAGACTACAGAATGTAAAACAATGTGTGATGGGGAAAAAAAGTGAGTGAATAAAAATAGTGCACATACAGTGATGTGAAGTCCGAAAAAAAAAAAAAAAAATGTGGTGGTGTGCAAAACAAAGTAATGGTGGGGAAATCAAGAGCAACAACATATAGTTTGTAAGAACAAATTAATATAATATAAAAAAATTAAACCTTAATAGCCCAAAATCAAAGGTTGAGCAGAGAAAATGGTATAAATCTATGTGAGTAATCAATAAATACATATTAAAGCTAAACATAACATTGGTAATCCTATAAATTCAATATATTGAATATAAATTTAAGAGAATTTTGACATGGCAAAATAACAACCACATTTTAAAGAACCAAATAAAATACAATTATTTAATTATATGTGGTGAAAAATGAAAAGAACCAGTGAACTATAAAATAGAAGAAATTATGGAACATTTTAGAACACATTAATTAAGACCTCTCAGGTGTACAGTATTTAATGTTTTTATCCTATGTTTCTAGTTGTATTAGTAGTATGCATATATCCCCACCTCTGGATAGAGGGGGTATGGTCTATAGCTATGTATTTAAAGGGACACTATAGTCACCTGAACTACTTCCGCTTAATGAGGTTGTTCAGGTGAGAACTATAGCTCCCTGCAGCCTTTCTCATGTAAACACTGTATTTTCTGAGAAAATAGTTTACTTTCAAAGCCAGGAACACCTCCAGTTGCAGTCACTCAGACTGCCACCAGATGGACTTCTGAGTTGATGGAGGCATAAAACGTCTTCATTCACTCAGATCTGCTGTCAACAGAACATGGGGCAGCTTTGTGCATGAGCATCCTGTCTGCAGGCTGTCAGCAAAAGCAGCAGCGCGTGGGAGTTGGCTTGAGGTGACAAGTTGAAGACCGGTGTTCTATCAAATTCCCCTACCCTCGTCACTTCCGGTGAGGGGAATCACCTGGATCCTGTGGTGCACATGCGTGCTAGCATTCCTGCTACTCCTCCACAGCAAGGTCCTGGAAGGTAAGTAAAACTAGTTTTACACTTTCATTATAATTAGTGCCTTCACTAAGCTTAGGCACACGGGACATTTAGGGTTAGGTAAGTGATTTTTAACCTCTCACACTCTATTCTTACCCTAACCCTTTGGGTAAGGGTTAAAATAAGGTGTGAAAAATCAGTTTAGAGATATTCCCCTAATGTGAAATATCACTAAATATGAACAAGTCCCTAATTTGAACCCTAACATTAACCCTAAATGTCCCATGTCCTAAGCTTAGTGAATGCACTAACTATAATGAAAGTGTAAAACTAGTTTTACTTACCTTCCAGGACCTTGCTGTGGAGGAGTAGCGGGAGTGCTAGCATGCATGTGCAGCACAGGATCCAGATGATTCCCCTCACCGGAAGTGACGAGGGTAGGGGATTTTCACGGGTAGGGAAATTTGATAGAAGACCTGAGACCGAGCAGCAGGGGAGGATTCAAACTGTAAGTAAACTTATTAAGTGATTGTGGGTGGGTGACTGGATGGATAGATACGGATGATGGAGATGGATATGGATGGAGAGAGAGTGTGTGTATGTCTTAAATTTTTTACTACTTGTGATCTCTATACATAGTGTTTCTATGCAAACACACAGTTTGGCTGAGGAGGGGGCGGGTATAGAAAGCGAGCTGAGCTGTTAGTCAGACAGCTCAGCTCGCATCCGCGCATGTGCGCGGTTGAGCGCTGACTTTCTTCATAGGGCGGCATTCAATGCCGCTCTATGAAGAATGCGATTGGTGCAGCGCGAAACTGCGCATGCGCACATCGCAATGACGCTGCTCAAAGAGAAGCATCCTATCGGGACCTGCGATTTTGGCATTTTGACGGAAAAGGCGGTGTGGCCTAGCATGGAGCTCTGCCCTGGAACAGAGGTAAGTTTTATTCCAAGTGCTTGGATAAAGTGCTTGGATTTTATTTATTTTTTGCAAGTTCATATAAAAGCAAGAAAGAGGGCTGGGGGGCTTGTCTTTCTTGCTTTTATATGTTGACTATAGTGATCCTTTAAGCGTGGGGAGTCTGAAATTAAAAAAAAAAAAAAAAGCTTGGCCACCGGTTTATTGGTCTAACCATCCCTAAAGGCAGTCATAATGCCTGATCTGTGTCCATGTATCCGGTCACGGAGAGTTAGGTCAGTTTTCCCCACGTAGTGCTATCCGCAGAGACGAGATATTAAAGGGACACTATAGTTTGGTTTTCCTGACACTATAGTACCCTGAGGGTGCCCCCACCCTCAGGGTCCCCTTCCCGCGGCGCTGAAGGGGTTAAAACCCTTTCAGCTACTCACCCTTTTCCCCAGCCAGGCTCCCTTACCTCTCCTCCCCTGCCGACATCAACATCCTTGTCAGATGTCACTGGCGCCGAATGTGCATGCGCGGCACTGCTGCGCGCGCATTCAAAGTGTCCGTAGGAAAACATTTTTCAATGCTTTCCTATGGACGCTCTGCGTGATTGAGGCATAATATGCCCCAATCATTGCCGATGCGCCTCTAGTGGCTGTCTGGAAGACAGCCACTAGAGGCTGGCTTAACCCCAGATGTAAACATAGCAGTTTCCCAGAAACTGCTATGTTTACATCAGGCAGGGTTAACCCTAGAGGGACCTGACACCCAGACCACTTCATTAAGCTGAAGTGGTCTGGGTGACTATAGTGTCACTTTAAATAGATAACGTGATCTGTTAAGCAATAAGTCATACCGTTGTGGATAATCAATTTTGACCAAAATGTCCCTCATTCCTGTTACGTTAAAATGAAATCCGTGGAGATTGTGAAAAATTTGAGTGTAACGTGTGGTCAGAGGATAATAGATGGTATATTTTATGCCTATATTCCTATTTATTATTATATTACATGGAAAGGCTGAGCCTGTAGTGGGAGGGAATATTATGGCAAAATACACATGCTGCCACTTCCTCTGGGCTCAGATTGTCTGGTTTAGTACAGATCCATTCACTTCCAGTTTAAAGGACCACTCTAGGCACCCAGACCACTTCAGTTTAATGAAGTGGTCTGGGTGCCAGGTCCATCTAGGATTAACCCTTTTTTTATAAACATAGTTTCAGAGAAACTGCTATGTTTATAAATGGGTTAATCCAGCCTCCAAATCGTCTAGTGGCTGTCTCATTGACAGCCGCTAGAGGCGCTTGCGTGCTTCTCACTGTGAAAATCGGTGAGAACACGCAAGCGTTCATAGGAAAGCATTGTAAATGCTTTCCTATGAGACCGGCTGAATGCGCGCACAGCTCCTGCCGCGCATGCAGCCGAAGAGGAGGATCGGAGGAGGAGAGCTCCCCGCCCGGCGCTGGAATAAAGGTGTTTAGCCCCTTTCCTTGACATCCAGCCCGGCGGATGCTCTGCGTGATTGAGGCATAATATGCCTCGATCATTGCCGATGCGCCTCTAGTGGCTGTTTCCTGGCACTATAGTGGTCCTTTAAAGGTCATCAACACAAGCTGTCTAAATTCCAGACAAGCTGGTCTTATCCTAGTGCGGCCAACGCAAGTATTATACCTCACACTAATAAACAGCCGCCTTCCTAAACACTCATGGGGCCCCACTGTACCTGGACCAGCCACGGCTTTTCCTATTGCTCGCAAGTTTTTAATTCTACAAAACCTCAAGTAAGTTTGTTTGTTTGGCAATTTGTATATGTCGAATTTCACTATTAATGCTAATTCAGGATATTTAAATCTTACATAGCATCACAGTCATACCTCAATTCAGTTAATGAATTGTGCTTACTGTATTTGGCCCTCACTAGGCCATATTGACGTTTATCATATGCAATTCAGTTAGTCACACTACATTTTAATGGGTATTCAGGCACTCATTGCGCCTACATTGTTTACTAATTAGGTGGTTAGGTTTTGCAACAGACTGTCTAAATCATGGGTCGTCAACCTGGTCCCTACCGCCCACTAGTAGTAGTAGTATTGAAAATTAATATTATTATAGAAAAATAAATGTGTATATTACAGCTGAATCTCCGAATTGTACTTATTTATTTATGTGAAGTAGAAAAGCAGTACAATTCCAGTAATTCCAGTAAAATAACTATACAAAAAGCCGTGACTATAGATGTCAAATGAGTAA